GCTGCCTTTCAGCTTTCGGCATTTTGGCAGGGCGGAAGCTTACTTAAGCCTCTGTAATACGTGCATATAATCCTTTACGCCAAAACACATCAGCAGTTAGGTCCTTGCCAAGCTCAAGAGCTGGCTGGCTGGCAGGGCTGGCTGGGTATGAAGGACTTGATTTGCCTGTCCTGGCTGTTGCCGTATTTACAAACAACAAACAAGCGACGACAACAAAATGCCACAATACTTATACATTCCGGCTGTTTTGGCTTGCTGACGCTCTCAATTTCCCCCACGTTGTGGGCCACGGGGCGTATGAGTAATCATTTTATTACGCGGCTCCCCCGAAAAGTATGCCACACACTCCAAATATCAGCTTGCGCATGTATGTGGTCTGTGTGTGTAGGAGGGGTGTGCGCTTTTGTGCTCATGTCTTTTATTGCACGGGGTGTGACCCCTTCATTACGTATACGCAAATTTAGCCTGGACCCAAATTAAAATAAATGCGCTAAGCGAAAACCCAAAAATGTTGCTGAAAAACATTTTCCCTCTCGTTTCTATGCCAGTACGAAGGACTAAAGTCGTTTATTTTCGTTAATTTGGCTTTCTGACTTTCTTTCTGAGAAAACTGTGTACGGAATTGAAAAATAATACTAAGTAGAGGAGGAAAGGGCGAGCCACAAAGGATATTGGCTGAGATGATTGAATCGTTACGATTTTCCCTTTTATTCTCGACTCTGTTTAAGGAGAAAGTTAAAAACTTGTATTTTATTTGATTTTTTCTTCTCTTTAAATTGAATAATTTATTTTCCATTGCCGCCTTTTTATTTTCTCTATAAAGACAGATAAGTTGGAGGTAATAAATTTCACAATTTTATGTTTCAAGAAGATAAATCAGACGGCTTTATTCGACTGCTCCATCATTGAGCTCAACTTTATGCATTCGCTGCTTTGTACTTGTTATTTATGTCGAGCCATAAACGAAAACCCTCGAAAATGGAAAGAGTTGAGCTCCGGCGGGCTCTGGATCCATTTCGACTCTTGCCAGGTACCCCGGAGCGTTGCATTTCCCTCTTCGAGCTTCCTGTCTTTGGCTGGCGGTACGTGACTCTGAGTGGTTGCGTTTTTTTTTCCACCATCGCTGCAGCCTTGGCATGTCAAAAATATTTTCACATAATCGCGTTTTCCTCATAAAAAAATAGAAAATGGGAGAGACGAGCAGAAAGACGTGCCCCCCAGGAGCTGTTGGGTGCGAACTCAAGATGCAATCAGGCAACCAGTGTCGAACAATATAATTATGTGTGCACTTCACAGATTACCCTTGAGGGGATTGCACCCGACAGTGTACCACCGGATCGGATGGACATAGTGTATAATAAATACTGCCCCTCGCCAATTCAGACGGAAAACGAAATGTTACGAAATTCGTAATTGAGCGAATCGGATAAATTACACGGACGCCGTTGCCAGCAAACTTTCACCATGTAAATTGCTCCGACTGGGGGTCAGCCACCACATAAGGGGAGCTCGTCGCTGCATGTGGCCACCAGTTTCCGCATCCATTGCCGCCCCATCTTCTCTCCCCGGCCACTGAAGGTGAAGCTTTTGCGCAACACTCAAAATCAAATTCATTTAAAACTGTCACTGTGGTAGCCCCCGCTGACGATGATGACGATGACGTAGGCGCTCCACCACCCCCAACCTAGCTTTCGCATCTGTATCTGTGATAGTATCTGTATCTGTGTCTGGAATCTGAGGGGTGAACACGAGTCTGGGCCACACGTGCATGAACAGAACGGGTTTAGCCGGCAACCGGGCGAGACAGATTTCCATGATCGGCAATAGTTTGTGACCGGGAATCTTATCACAACCAGAACCACTCGAAGATGTACTCGCGGCCATAAATCCCGGGCTCGTGACTACGATAAGATCACCGCCATAGGTCGCCCGAATCAGTTGCGCCGCGATCGCCGCCGAGGCAAGTCATGTCGGTGTCCTGGTCCAAGACTATTGTGCTGCTCACCGTCGCCTGGGTGAGCACCCTGTGCCTACTCCCCGTGGAGACCTTCTGCGACACCTCCTACTACGAGAAGTACTACGCCGCCAGGCGGTATGTCCCCCTGAAACGGAACGCTCCACTGCTTTTCAACTTCACGCTCGCCATACCAGAGGATGTACAGCTGGCTAGCCACGAACGTCCTGCCCTGGTGGGCAACCTGGCGGTACTTGGTGCCTGGCAGGCTGGTCAGGCGGTGCTTTTGAACCGCACCGACAGTCACCGAGTGTGGACCGGCTCCGTGGAGATACCGCAGAACAGCAGCGTAGAGTATCGCTACTTTGCCGCCGCCGTGGGCAAGAGCGGAGCCGTGCAGATCCGGCGCTGGGAGTCGCACGTCCAGGTCAGAAGCTTCAACACCACCAAGTTTCCAGGAAATCGTAGTGACGAATTCGGATTGATTGACCACCAGCGGCAGTTGTCGCGTGGATGGCTCCAGGACTCCGGGAGTATCCTGCAGCTCAAGGTGTTCCGGGAGGCCCTCACATTAGAGGAGCAGCCAGAGGAGGGACGCGGACAGCTGCGATTGCGCTTGCAGCCAGTGGATCCGAAAAGCCTGGCGCCCATCCTCAGCTCGGCCCGGGCCAACGTTGAGTACGTGCGCATGGTCTACGGGGATAGCAAGCTAAGAGCCCAGCCGGAGTATGGAGTACCCTATGCCACGGCGGATATCCTGATGTATCACATAACCCTCGAACAGCTCGATCAAGTGGCCTTCCTGGTAGAGGTGTACGCCGATGAGCCGGAGGAGAGCCTGGTCCGACTGCTCGGGTACGCACACCTGCTGCCCGAGTCCTTCCCCGGGACGGAAGGAGCTCTCACCATCAATCTGATCTCGCCGCTCTGGCAAAGGGTGGTCGGCCAACTGCAGCTGGAGTTCCTCAACATCCGGCCCATGGAGCGGGATGGCTTCGATCTTCGCACCAGCTTCGCCAACTACTGGAGATCCAACTGGACGGCCCTGGAGATCGGCCACCGGGGATTGGGCAAGAGTCTGACGGTGACCTCCAACGCTGCACCGCTGATCGAGAACACGGTGGCCTCCATGATCGCCTCCGCCGATATGGGCGCCGACTTCGTGGAGTTTGACGTCCAGCTGACCAGCGATCTGGTGCCCATCATTCACCACGACTTCTCCATTCGCGTGTGCATCGACTCCAAGACGCCGACCAGCCGCAATGACCTCACCGAGGTCCTGCTGAAGGACATAACCTACGAACAGCTGAAGGAGCTAAAGACCTACCAGGTGGTGGGCAACAAGATTGTCGAGTATCCAGCCCACAACAATGTAGAGCCCCCGGAGCAGCGCCTCTTTCCCACGCTGCAGGACTTCTTCGAGCGGGTCAACCTGACCACGGGCTTGGACATTGAGATCAAGTGGCCGCAGCAGAAGGTGGACGGGACCTTCGAAAGCGAGCAGACCCTGGACAAGAATCTCTTCGCGGACCGAATCCTCGCCGTGGTGAAGCAATACGGATGCGGGAGGGTGAACCTCATCAAGAGTTTCGATGCCGATCTCTGTTCCCTCCTGCGTTTCAAGCAACACATGTACCCGGTGCTGTTCCTCACCAGCAGCAAGGAGAACGTGTTCACAGACCCCCGCACCAGCAACGTGGAACAGAGTGTTAACTTTGCCCAGGCCTTTGATTTCGGGGGGATTGTCCCGAATGCCGTGTTCGTCAAGTCTGATCCGGAGTTGGTGAAGCGGGCCAAGGAGCAGGTGCCGATTGTCCTGCTCTGGGGATCGGATATTAAGGACCGCGATTCCATTGATTGGTTCCTGCGACAAGGACCCACGGGCGTCATCTACGATCGACTTGATCTCTGGCTGGGCGCCAACAGAACCAGCGCCTTCGAGGCGGAGGACGACCTGCCAGGCTACTTCCAGCTCCAGTGCGATCCGGCGTCCAAGGAACGAGAAGTCAATGCCACCGTCGAGAGTATACTGAGTAACGTTAACTTATTGTAGAACCACAGTCCTGTACACAAATCTTATATGACGGATAATAAATGATATAAAATTAAAAGCTAAGTTTTTAGAGAAATTTTTTTAATATTGGATTAAATATAGCGATTCAATTGCAGCCATAACTCAGAAATATGAAATTGAACAATTATCTTCATATTTTTTTAAAAAGACACGCCTTAAGGAATAAAAAGCAAAGGCTGGAATCCATTTCTCTTGGGGATTTCTGGTTTGATTTACACGCGCAATTTATCCGTATCTTTTGGACAGGTACGGCTTTGTTTTCGCGCTCCGGAACATGGACGTGAACTTGAAATTTAAATCTTTAATGAAATCATTGCCATCCACCGACGACGTCCCACATGTCATTCGTCGGACCCATTTGCATTCGCGTTCCCACACCCAGCCCAACCCAAAACCATTGGCTGATTATACGCCAGAGGAATGAGCAGTGGGTGGTGAGCGGTTGTCTGGGAAGTGGGTGGGTGGGATGGTTGGTGGGGTGCTCTGTGGTTGTGTGGCAAATGTTAGTGCTCATGGATCAGCATGATTCTTTCTCTGTCTGTGTTCCCCCGACAGCCGGCAGGGCCAATTACCTGCAGCTCGCTTTTGCATTCCCTAGCTGGAGGGGATTGGGAATGGAGCGTTTCGGGCTGGGGCTTTCGGAGGTAGCCATGCATATGCAAATATTTTGGCATTTATTACAGTTACTTATCCGCTGCGTGGGCGTAAATTCTGTTTTTGCAATTTGTTGCAACTCGAAAAGTGGGACGCCTAATTGGGAATTCGAAATTGTCGCGTACTATGTTTGCAACAATTGTGGCAAAGATTACGGCTGTCCACACTCCGGGACGGGCTTTGGCAACCACGAAAATAAATTGATTCGCCATATATCATTTATACTATCTGTAGATAACCCAATCTCATCCAATCTGGAGTGGGTTTCAATTAAAAAACATAAACAATTCAGTAAGGTCTACTTTCATCTACTTGCAGCGCCAGCTGATGGAGGCCTACATCCGGCAAAAAAGAGCCTCGCCGGGCATGGTCCAGGCCAGCGATCTCCAGATCAACCGACCGATGTCCGGGATGCGGAGTAACAGCCGGGAACTTCACGCCTACGACGGCCCCATGCAGTTCATCAGTTCGCCACAAAATCCAGATCAAATACTGAGCAACGGCAGCCCCGGAGGCATCCCTCCTGCTGCCATCAACACAAGTCGCAATCACTCCAACAACATGCGCAGTCTGAGCACCATCAACCAGGAGGGTAAGTAAAGGATACACTTTTATAGTCCAATCCCTAAAATTAACTTGGTATTCCTTTCAAAAGCCGATCTCATCGAGGAGATATCCTCGCACGAGCTGGAGGACGAGGAGAGCAGCCCAGTGACTGTCATCGAGCAGCAGCATTCCGCCGTGCACAGCGCCAACTCCACGCAATCCCAGCGGCCGCGACCTCGCCAGCACTCCTTCAGCGACACCCTGGACGAGGACGACTACACCAACCGCAACGTGGCGGCAGCCGCTCCAGTGCGTCCAGCCGGCATGCCCTCGTCGCCCTACAAAGAGGCGACACTGGACGGGAGCAGCAACGGAACTGGAAATGGGACAGGAGGAGAGTCCGAAGGCGATGTGATTGGCAACATCGATCAGTTTGTGATGCAACCGGCTCCCCAGGGCGTGCTCTACAAATGCAGAATCACTCGCGACCGGAAAGGCATGGACAGGGGCCTGTTCCCCATTTATTATCTGCATCTCGAGCGGGACTACGGAAAGAAAATCTTTTTACTAGGAGGTGGGTGTTTAGACTAACTTCTCCAAGAAACCTACATTAAATAAACATTTCCTGCAGGACGCAAACGAAAGAAGAGCAAGACATCCAACTACATAGTCAGCTGCGATCCTACGGATCTATCTCGGAATGCGGATGGCTTCTGCGGCAAACTCCGCTCCAATGTATTCGGCACATCCTTCACGGTCTTCGACAATGGGAACAAGGAGAGCACGGAGAGTCCTCGTCTCGACTTGGCTGTTATTATTTACGTAAATATACTGAAGGTTGGAAAAATAATTTTTTTAACCAAAAATCCTTACAGGACACCAACATTCTGGGATTCAAGGGACCCCGCAACATGACTGTGATACTGCCGGGCATGACTGAGGATGATCAGCGTGTCAAGATCAGTTCTGCGGATCCCAAACAGCAGGGCATACTGGACCTCTGGAAAATGAAGGTACATGTTGCTGCTCCAACCTATAATATTCCCAACTGATCTCTAACGATGATTACAGAATATGGACAACATCGTGGAGCTGCACAACAAGACGCCCGTGTGGAACGACGAGACCCAGTCCTACGTGCTCAACTTTCATGGACGCGTCACCCAGGCGTCGGTGAAAAACTTTCAGCTGGTCCACGACTCGGATCCCGAGTACATAGTGATGCAATTCGGAAGGACTTCGGAGGACGTGTTCACTATGGACTATCGCTATCCCCTGTGCGCGATGCAAGCCTTCGCCATAGCCCTGAGCAGCTTCGACGGCAAGATAGCCTGTGAGTGAGCCTGGTCTCCCGCTGTGGATTACCGGCTCGTCCTGCTGCCTTATGTACAGCCTCCTGGAAGGTGGAGCTCGCCTCCCAGGCCAGAGATTATTTGGATATATGTGTATGTAGTCGCGGAAATCTAGTCACTCGCCGAACTCCGCTGCCAACTGGCGGCGGGTATCGGAACGACATCGTTGTTGTTACTGTAGGTACTTGTATGGTAGCTCTAATTGTATGACATTTATTCAAAATGTGCTCACCGATTTTGTAATTATTTACCTAGGACTTACGTAGGTCGAACAACTTTGTAAATCTTAATGTGCCCTAGCCGTAAGTTGGATTGTAAGAGAAAGGAATATCAAATCTACAGATCGAATATTATGTAAACTATATCAAATGGAATTACTATTAGTCGGTAAGAGAGCATTACTAACTTGTGTTGAGCTCTCAACTAAAATAGGCAGCTAATCATTATTTTTCATCTTATGATTAAATACATTTATTTATGTATTTACGTCTCAATATCACGCAAATGCAAATCAAATAAAAACAAAGTGCAAAAGATACTTGTTGTCATTGTTTGTATTATATTTATTTACGTTATTTAAGTACAATTTTTTTACGCTATTTCGGTAAATGCACGACAGCTGCCACTCCGCATCAAATTATAGTATATATTGTATGTACAAAAAGGACAAAATTAGCTGTCACACCTTGCAAAACAGCAAAGGATCGAAACGGGTATAAAAATATCGTGTAAATGAGTTTCAAATCGGTGTATAACTAATAAGTACAATGGATTCTTGAATCCATTTTGTGTTATCTTAATCAGACTGCAAACGTCACAGAACACGGAACACTCTCTGCTCCTTCGACTCGAGTTGGCTTCTTGGCCTGTCTTTTTACATGCTTGTCAAGGACTCATTTGATTCATCTCAACTTAAGCTATGCTCGCTTGCGGGACTTGTGTGTCGGTCGATCCTTCGGCAATTTAAACTCGTCCGGATCGTAGTCCTCGTACGCGAGCTTTCGCTCTGGCGCCGACTCAGGTAACTTGTTGATTTTCTGCAGACGTGCGTGCACGATTTGCAGATGCCGCCCAATGTAGTCCTCGCCGGGCGCCAAGCGCTGGGCGTGCTGCAGACAGGCGGCCGCCTTGGCCAGGCGTTTACGTTCCACAAAGACGACGCACAGGTTGTGCAAGCCCTGGGTGTTGTGCGGGTCGTAGTGGAGAATGCTGCGATACGACTTCTCCGCCGCATCCAGATCCTTCATGTGGTTTATGTAGATGTCCCCCAGAAGTATGAGGCCCTTTACGTGTGACGGATGGTGGCGAATCAGTTGACTGAGGAACGGCACCGCATCGAGGGGCCGCTTGGTGTCCGCCAGAAGAAGGGCCAGGTTAAAGAGCGCACTTCGGAAGTCCGGCTTCAGGTGGATAGCCCGCTTGAAAAACTGCTCCGCCTCATCGAAACTGGACTCATCCATAGCCAGCATGCCCAAGTTGAAATAAACCTTTTCGTTCTGATCGTCCTTGGCCAAAACCTTGTACAATCGCGAACGGGACACGCGACGTGCCTCTTCTCCGCCCAGCTCCTGAAGCAAAATGGCCGAATTGAGTAGCGCCTGTTCGTGCTCTGGAAACAGCTCCAAGGCCTTGTTGAAATAAACTTGGGCCTGCTGGCTCTTTCCCTGCTCCAGGAAAACCACGCCCAGATTGTAGTAAATGTCGGCGTTCTCGCTGTCGTAGAGCAGTGCTTGCTCGTACACCTCCTGGGCCTGGACGGTGCGATTCAACTTCATCAGAATGTCACCTCGATTGATGTACGCCTGATGTAAGATAGTTTCATTATAAGGTTTATTTTAAAGGATCAAGTATAATAAACCTACCTGAACATAGTCGCTTCGCATGCTAATAGCCTGCCGGTAGAGGTGGTCCGCTTCTTCCAATCGCGTTTGATTCTTAGCTATGAGATTCGCCAGGTTGATGAATACATTCAGATGGTTTGGGGCGATGCGCGCGTGATAGCTGACTCCCGGCTTAGCCTGCGGAAATAGAGCCTTGGCTTGTACGTATGCTTGCTCGGCTTCTGCATAGCGCTTGAGATGGTTCAACGTTCGCCCCACATTAATGTGGGCCCCAATATCATCTGTTTGGATGCGGACTGCCTGCTGGAAATAAAGCAGTGCCTCCTCGAACCTGCCATCGTTCTCCAGGGCGTGCCCGACGTTGTTGTACAGCTTGGCGTTACGCTGATTGACGTGCACGCCCGACATGAATAGGGAATACTCCGTCTGCCAGTCCCAGTTCCTTTGGTGCGTCTTCAAACCGTGCGAAAGCAGCAAAACCGCCAATGCTGCATGGCCAATGCTTTGCCACCTGTGACTCCACCGTTGTTGCATTTGCTGGAAGCCGTAAGCTATCAGCAGACAGTAGCCCATGGACGGCATATAAAGAATCCGTTCAGCGACCACAAATCCAACTGGGAAGAAAAGATTGGAGGCCGGGAGGAACGGCAGTACCATCCAGCCGAGGCACATGATGAGCGTTCTTGATTGGGCCAGGTTTCGGGTGAAACAGGCTTTGGCCACCAGGGCTCCCAGCCCGATAAAGGTACAAATAGTGGCCACATTGCGGGGGTCTGCAAATCCCTCCAGCACGGGAACAGTTCCTTTTCAAAAAAGAGGATTAAAGGATAATAATATAGATCAGACACAAAACCCTTCAAGTTGCACTCACCCATTGTCCAGTCGCAGCATAGAAGCGACGGGCAGAGCAACAGCCAAAAGTTCAGGTAGATGAGGTAAGCGTAGGTGAGCTGGCGCTCGGGAGAATCCGCCGCCGATGCTGGGTTGTCGAAGCGTGTGAAAATGGGCAACTGAGAGCCCATCACATAGACTCGACCGACTAACAAGGAGAGCGTAATGCCGACCAGGAAGGTAAGGCGCTTCCACAGCACCGGCGAAGACCAACGCCGGTTGGAAAAACGATTCACTAATTTCGGCGACTGCTGTTCTGGTTGCTCCTCGAAGAGTCGAAGAACCAGATTTCCCAGGTCCAACGGCCGCAGCTGCTGCACTACGAACAGCTCGTAGACGACGCATATTCCGGCGATAGTGATGCCCTGCTCCTTGCACAGCATGGAGGCCAATAGGCAACTGCCGAAGCAGCCGAGTAACGTGAACCATCGAGTGCGCCGAGAACAACCCGAGTCCCCGACCGACTTCGCGTAGGTGAGAAAAGCCGCCAGGAAGCAGATGGAAGAGAGCAATTCAGCACGCCCGACCACGCCAGTAACGGCCTCCGTGTGCACCGGATGGGTGGCGAAGAGGAGCGAGGCCACAAAAGCGCATGTGTTGAGCGAAGAGGATGACGCCGGAGTGGAGACGGCGTTACTGCCCAAAGCTGCACACTGACGTAGCAGCAGCCGGCAGACCCGACGCCACAGCAAGCAGACGATTAGGTGCAGCAGCAGGTTGACAAGATGGTAACCAAAAGGCTCCAGCGAATGCAGCAAGTAGTTGAAGCGAAACGTCAGGACGGTAAGCGGGCGATAGGACTTATGGGACTGCTCCTTGCGCATCGGCGTGCCCCAGAAGTCGTTGAGGAAGACATTTCGCAGTGGCGTGTGCGGCCGCAGGTCCTTGTTGTCCCGTATGGCACTGATGTCGTCGAAAACCAGGCCGCATTGGGTACTGTTGTAATAGCATGCGATGCAGGCAACGCATATGCACAAAAATTCGATCAGGTTGCGCTGCGAGGAGCTCACTGTCCTGACCTCTTTCTCCCTCTCCCGGACCCGATTGCATGCGGCATTATGGGCAGAGGGTGATGCAAGTTGACTTGCTAGGGGTTGGGGATTCGTTGACATGCTGACTTTGCGTTACTTTCGGAAACGCTTCATGTATCCATAATTGGTTGGTCCGAGGTGAAATGTTGCATGCAGCAACGTGAAAAGGACTTATTGGTCCCTAGGCGACCTGAAACGGAAACCATTGTTTATATTACTTTGTTAAGTTGCCAATAAAATTTATAGTCCATTAAAATAAGACTTGAATCTAAGCTATACATTTTGTTCCCACGGAAGACCTTCATTTCCATAGAGTATAAATCACATTAGTATGTGTTCCATTAATTTCTGCAGTAACGTACAGGATACGCATATAGACTACTTTGTGGATACATACCCAAGGCCCTCTTACTTTCACACCATTGTTCTTACCACAGATTCCTCTATCTGCTTAAATTCCCACGGCTACTTCCCGTATTCAATGTATTTTAATGACAAACTTTCTACCGTTTTTATGACCACTTGAAGTTTACAAAGAAACAAGGCCCGGTTGCGGAAAAAATCAATTAATGCGCAACAAAGTAACTCCGTCCCGGTTACTGTCCTCTATACCAACTGCACACACAAAGGCCCGCCCGAAGTTAACAAAGTTGTAAACTGCGCCCCGACAGAACTCCGGTTTTAGGATCCGGCCGGAGAGAGCGCTGCAGCCCTGAGAAAACGACGGAGAGGGAGAGCGTTTGTTTGCATAAACGGTGTAAATATTGTGGGGACCTGGAGGAAAAGCGCAGCACTCGAGCATTACTAGGCGGGGCACATCCTGCTAGGTGGGATGCGGATGCAGGCCCGGGTCGGAGGGGTAGGCCAACAATGTTGCACTCAATGTCATCGATTTTCTGGACGAACAGTCAAAACAAACCACCACCAAGTAAATGTTCGTAAAGAGCGCACGCACCCGGAGCAGAGATTGTTTTGGGAGTCGGAGTCGGTGTCGTGCCGCAGCTGAGCGCAACTTTGTTGCACGACCAACTTTTCCCGAAGGACGACTGGGTCGCACGTGCTCCGTTTTCCCGCCAAGTGCGGCGCATGAGCCCTCAAGTCCTTGCACTTTCACTTTGCGCCGTTCTCTCGGCTCTCTCGTGGCTCTTCGGAAATTAATAGCTGTTTGTGTTTTTGTAAAATTACTTTGACCGAGATACGGCTGGACAAGCTTCCGTAGAGCCGCTACCGGAGTCGGAGCTAGGGGTGGAGGCGAAGTCGTAACTGTAGCTGGGCGGGAGTCGCATCCGAAGAGACATCCGCATGTGTCCTCTCCGTACAGACGTGGGACGCCATTACATCGACGGTGGCCACCACACACACCAACAACACACAAATCACAAATTTGCCAACTTTGTTGCAATATTTACAATGTTGCCTTTTAGACTTGCAAGAGCTGTGACCCCCAGCTGCAGCTTCTTACCGTGGCCCAGAGGAGCAAAACTGGTTGAGGTAGTTGCATTTACACGAATTAAATTACATTTTAACACAAAAATCAGATGTGTCCTCAGCTCAGATTGTTGTTGTGGTATCGATTCGCCGATAACAGCTTCTTCTTCAACGTTTGCCATTCACAGGTAGTGCCCAACGATAGAGTAGCCGATAGTTCTATCGAGACTGTTCCATCCCTATCGTGTTGTCGGTAAAAGTTGGCAAATTTTTAGCGTTTTCCGCAAAAAATTGAATAAAACTGAGAAAGTACAGTTCTTGTCATGTCTACGGAGGACTTTTACTTGCGATACTATGTCGGCCACAAGGGCAAGTTCGGGCACGAGTTCCTGGAGTTTGAGTTTCGGCCAGATGGCAAGTTGCGGTACGCCAACAACTCAAACTACAAAAACGACACCATGATCCGCAAGGAGGCTTTTGTCCACCAGTCTGTGATGGAGGAACTGAAGCGTATTATCATCGATTCGGAGATTATGCAGGAGGACGATCTGCCGTGGCCGCCCCCAGACCGCGTGGGTCGCCAGGTAAGTGGCTTAACTACGTACAGAGGCCACAGAGAATAACCATGTGTCTTTCAGGAACTGGAAATTGTCATTGGCGACGAGCACATCTCTTTTACCACCTCGAAAACTGGGTCATTGGTGGATGTGAACCGTTCGAAGGACCCTGAGGGACTGCGCTGCTTCTACTATTTGGTGCAGGATCTCAAGTGTTTGGTCTTCTCCCTCATTGGCCTGCATTTCAAGATCAAACCCATATAAGAAACGATTCTATCTTAAGTTAAAGCCTCAGTCAGCAGGAGACTCGTATTTTGTAATGGTCGATTGATAATACTTGTACTTGTATTAGCTGTAATGTACAAATTTCGTACGATCAGGATAACTAAATGAAGTCTGTATAATGAATAATAAAGTCTACGATCAATAAGTTTTGATCTAAATGTAAACAAAATAAGCTAAATCGGCAAAAGGAGTTTTGGTTTCTTGCTTATACATGGGCGAATATGCTTTGGACCAATATATCATAAGTGCATATGTAGGGGGTTCTGGATATTCTGTACATATGTCTATGTATGTGGACAAAAAATATTTTGTCTCAGGATTTTTATGCAGAATGGTGGCAAATCGACCCAGAAATCGTTTAAGATACTCCGCTTGAGAATCGGATGAGAATTGGGGAAGATATAGCCATCACAGTGGACCCTATAGGCGAAAACCACATTTTCAAGGGATCCCATCAGGAAAAATGGACAAAAAATCTAAAAAATATTTTGTCTCAGGATTTTTATGCAGAATGGTGGCAAATCGACCCAGAAATCGTTTAAGATACTCCGCTTGAGAATCGGATGAGAATTGGGGAAGATATAGCCATCACTGTGGACCCTATAGGGGAAAACCCCATTTTCAAGGGGTCCCATCACGAAAAATGGACAAAAAATCTAAAAAATATTTTGTTTCAGGATTTTGATGCAGAATGGTGGCAAATCGATCCAGAAATCGTTTAAGATACTCCGCTTGAGAATCGGATAAGAATTGGGGAAGATATAGCCATCACTGTGGACCCTATAGGGGAAAACCCCATTTTCAAGGGATCCCATCAGGAAAAATGGACAAAAAATCTAAAAAAATATTTTGTCTCAGGATTTTGATGCAGAATGGTGGCAAATCGATCCAGAAATCGTTTAAGATACTCCGCTTGAGAATCGGATGAGAATTGGGAAAGATATAGCCATCACAGTGGACCCTATAGGGGAATACCACATTTTCAAGGGATCCCATCAGGAAAAACGGACAAAAAATCTAAAAAATATTTTGTCTCAGGATTTTGATGCAGAATGGTGGCAAATCGATCCAGAAATCGTTTAAGATACTCCGCTTGAGAATCGGATGAGAATTGGGGAAGATATAGCCATCACTGTGGACCCTATAGGGAAAAACCCCATTTTCAAGGGATCCCATCAGGAAAAATGAACAAAAAATCTAAAAAATATTTTGTCTCAGGGTTTTGATGCAGAATGGTGGCAAATCGATCCAGAAATCGTTTAAGATACTCCGCTTGAGAATCGGATGAGAATTGGGGAAGATATAGCCATCACAGTGGACCCTATAGGGGAACACCACATATTCAAGGGAAACCCCATCAGGAAAAATGGACAAAAAATCTAAAAAATATTTTGTCTTAGGGTTTTGATGCAGAATGGTGGCAAATCGATCCAGAAATCGTTTAAGGCACTCCGCCTGCCTATAATTTCGTAAATAATAATTATGAACAATAATTTTATTTTTACTCTACTTATGTGCTCAAAATATAGATGAGATCAAGAAGGAATAACAGCTCTATTTCCTATATAGTTTAATTGTTATTTCTTAATTATGGATCTCTAAAGGGGAACTGTGCTACCAGACGATATATTAAGTGTTTATTTAAAAAAAATCAAGTCTTCGAATTTCATCGTCGCGACTCGCTGGAGACTGAGGATGGGAGTCTTAAGCCAGGCGACGATGAATTCGGAGGCCTAGCTGGTATGGAGGAAAGAAGAGCTCTTTATTCCAAAGTCAGCAAAAGGGGCTGTAGCATAAACAAGGAGCCAGGGCATATAGGTTTGGAGAAGTACATAAAACCATATATGATACATATGTACTTCCAAGTCTTTATATACAACCTCCTATTTAAACATCCAAAAGTGGAGCGCATAAAATGGCATATGGGTGAAAAATTCTATTCAGTAGCTTTCTGGAGCTTGAGAAGTTCAGTCGATTCTTTTACCCAAAAATTAAATCTTTGGTAAGACACAGTCTGGGTAGTTGTGAAATTAAAGCTATAAAAGTTATATCATAGAATAACAATGAGTGGACGCCAAGTGGATAACTGGAATGGTCCGCACTACCAAAACACCAATCCTGGCAACCAGGTCACTGGCTCCAATCCGAGCCGGTACACCTCGAGGCAAATGCAAGCCTACAACCGTCGGGCAGCCTATGAGGTGGAGCAAATAACCCGGGCCCTGGCCAACAATGCTCCGCCCAACAGCATCACCTATAATGTGATCAACATCAACCACAGATATACAAAATAATTTGTATTCAAAGTTGCATAAAAATGTACTCGTATACATTTAAATAAAGAAACGAATAAAACAATCAGATTCTTATTATTTTTGTTACTAAATTAAAAGGAGTGGGTACTTGACTATGATTGATGTATGTATATTTGAAAAATACAACTTACTGCCTGACATACAATTAATAAAATATTGAAGTCCTTTACATTTTGTACAATTTAACATAGATCACTTACATATAATATATCTAAAACACTTTATAAATGGGCAAAGTATATTCTAACTTAGCTCTATGTACTCCAAAAATGAAGGGATCCTAAAAAAAACTTGTATAAAAACTCACATACAACATCTGATCGACGACTTGACGCACTTAAAGATTCATACTATATTCAGTCTTTGGGGTTATAACATATTCTACAATTAATTATGTATTTGAAGCTGCCTACGACGGATCTATCATTAGAGGAAGCTCTTGTAGAGCCGAATCCGTAGGTCTCAGAGTCATAATTGCGGCTGCTGCTGGTGCAGAGCCAGAGTGGCCGCGATGTTGGTACTGGGTCGCTCCAAGTATCCGCTGTTTCCGGGCATCGGCATTGACATTGGCATTTCCAGTTGCTGGTGATGATGATGGAGCTTCTGCTGTTGGAGCTGCTGATATGATTGCTGCGATTGTTGTTGTTGCTGCTGCTGTGGCTGGGGAACTGGTGTCTTGAGTAGACTGGGCGACGGCTGGAGCGGAGTGTGGCTGCCGAGCCCGACACTGCTGCCACCGGGACTGGGACCGCCCTCCTTTAGCGGACAACCGATGGTTAGACGCACATGCAGGCCCGATTCCTTGATGAGATTCACCACGTCGCCGTGCGACATCCCAGCGATCTCAATTCGATTCACCGCAATGATGCGGTCGCCCACCTTGAGTTCCCCGCAGCGATCCGCCGGACTGGCGGGTATCAGTTTACCTTTATAAAAAAAAGTTAATGACGAATGATAATCTCAGACTTTTGAGGTGTTTGCTTACCTATCGTTGAGCCATAGTAGTGATTCGATGAGGAAATTATAACGAAGCCAAAGCCCTCGTTCTCGTGTCGGCTCACAATCACATCATAGGGATACCGCCGCAACTGGGAGGTGAGCGGAGCTTGCTGCAGCAGAGGAGCCCGGCGGCGTCGCAGGATCATAGTTACCTGGCCACGAAGGGCTGATTCACCGACCAAGGAAACAACTTTATGATGCGAAGAATTGAGCTGTCAAGGATGAACATTCAAGATTACTATGGTGGTCAGATAAATCTTCAGAAAACAAGTGGACACCTACCACATTAATTCCATCGATGCTGAGAATTTCATCGCCAGTGGCTATGCGGTGGTCCTGGTCCGCAGCGCCTCCCGGCACTATGTGGCCCACGGTGACCTGGGAGCCCTCTTCAGTGCCGCCAACTATACGAAACCCGAAGCCCAGCGCCTGCCGCTCAAGCGTTACTTCGGTTAGCTCACACTGATCCGCATCTTCGGATGCGTCCAGCAGTGCTCCGCTCCGCCAACTGGGCGAGTGCTGCATATGCTGGGACTGGAGCTGTTGAGGCTGTTGGTGCAGTTGTTGGGACGAAGGATCCAGATTGGCGAAGCCCACCCGCCTTCGATCGTTTAGCAACTCGTTGACGCGTCGCTGTATGCGCTCGTTCTGGAGGTGCGCCGTCTGCAGAGGCGAGTACTGTCCTTGTCCGGCACCAGGCATCCCCGCCTGCTGAGCCTGCATAAAGTATCCGGGGCGGTAGCGCTGGGCCTGACAATCGTAGCAGTAGCAGGACTCGTGGTGAGCCATCGGCAGGGGCTGCATGCTGGGTGGCAGGCCGTAGATACCCGAATCTCCCTGGAGCGTTGCCTCTGCCAGCCGTTCATTCAGCCGACTGACCATCTTGGGGTACGGATCCATGTAGGGAACATCGTCCAGTTCTGGCAGGCTGTTGTTGGACTTTCCTTGGGTCTGAAACTGAATAGGCTTACGGGCTTCCAAGTCGTTGGCTGCAGGGCCGACCCCAGCTCCGACTTCACCGTCCAGCTCATTGCTAGGTGTCTGAACCCGCGCCCGCCGAGTGTCCACCAGCGGAGTCTTTGGCCGCATGGGCAGCACCTCCTTCACCTGCGTACTGTACAGGTCCGCCGTAGGCGTCTTGCTCCGGAACAGTCCGCTGCCTACAAAGTTTTTGCGCAGCTTGGCCACGTTTCCCACCTGCCCGATCTGAGTGGGCTGGTCCGGGGGTGTTCGCTGAATCTTTACGACCGTGGGCGCCGTGAGACTGCATTCCTTGAGCAGCTCCACCACGTAAAAGTGCGGCTTGTTGCGCACGTTTATGCCATTGATCTCCAACAGGACGTCGCCCTCCATCAGCTGAGTGCAGCAGTTCCGGTCGAGGATCTTCTTAACGATTTGCCCACAGGCGGAGTCGGCAATGGTAAACCCAAATCCCATGGAGCCCTTCATGATCGAGAAGGTGCACAGTTCGGGCTTCTTCATCAGTATGAAGCCACTTCCGTTTGCAGTAGCGCCCGCGCTGTTCGCCCCCTCGCCGGACAAGTCCAGGAAGTTGTAGTTCCCGTCCATGTTGAGGCGCCGCTGCTTGTCCGAATCGCGCCCGTCCACCGCCATTGTGGTCACCACCTCGGTGTTTGGGTCGTTCGGGTCGAACGGCAACGGGTAGCCGCGACACACCTCCAGGGTTGCCCGCTCGCCGGGCAGGATCGATTGGAAGATGTTGACCATGTCTAGGTGCGTATAGCCCAGCACGCAGGTGTCGTTAACGTATACCAGTACGTCGCCCGTCTGGAGCTGACCGTCCAGCCAGGCCGGACCGTTCGGCACTACTGTTTTGATTTGGAGGAACTCCTCCACGTCCCCGCCGGTGCTGCCATCACTGCCCACAATGGTGAAGCCCAGGCCACGGGAAGACTTCAACAATGTGGTGTTGATGCGTTGCCCTTGCAGCTCTGCAGGATTGCGGGTGAACTTGTACGGCAGCTTGGTGGCTGGCACCTCTTCCTCCTGCCGTTCGGCAGCCGACTCCGAAGGCAGCACTGGTGGCGGCACAGTCGGCGTCTTGGAGCGCTGCTCTTGCTGGATCTGCTGCTGTTGCTGTTGGCGCTGCTCCGCTGCTCGTCGCTTAGCCTCCAGCACTGGGTTTTCGTACTGCGTCCTCCGGTTAACATGGTCGATGAAGTACATTCCATACATAGAGTCCTCTATCTTTTCCCAGCCGTAGGGTAGCTCGTCCTCGCAGCAGTCCTCGAGTGACTTTTTCTGGTACTTGGACAGCCTGGGATCCAGCCAGTGGGAGGTTCCAGTATTATGGCTTTACGGAAGAGGGAAATAGGTTAGTTTATATTTTTTCTTTAAACTGAAGGGCATACTTACTCTATGAAGTAGAGCTCTCCTCGCTCCGTGTAGGCCGTCTCCCACTTGGGTGGCAGTGGTCCCAGGCCGTCTCCAGGGTCGTCGCGGTTGGCAAAAGGTGGCTCCTGTGGCTGCCCCTCTCCAGCTCCGCAATCGCTGTCCAGGCTCTCGTCCCCGTTAAAGTATGTGTTCTGCAGGAGGTTCTCTGTGGGGAGAAGGGGGAAGAAACCTTGATTATCCATCCAATCCAACCCAGCCTCAAAACGTTCAATGAACCTGACTCGGAATTAATCAAAACAGAGTCACCTTGCCAGTTTGCCAGTGGAGTTAATGCTCAGCCAGCCGAAAATAGTTTGGTGGAGTCTTTTGAAATCGAACAGCCCCCCACAATAGATAGCCTCATCCCCTGCCGGTGGCCGCTCCCATTGAATCCTCTCTGGCTGTGAGTGGGGAATGAAGCGTAAAGAGTTTCCGAGTTTCCGAATGGGGCAGTCCAGAACAATAATTATTATTAGCGGTGGCCAAGCAGGCTCTGACTAGACTGTGACCTACTTTCCTGGCCCACTGAGATGATGGGACGATAACCAAGCCAAGTCCCCACTCATGCTGGATGAGTAATGGGGAAACTTTAATTATGGCCAAGTATAAGAATTGAATGAGAATGGTCTTGGCAATTAAACGAACCTTTCGCTTTGCCATTCCGCCAAGATCTTGGGACGAAGAGCTTATGACAATAATACATATTTTAAATGAAAAAGAAGGTCTTTCTAAAATGTTGCTGGAGAACCTTTTTGCAGGGAAGCTGTGAGGGATCTAAGGGTGTGCAGAAAAAAAGTGGACCATCGTCGTTAACCCCTTTTAAGGTGCATGCCCTGGCCAGGTCCACAAAGGCAGAGCATCGTTGATGGGCGAGCGGGCTAATCGAATGACGGAGAGCGACAGACCCGCCTAAGCTCCAGTCACAACATATTGGGAATCATTTGCATAGAAAGATGAATATTTATGCCAGACACTGGCAAATGGAACAGAGCCAGATGTGGCCAACGGGATGGAGGTGAGGTGACACATCTCGGAACGGTAAAGCGAACATGTTTGATTTGGTGACTCTTTTTTGCCGAGACTGGGTGGAGACTCCGCTCGTTTGAATAACTGCAATCCACGTAGGATGTGTTTGCTCTGTCCAGACTCCGGACTCTGCATAATCCAGAAAGTGTTAACGAGCATGGGAGTGGGAGTGGGAGTGGGAGTGGGAGTCTGGGAGCTGTAAGTTCTCCCAGCGCGGAAGTTGCATGCGCCACAGTTTACTGCTCCGTTCTCGACCTCACTTGCTTTGCGTTGTATAAATATTTGTTGAATGCAGAGTGGGGCACGGATGGCGAGTGGCATGGAGGGGGACTATTTGATCACCAGATGTAGCACACAAATAATGCTGTGTGTGCAACACAAGCCAGGGCTACCGAAACTGGAATCCCAAGCAACTAGAAACTAATCCAAAAAGTTATATTTTCTCAGATTCTCAGACAGGAACAAATATGCTAATAAGGGTTATGATTTACGTAGCTTAAGAGCTAATAATGGCTTATAATTGCAGTTTTTATCATATCTTTAAGATAAAATAAACAAATAAGATAGGCTAGCTTTGAGAAGATGCGAATATGGTATACACTTTTGGATAAATCCATAAATCCATATACCCGCCTTGCTACACTCATATCTTTGCTAAGTTTTAAGTTTTACGATCCTTGAGCGGAAACCCCTTCTAATAAGCTGAGATATTCATAAGATAACCATTTCTTGGCCAATTTGTATTCGATTTCAGATACCAGACCTAGATAGACTCTCTTAAGAAAGAACTCCACTATCTAATCAGACCGGAATACTTTCATCAAGCTAGTGCGAAAACATGTTGAATGTTCTTTAGAAAAACAACTCTCTCTCTTCTGAGGAGATCGGCTGGAAGTGGGTGACTCACCTCCTGAAAATGCGGACCCCGGTGGAGCACGAAAGCCAAGACAGACGAAACCGACACACAAAACAGATCCACGCAAACCTGGTGTTGTGACTGCGCCGATAGACGGGAGTCAATGATTAGCAGAAGTCTGCTATGGGGACTTTGCTGTTGCCGTTTTATAAAAACACAGGGTTGGATATGCTTCTGAATTTAATTTGAATTGATTTTAGATATAACAAAATGTGTAATGTGTAATGGGTAAATGTAACAAAAAATGTGTGTTCCGTCGTAAGCTTAGAAGTCGTAAGGAAGAAAAACCTAGAGATGTCCCGCTTTCCAAAGGGACCGGGTCTCGAGATCGATAGCCACCAATCAGGTATCGATTGTAGGGTTGTGGTATGCACTAACAACGTAATGAACATTACGACAACGAAAATGACCATACACCTGGTCTGAGGTCTGGGGCTTGTGCCGCACAAAGCATTACTCATAATTACAGGGATTGCGATCGAGTCGGGGGGCCTGACGATGATGATAATGATTGACAAACGATTATTCTCAAAGATTGTGGCTAATTGCATTTGGAGCCAACTTTGAATGGAATCCAAAGAACCGTTCGGCAGAGAATGGAGCTATCCAGATCCATCTTATCGCTGATCGGGAGTGCATTAGTGCTTCGGCGAAGATCTAAAAATAAAGCAAGACTACAAACAAAGAACAGAGGAGCCGAGGAGTCGAGGAACCGAGGAGTTTCAGCCAACATGTGGTGTAATTGAAGCAGATACAAACAATCCTCGGACGAGCAGCCCACCAATTACGTAAAGTCGGTCCAAAATACTTAAATACAGCGCTAGTTCATTGACTCCGCTGGGCCCCAAAACGGAAAACAAAAGTCCCCACAAAAGTTACGCACGCTTCTGATGTTTTTTTGTTGTTGGCTTTTTAACATCTGACAGGGGACGAGGTCACGGTAGGCACGGTCGCCAGGGGCGTGACCGTAACAGAGGCGTGGTATTTACTTGAACTTGTTGGCAATGTTGGCTATTTGGCTACCGTGATGGGTTTGTAAAGTGTCACTCTCTTGGATCGTGAATTACTGCACGACTGCTTTAATTATTTAACTTTAATTGTAAAAATAATAAAAAGAGAAACCCTAAAGAATTAAATATTCAAAGTGAAACTCTCTTTATGCAAAAGCCTTTCTCGAATAAAAGAACTCCACGATTGCAAAGTGAAATTCCGCCACTAGAGTCCGGTAATGAGATGTTTGCTCTTCCACTTCTAGAAACCCGTCTGGACTCGAGTCCCCAGTTACGCAACGGCCACTAGACTCCAACTCCAAGTCCAACGATCAATTAGCGGACAACAGAACTGGCAATCAACCCGGTTGCAGAGTGTGGCGTGTAGCGGGTCCATTTTATTGCTCCTCCCGCGATGGAATGCAACGCCTCCTGGTGGAATAGCTCCACCATGGCCCCTCAATGGATGTCATCGACTCAGACCTCTTTGTTCTTCGAGGGCCGGGCTCTATGTCATTTGTGACGACTCCTTCACGGACTCCCTGCTCCGCCTAATGATGGCATCTAATTGGCCCTGCTGCTTCGTTAACTTGGCTTACATGGCACGCCATAAACCAGAGCTGCCCCCTTTCGCAACTGTCTCGTAATCAAGAAATTAATAATCGCATCATATGCTGTGGAGATGGGAGTCACCCCAGCTCCGACACCAACCACCTCCGAGAATCCCCACTGCTAATTGCATCTGACGTGAGGCGTAAATGATAACCAAGATACAATGTACGAGTGGGCTGGGGAGCAGGTAAGGTGTGCACGCTCTCGGCGAGTTCATTGCCACCACTTGGGGCGAGACCTCTTGGCCAGAATCGACACCCCCCCGGGTGGATAGTATTTAGGCGTTTTCATTTAAGCAATTCCCATTCCCCCACCTGGACGTGTTACGAAACCCCACCGCCGGCAAACAATGGGACAGTGTGGAGGGGAAACTAAGCCAAGCGGCAAACTCTTAACAGATGATTCAGATACATACTAAACCCGGCTATCTTGCCCAACTTCCGAAAGCGATTTCCCATCCACACCTAGACCTCGTGGTATAAACCCCAAATATAAAAATCTAAACGTGAGTGGGCTATTTCTTAAATACTCGACGACGATGTGTTTATAAAGACTAACAAGCTAATATGAGACTGATTTTTAGAGGCCTTATGGAGAAGACTAATTCATGCAGATGACTGGTGACTTGATAGCCAAATCCACACCTACAAGCTTCGAGGCATTTAGTCCATTTAGCCTGTAATTTAGTCGTTCGTTCTCTCAACAAATATTGAATTCCCACATCATCTATGTGGATTCTAGACCGGCAATTATATGCCAGCCCCCCCACACACACTCGATCGGAATCGAGGTTACCTTCTTTAGCTTTAAAGTGAACCAGCTTTCTGGGCTTTCATTCATGAATGTCGTCTTACGAGCTCCAAGCACAAGCTCCAGCTCCAAGACACAAAACAATGAGGGCTCACATAAATTAGATGGCAAGTGGATCGACTGGGTTCAGCAGGGGCTTCAATGGCTCCCAACCTGCGATGATGGGAAAGTGATGTCAGGTGGATTAAATGAAACGGGAGTAGAGTGCCCAGTCGTGCCAGAGTGTTATATTGAAAGTGTAATACTTAGTCCTCTTACAAATGGCTAAGAACGAAGACCCACAACCATCGCTTGGCGAAAGAAGGTTATTTCTATGTGGAGCTAAAAGGCACGTGGATGGCCAAAAAAAAAGAAAAGAAAAGAAAAGCACTTCAAGACCTTCAAGACTTCTGGTTTATTTTCATTAATTACTAGCAGTGAGGCAACTAATTTCGTGGCTCGGCAAGTGCATTTCAACTTGAAATTGAAACCAAAAACGAAATTGAAACTTAATCCAGAGTGGGAGTGGGAGTGGAGTGGCAGCACTCGGGGGCATACTACATACATGTATGTGGGCGGAAATGAGTCACTCGAGACGAACCGCCCTGAATTAGGTTCAAGAGCTGGCCGGCCTGCTGCAAATTAATTTTAATATTTTATGAGACGAGCCTAAAATGGCAATTCGATTTTCAAACCGCACTAAACACACATACTTACGAGTTGAATATTTAATCGTTCTCTTAATCTAAACTACTTTTGGGCCTTAGAGGCCTTTATATTAAAGCATCAAGATATATCTTACCTTTGCTGCCTTTGAGGATGCTGTTGGGAGCACCTCCTCTTCCAGGGGCTGGGACTCCGTTGACTTCACTGACGGTGGGCGGCCCTCCATTGCTTGGCAATCCGGACACGAACTGATTACGCACCGACATCTGGCTGTTTAGCGAGGAAGTGCCACTCAGCGAGGTCACATCCTCGCGGGAGGCGGTGGTCCCAGCCGACTGGGAAGTCTTCTTGATTGCCGGCGGTGGTGGCGGGCGCGAATGGTGGATGCCGGGCGGTGGCGCTAGACCTGCCGACTTCTCGCTATTCCCATTGCCAACCACATCGGCGGAGACTCCAGCTACTATGTCGTCCACATCGCCATCACCATTATCGTCCACGTTGTCGCGGCTGCAATTGAATTTTCTGCCGCTTCCGTTGGCAAGGCTAGAATTTAGATTCGAGTTTCCGTTAAATGTTGCAAAACTGGTCGGAGTAGCAGCAGGATGTGGATGTGGATGTGGATGTGAGTGCTGGTGTTGGTGGGAAGTGTTCAGAGGCGCCAACTGTTGTTGCTGCTGCTGCTGTTGTTGATAGAAGTGGTTGGTGAAGTGGGGCTGCTGGTGCTGCTGCTGCTGTTGCTGGAGCATTAGGTAATCCGTGGGAGACTTGGCCGCAGATACGCCCCTGACAGCCACACCTGCTCCTCCGCCGGCCGATGCCGTTGTCGTGGCCGTGATTATTGGCATTTTTGTTGAATTGTTGTGACTGGTAAGCGTTCTATGACCCAATGCTTTGTCTGGCCATTGCATTTGAATTGAAAGCTTCTTCTCTTAATACGTTTTCCATGGGGATTTCATTAGAGAGTCCATCAGGAACCTGCCAAACTGAATAATTAAGCGAGAAACCATTAATTAGCAATATGCAAAGTAATAAAAACAATTGCCACTTTTATAAATAATGGCTTTTGAAAAATAAATAATCAGAAAGTCATAAAATGAGTCACAGTTTAAAATTCTACAAAGTTCCTCTCAGTGATCTGTCTGCAACGGCTTCTTGGATAGCTTCAGAGATGTGTGCCAGCCATCGCCAAATACTTTGAATATCTAACATTGCTCTGCCCCCCGTTCTGAGCCGGGCTCCGAAGCCAACTATCCAGTTAGACGGCTCCGGGCCAGACACGATCATTGTTCAGTGGCTAGCTCTCCACTGCAGACTTGCACAGCTCCAACTGGTCTGTCTCCTCCTCCGCCGCCGTGGAGCACCCCTCCTATTGTTGACATTGCACTTTTAAAGACTCTGCTTTGGACTTTCCCATGACAGACATATAATTATAATAATTTTCTGCAAATTCCATGGCGGCTCTCTGCCTCAAATTTTCGCCAGTTAAAGCAATTGAGATAATTCCAAATTTTTTCAGCCTTGAAGTTGATTTTTTTTTAACGAGATCGTTTAATTGGCAGCTTTCTTTGGTTATATTTTCATGCCGACATATGTTTCTATATATTTTTGATAGGAAAACGAGAGTTATAGCACAAAATTATGAATAAGAGGGCAGCAATATAAGAAAATTAACTGTGCGAAAAAAGGGGCACCAAACACGACAGCCACATAAAGTTCCTCAAGCGAAAAATTTACTCTTATGAGAAAAATACAAAAATAAAAAAAAAAACAACGTAGTATAGTACTTCAGCCAGAAGACGAGCCGTTAAAAAAAAAATGGAAAACCGAGAGGCCACAAGAGGAGCTGCGGGCAAGAATTCCAACAAAGAACAACAAATGCGAGAAACGAGTTTTTCAGGGCATGCCACCGCTACCGCCACTGCCACCATCCACCAGCCACCAGATCGCCAGAAATCCAAAAACTGAAAACGAAAAGGTAACCCCCACAAATGCACAGGAAGAAACGGCTAGTTTTGAAAACTATGCAATGGTGAGTCATGTCCTTATAGTTCTCCCAGTGTATTCAGGTAAAAGGAAAAACGATTGTGGTGGTTTTGTTTCAGTTCAGGCTCACCTCAAAAAGAGACCTAAAACGGCCCAGCCACCTGTCGTCTGTTGGCCAGGAGCATTAGAGGAAACTTTAGAGAAAAGAGAGTAGGGGGGGACTAACTTTCAACTGCAATCAGGCGCAACGCACGACCAGGTTGCCGTCAACAAGGGGCGCGGCAGCCACAAAAACCAGCAATTTCACTTCATGGGTGAAATTCATCATTGGCGGCGTCGTTAACGTTTAGGTATTTCTGCGAAACTATTACCAAGTTAATAAATTCAGTGATCTTTCAATTTGAAGCTCAAACAACTATTTCTTTGTCTCCTAATTTGCACCCATTGGCCGGCCATCGATCATAGATAAACACTCCACCATCGACTGGTGGTGGTGGTCAATACCATGGCCAGAAATTGGAAAAGCAATGTCAGCAGATAAACAATTTTCAATCGGCCACTTTCAAAAATCGCACCTTTTTTTTCCTTTCGAGCTTGTTTATTTATTTGGCCCGACGTGAGGGATCGCTGGTGATGATGATGATCGTTATTGGCAGCAGCAGTATCAGTACGAGTACGAGAGCCGGGCACCACTTTCCATTTTTATGGCGGTTTTCGGTTTCCAGAGGCGATGAAAACTGCAAAACGCGTTTTTCAAACAGCACACACTCACAGACACACGGGCACAGGCACAGGCACAGAGATGCGGTGGCACTTATTAACTGTGATAATATGGCCAAGTCTGGAACCGATTGGACCGAAAACACGTTGGATGATGCACACCTGTTGGTGATGGCGGATGATGGTTGCAAGAAGGGGGGCGTACACCGTTTATTTGCCGTTTTAATTCGCATTCGATGGCAATTCGATTTTCCCGCTGGAAAAGCAACACGGAGCTGGGGAGCAGAAGCGTCGACGCGAACCGAACTCGCCAGAAACTCAGAAACAAATGACGCGAAGGAGGCCGAGCCTCGCTGATAAAAACTGAATAAAACCTGTTGCTTGCCTCCACATACACACACGCGCAATGCACACCGCCAATAAATGCAGCACCCTACGAGAGCCAGGTGTTCTTTTCAATTTAATTTCAACAACTGCTTTAAAAACATACACTTTTAACTCAATAGTTTAACACAAAGGTATAGTTTTTATTTATTAAACAAACAAAAAATAAACAAAGCTAGGTGCGTTGGGTTTGAATATGGTGGGACCATTGCACACAAAGCCACAAAATACCACTTTATCGGTTATCGGTTATCGAACAAGCCGCCAATGAGTCGTTAAATTCAAAATTTAAGCAGTAACTGAAAAATATACATATTTGCTCTGAAAAATAAACATTGCACTTTATTTAAGCACACAATTTTGACAATGAAATATTATTTTTGTATCTATCATGAAGTTGGCATGACCATCGGTGCCGGCTTTTTGCCCTTTTCCTTTTCTGCTTTTTCGGCCAATTCCTCCCTAATCACTTCGGCAATGTCATAGATTTGTGGCTTGTGCTGTAGATTTTAGAATTAACCATGTTGAAAAATATAGAAAAGGATTTCAATATCCGCTCACCTTTAGCTGGTTGATGTAAAAGGTAAAGGGAACATTTCCTGTGATTGGATCAATGGCCACGGGCCACATTGCTTCCAGTTCCTCGTTAGTGAAAGGTTCCCCTTCCTCCGACATCAACTTTCCAAAATACTCCTTGGTCAGATATTTTTTATTCTCTGGATCTAGGGTCTCAAAGGCCTCGAGAATCTTTTCAGCCGAAGCCGGTTGCATTCTGTTCAAAGAATATTTATTATTCATTACGTAATATTGTATCATTATATCTTACTGTTTGTCCATCAGCAGTAGGGAGACATGGCCCATAAACTTGATTAAATGAGCCTCGCCAGGGTACTCATGAGACTCTGTGGCCTTAATCACAGCTTGGACCTCCTTTTCTGAGGGTACACAGCCCAAGAACCGGAGGACGTTGCCCACATTTCGGGTATCTATGTACTTATCACCATGCGTATCAAAAATACAAAACGCTTCCGCAATTAATATCTCAAGTTCGTTCGTTAGGGACACTGGGGATGGTAAAATGCATCAAAATAGGATAAACAGGATAAAATTCTTCTCGGCTTACCGCCAACCTCCATGGCAATAGTATTATTTAACACTTATACAATTTTTGTTATTAAATGGTCTCCACGGAAAATTTTAAGACTTCAAATTTTTATGAATATTTCTCGAACTGAAGCTGTCGTTACTGAATACTTCTCTGATTTTGAATTAAAAACCAAATATTTAAGATGGGGTATTTAAGTTTATACTTGGGAGCCATTTTATATTAAATGGCTAATTTTACAGATCTTGAGTATTTCAATCTAATTTAAAAAGGGCGCCGCGGTTGTGTGACCAAGTTAAGGCAAACAAATAATGGTTTGGCAACCCTATTTAATGGGCAAGCGTATAACGCCCATTGGGACCAACTGGCCACATTACATCCAACCAGAAACAGCCACGTCAACTTTTTCATCCACCCACTTGAGAAAGAACACGACAGCCCAAAGGAAAACTAGTTGCAAAGGTGACTAAGAAAATTGCGTGAGACAAAGGCCGAAAAGCCCGAGGCAATGAAGAGGTGCAAAACTGAAAAGCGTCCGAGAAGCGCAGTCGCAGCCAACGAGACAACATAATCAAGTCGCGAATCAGAAATCAGATTAAGTTCAGATCGGAAACAATGCAAACGTAAAACGGAGGCGCCTCAAACAGTCGCAACCACTCAGCATTTTGTTACACACAACCTGAACAGCAGTTTTTTTTACCATGGCCCCCACCGCCAACACAGTTCTGATATCGGTACCGCGAACAGTGGGAATCACATCAGCCTCGCTGCCCAAGCTTCGACCCGCACCCCTTACGGCTGCCCTACTTAAGGCCGGCTCATCGCCCACACCCTCGAGCTCCGGATACGCTTCGTCCTCGAACAGCGTTATAGAGGAAGAGACCATGGCGGCAGCGCCGCCTAAGGCCAAGAAGCGCCGCCTCGACCACTTGACCTGGGAGGAGAAAGTGCAGAGAAAGTAAGTTTTACTAAATCCTTTTCTTTCTGACCAAAGTACTTATTCCCCTCTTTAATTATGCAGGAAGCTAAAGAACCGAGTTGCAGCACAAACATCGCGTGACCGCAAAAAGGCACGCATGGAAGAAATGGAATACGAGATCAAAGAACTAACAGACAAGACGGAAATTCTTCAGAACAAGTGCGACAGCCTACAGGCAATAAATGAGTCTCTGTTGGCCAAGAATCACAAACTGGACTCTGAGCTGGAGCTCATGCGACAGGAACTCGCCGAACTAAAACAGCAGCAGCAACAGCTCTCCAAAAACGCAGCCACAACCATCATCCCCAATACCAGCAACAGCCAATCCAACGCCAGCATAGGCGCTGAGGGCTGTGCGTCCACAAACCTTGGATCCGCAGCATCCAATGCTGACCCTCTGCAGCAGGGTACACATCAAGTGGACACACAGTCGTCAGCGCGTCTGCTGACGGAGCAGCTGAAGAGCAGCCAGAGCCTGGCTTCTCTCTGGAAGGTTGTGGCGCTCTGCCTTCTCTACAAGACATGCTTGGCGACGACGAAGAATTCGACGTCCGGCGTCTCGAAGAGTTGGCCGAAAGTCTGCTCGCAGATATCACAGCAGACCTGGAGACAGGCCCTGGAGAGGGCGGCTCTGCTGCTGCCGAAGATACAGGCAAGCCGGAGCGATTGCCTGGATCAGTGGTGGGGTCCACAACAGAGCGCCTGGAACCCAACGGGCATAGAGCTCGTAGCTTAGACAAGAAAGAGGATTCCGAGAAAGAGCACAGCCCTAAGGTGCCGGTGTTAGAATTAAATGGAAACACACAGCAAACACAAGTGCCCGTCTCGACGATAATCACAGCCAAGACAGAAACGGCAGCGCCAATCGCTTCAGTCATCCAGGGAACTCCGGATACGGTGTATGGAACCTACGATGCCAAGACAAATTCGATAACCATTGTAATGGACGGCGACGCAGTGCCGGTTAACGAGGCCGTCATGGAGATCTACAGCGACGGTGTCACCGCTGGCGACGACTCCACAGATGTGGTCATGAAATGTCCGCCGCCAGCGACGTCTCCGTCGCAAGTCTATCTCAATGTGGTGAACGCCACCGAGGACTCCGACGACGAGAACTTCGACTCGTTCGAACGGTTTCTCTGCCCACGCGTCAAGGCAATCTCACCCCTGGCCAAATCTCCTGCGTTGTCCCTGCACTCAGCGACCTCAGACCACGGCTACGAGTCGATTCTGGGATCTCCGTCATCAACAGCGCTCACTCTGCCCGCGGACGAGGAAGATTTCACGTGGCAAAGCAACTTTGAAGATCTATTTCCCAATTTGATTTAAGCCCTGAGCTTGGTGATCGTTTTTCAAATTGAAAATTGAATTTGTTGGCCCAACGCTACCGTTTCGTTCTCTCTGTTTAATTGTTAAGGTTGGCAGCCGCTTAAGTTAAGCTATTAGTTATAGGCTGTATAGAATTTCGTCATCGAAGGCTTTACATATGATATTCATCTTAGCACTTAGTTTAGCTGTATGTTTCCATTTATGTTTAACACTCTAACCACATAGGCTTAAATATTCTTAATTGTAATGTGCTCAATGGATATGCTAAAACATTCGCAAAAAATCTATATATTCAAAATATAAACAAACCCAAACCAAGCCCGTATGATGTGTTTTCTACCATCCTTAAATATTTCAGGTTCTAGCCATATGACAGTCAGGCCATCATAACTTAAATCAGGCCATATTTTGTGACGTAATTTCAACATGCGCAGATAGTATTACGAGTAAATAGAAATGAGTCATTATACTATCCCTCCCATTCCTGGGTGTACCATGGACCCGCCTTTTACGGAAATTATCAACTCACGCTAGTCTAAATCATTATCTACTGCAAGCATGCGATTATTTCCTATAATTTCAGCTGCTGTTTAATAAAGTAATAAAATATTATCTCGATTCTAGGCAAAACATTTGTTGAACCATTTTTTCAGAAATTATGAACCTACCCTCGTGAAGTTCAAATGTAGATATATTTCAAGAGGTTGCCAGATGTTTCAAAATGAAATTAATGTATAAAACATAAAAAACATTTATAAAACTAAAGAAAATAAAAATATATTTAAAAATAAAAATAAAAATTTACAAAAATTTATTTATGCTTAAAAACAATTTATTAAAATAATTTTTAATTTTTAAATCTCTTTCCTGAGATGGCAGCCTTAAAGTAACTAGTCAGTCACCACTGATTAAAATAGTATCTTTTGGACATCCATAACATTTTTAAAGAACTTTTAGTTAAAATAAAAAAAACATATAAATAAACTTTAATTTAAAAAAAATTAAACATTCGGCTGTAGAGAAACCATTTAAAATGCCGGAGAAAGCCGAGGAATCTGCCGCTCCCGCTGTAGATTCACCTGCCATTGTGCCCGTCAGTTTGCAATCCCAGGATTCGGGTGCCTTGGAAGATATGGACTTGGAAGAAAAGCCGGTGAAGGGAGGAAAGAAATCCAAGAAGAGTCGGTACTCGGAGGAGGAAATGGAGTTTAAAAAGCTTGCCCAACGTCGCATTAACGTGGCCGGAGCACCAAAGATGCCTCTTAATGGCTACGTCCGTTTCATGAACGACCGTCGTGAGGAGCTCCGACGTGAACAGCCCCACCGCACTGCCCTGGAGCATACCAAAATCATTGGTGAGGAGTGGCAGCAGTTGTCAGAAGACCGCAAGATGCCCTACATAGAGGCAGCCGCTAAGGACAAGGCCATGTAAGACTACCATTCATCCTATTTCAACCATTTACTAGCATTATGTACTTGTATTCCTTAGTTACCAGGAGCAATTGCAACTGTTTCTTAAGGAACATCCCGAAATTGTGGCCAAGGAGCTAGCCAAGGCCAAGAAGGCAACCAAGATAGAACCTACTCCAAAGGAGAACAGCAGCGCCACCAAGGGAAAGAAACCCAAGGCGAAAACAACGCCCGTAAAAAGGCAAAGCGAGGATCCCGATGACATCCCTTTGGCTCAAGTCAAGCGGACTCCAACACCACAGCCTACTCCTGTAGCACCGCCAGTTACGACACCTGCAGCCAGCTCTCAGCCAGTACCACCAGCGCCGGTCATTGCCCCTCGACCCCTGCAACCCGGAGAGATTCCCATCTACACAAATGAATTCATCGAGCACAATCGCAGCACGGAGAACGAACTGCGGACTCTTCGCAAGGCCAAGACTGATCTGGAGCAGCAGAACGCGGTGCTGGAGCAGCACGTTGACAATACTAAAGCTGGCTATGCGAAAGTAATGGCAGAGGTTTCCGAGCTGAAGGAGGAAAACGTGCGACTAGAGTCCTACTTGAATGCCCTGCGCCAGAAACTGGTCACGTCCCTTGTCGGCGTCTCGATTCCTTCGTTCGAGGCAAGCGGCCCGAACATAGAGAACGTTGACAAGTACATCCGCCATTTGGCATCCCTTGCCGGCCAGCCCAACAACGCTTCACTACTCAAAGCGCGGGAGGCACTGCGGAAGCTAGATACCTCCAGCCTGCTTAAGCACTAAACGCCAACATTACCGTACAAGTTTATGTCTAATGATAAGTCCTCTTAAAATAAGAATAATTTATAATTGCTTACATAATTAACTATATATTTTTTACTGATTAAACACGCACTCTATAATTTACTAATGGAACAATTAGTTTACGTTGCCTTCGCTGCGCGAGGTCATGTTTCCAAAGTTGCGGAACTTGCGAAGACGTGGAGTGCGCGAAATGTAACGCATGCCATCGTTTTCGGATGTGTCTTCAACCCGTTGGATCTTGGAACGGTAGAAATAGTAGTTGCGGATGAAGTAGTATCCGCCATAAAGCATAGGAACAACCATTATTGGGTGACAGACCAATCCCAACACCAACAAAAATGACGACATCATCAGGTTGGTCAGAGCCTCTGTGGAATGGAGAACGTACAAAAGGATTCTTATGAAGAGACCCACTTACGTTGAATGTGCCAAACCGAGGACACCACCGTGTAAATGGTGCCTGAGATGGTTTCAAGGATTCCATACAATAGAGAGAACATTTTCAGCTCAGATAGTATAGCCCGAGGGAGAAATATAGCCCTTTCCGACGTGACTGCCAAATGTGAGCTGGACTGAGACCAGAATACTTTGACAGTTGGAGAATGGAGTGCTTGAGGAAAAAAATAAATAATCGAAAAAGTAATTCAAAAATTATAAATAAAACCAAACAAAATGTAATATTCTTGCTTCACACAGCGAACAGTTGTTCATTTATTATTTAAACAAAATAGTCGTCGTTTCACTTCTCGTAAATAAACTTAAGCGCTCTTTCTTAGTGGCTTTCGATTCTTACTTTTTTTTTTCTTTTCTTTCTTAGGAACAGCAGAACTAAACAAAAATAAATTAAAACTTAAAAAGAAATCGTTTCGTTTGATGTTTTTGTTTGTTTTTTTTTTCAAGAAATAAGTTCTAAATTATATCATATAGTAAAGGTTTTATAACAAAATAATTTAATGAGATAATAAATGAAGGGCGCAGACTTCAAAAAATATTCCCTTGAATGGGAGGCGGACGATCGCGGAGTTGGCAGCAGCCATCCCCCTCCCAGGGTCAAAGGCCATCACTATGGTTGGTCAAACTGTCTCACAGCGTTTGATAAAAGGAAATATATATATATTACGTCGAATTCCGTAGGGTCCTTGGTCCTTGGAATTCATCATCATCAATCAAAAATGCGAATCGCTTTTTTCATTTCGTTATTATTTTTAGAAATTTTGTGTTTTGTTTTCTTGTTTTTATGTTGTTTTTTAAGTGTGATTTAGATTTCAAATCATCCGTTAAAGTAATCGTTTACTTTGCGTAGTAGAAGGGAGATACTGAATGTGTATTTGGTGTGTTTGTAGGCGGCCAGCTGGCCCAAAACAAGTGGCTGACATGAGCTGGTAGGTCTCAATCAATCAAGGGAAAGCGTTTAGGCCTTCTAGGACAATTGTAATTGGAATGCCAAATATAAAAAAAAAAATAAAAAAGGGTAACTTTTAGAAAAATTGTAAATAAAAAAAAAAACGTAAAGAGAGAATTGTTCAGCAATTCTGGGAGCTGGGAGCTTGAAGTGAGCTGCATTCTGAGGCTCTGATTAAATTTGAAAGAAAACTGCTTATTCATATTACGGACATTCAGATATTGGATGCAAACGGCTGTGAATCCGGCTCCTGCATCGGGCTGCTCATGGTAGCGGATGCATTCCCTAGTTCATATAAAGTATAATAATCTCAAACTTGTCGACGCAGGTGCAGGTGCGAGGACGAAGACGACGACGAGGGCGTCAAGGACTGCTGCTGTTGCTTTTGGCGTCAGGCATCCGTACCATTCGGGTTCATGCCCACCGGCGACACCACCATCATGTTGCCCGTCTTGGGCGTGTACACACTGGCATTAGGATCCAGCGTGGACGATCCGTTTCCGTTTGCGGCAGCAGCATTGGCCGCAGCCACCTGCAGGGCGGCAGCCACACTGACCGGCACCATCTGCTGCTGGGAGACGGACACACCGCCTTGCTGCTGATGCTGTTGATGCTGCTGGTGCTGCTGATGCTGCTGATGTTGCTGATGCTGCTGATGCTGCTGGTGCTGTTGATGCTGCTGGTGCTGCTGATGCTGTTGATGCTGCTGGTGCTGCTGATGCTGCTGGTGCTGATGTTGTTGGTGCTGCTGATGCTGCTGATAATCCTGCGCACCGCTCAGGCTAAGCATGGGAGAGGACGGTCCTGGACCCGACTGCAATGGCGGTGTATCGTTCATGCGCAGTAGGCTGCTAGTCGGGCCATGGGGTCCCGTGTTCATGCACAGTGTGTCCGGCATTACAGCCAGTAGCTGGGCTATCTTTGCCTTGAGATCAACGACCTCTTCCTCCTTGGAGCGACGATGGTCTGCCACGACAAACAATCATTAGACAATCTTCTAACTTGGAAGAGGAAACCAGATACTCACTGTCAGATATTTCAATCTGGCGCTTGGCTGCGCCTAGAGCCGAGAACAAGTCCAGCTTGACTCTCGTCTCTGCGGATAGATTCTTCTCCAGCGTAGCATTCTTATCCTGCATGGCGGCCAGGGCATTCATCAGCAACTCCGGATCGGGCTGGGAGGATTCAAGATTTCGCAATTTGGCCTCGAGCATACGATACTGAAAATAGAAAATTTGGTTTTATAAAGAACCCTAGAGAGTGTAAACAGTAGCCTACCTCTTGTTCCAATTTCCGTCCATGCTCCACCGCCAATTGCTTGGACTCTTCCGATTGCTTGAGTTCAGAGCGTAGCCGCTTCAGTTCCTCGTCCATCTGCTGCCGACGCTGCTTGCACTGGGAGCTGCATTCAGGACGGGCAGCCTTTTCCTCGGCTGCCTTTCGCGCCTTCTTCTCGTTGGCCAGCTGAGAGTCCAGAGACTGCTTCTGGCGGCGCTCCTCGTTCAGCCTCCTCTCCACGGTTTGCAAGTTCAGCATGTCGGAATGGCGCGCATTGTTCAGCTCCTGAATACGCTTCTCCAGCTCGTCGCACTCCTTCTGCTTGGCTTGCAGGGTAGACTTGCTGGTGAGATTGGCGTCCAACTTCTGGCGCAGCTCATTCTCGATCTGCTTCATATGACTAATTTCGGCGCGGTACTTCTTTAAGTCAGCCTCTAGCTTGGAACAGGTTTCACATATCTTGGACACCACCTTGCTGGCGATCCTGGCAATGGCATCGCTCGATGTGGAGCTCGCAGACGATGACACTGAACTGGTGTCATTGTTATTGTTGTTGGCCGTATTCTCCTTGTCCTTTTCCTTCTGTTGCTGGGCCAATTGCTGTTGGTGGCTGTGATTGTCCTTGACAGTGTTGTCCTTTTTCCCGCGATTGCGTCGACCTAATAGGATTGTAAATATTGGTTTAATAATTCATTAAATATTAATTATTAAAACTTACCTTTAGGCGCCTTTTCAGTTGGCGCTGTCGCTTCAACCGACGTGGTTTCTTCAGCCTCCAAATGATTCGCATTTCCATTCGGCACCGCATTGCTTGCCTTTTTGTCTACAAAGATCCAACCGCAACGATATTAAACTATTATTTTTAGAATATTTAGTAGAAGATATTACCGTGCTTATCTTTTCCCCCTTGCTGCTGTTGTTGTGGATAGTGGTTGCTATCCCAGTCTGACTTCTCCTTATCCTTATCCTTACTATTACTTGATGTGGCTGTTGCGGCTGATGTGGTTGCTGTGGCAGCACTGCTATCGACTTGGTGATAGTTATGGTTGCTATTTTTACCCCCATGCCGTGTAGCGTTGTTGTGCTCGTTATCGGCAGCGTCGGCCTTATTCCGATGCTTATCCTTGTCCATGCTGCGGCGGTGGTTCCTTGAACCGCCAGCATGTCCGTTGGAGGTGGCTGCAACGAGGAGTATTTATAGAACGTTAATTGAATGTCTATTTATGGCCGTGGTATAACAAAGTAAAAGCATTTCATTGATTTCACGGGGGAATGGGCTGGATAACTTGTTAGTAGGTCAGGTTGGGCTGGTAACAGGGAAACATTGACATGAAAGTTTCGATGCTTGACTACCTAGTGGTTGTTGTGAGTTAGACATAGCATGAAAGCCTCACAGGCGGTTACTTCTAATGAACTTATGATGGGGTGGCATGCGCATACAGAGACGTACACAACGGAGGGATCTGATTTGCTGTTTTGAGGGTCAGCATGGAGCAGAAGAGGACTTTATTACCGCCACAACAACCGTCAGCATCAGCACTGTCTGAAGTAAAGGTACTCTTGTAAGAGGAGGCCGAAGAAGGCTGGTTTTGGTGCTGTGTCGCCGGGCTCGCAGCCACAATTGCCATAGTTGTTCTATCGGAGTGACATGAGGCGATATTGCAAGAAGTGGATGCTGCACCTGTTGTGGCTGCTGATGCCGCCGACACCGTCGACTGTTTGCCCGAACAATTTGCAGACGGAAAGGAACCGGAGGACAAGGAAGTCACTGTCGTCGCACCTGCAGCGGAAGACGATGACAAAGCAGACGCCGTCGAGCTGCTATTGTAGTTGTCGCCGGCACTGTTATCCTTGCTGCTGCTATTTGGGTTGCTGCTGCTGCCATTCCCATTGCTGCCGCTGTTGTTGTGGTGGTGATGATGATGATTGCTAGAGCTGCTGCTGGCGCCGGCGCCGCCGCTGTGATGATGCTCGTGATGGTTTTGTGCTTGCGTGGCAGTGGCCAAAATTCCGTTGGCTGCCGCGGCCACTGTGGTAGGAGTGACCAGGCCGGGCGACGTCGCCGATCCGTTGGCCACCACAGCCGTGCTGGAGGAGGCAGGAGCTCCCGCAGTTGCCGCCTCCTCGGCAGCCTCTTCGGCCGGCAGCGCCTGCTGAAGGAGCTGCATATAAAACTCGTTGTCCTTGGCCACCTCGCGCTGCTTACGCTGGCGCATACGGTAGCCCACATAGCTTTTAAAGCCGAATCCAAGTGTGACAACTGGGTAGCCAATACTGCAAGTGGAGAGGATCTCTTAATATTGTTCTTCCATTCGTTCGGATTGAAATTCTTACCAGTGCGCCGCGAACGGCCGGCAGAGATCTAAATGCGGCATATGGCGACTGTCCTTCCATCGAATGCCCACCTCCAGATAGACGAACAACATCCAGAGTATAATGGTGGGCAAGCAGATGCCTTTATCTGCAAAAGTCATAAAGACAGAGTAGTTAGAAAGTATGGTTACAGAGATTAATGCACGGATGACGCACCTGTGTGCCAGACATACTGCACCCAGACATACGTGCTGGCCGCGAAGAGTAGCCAGTGAACGGGTATGAAGAACAAACAGACCAGATCCGACGTTATCGCTATGCATACGAATAGCACGGAGAAGGCCTGCAAAGTAATGGGTCATGTTAAGGTCTGTGTTATAGCCATTGAGGATCGATGATTCACTTACCAGGCCCTTGTACTTGAAAGAATCGTGCACTGAGCGCAGGAGCAGCCAGAAGGGCCATAAGAACTCGAAGCGGAACATGAACATGAAGTCCGCCACCATAACGATTGCCCAAAGTATTAGAAACTTCATGTACAGAACAGTTGTGCTGGAAATGGAGAGAAAATGGGATTAGTAATTGAAGAAGGGCCATAAATTATTTATAGAACAGATTAGTCCAACTAGGCACGAAGAATATAACGATGAGGCGGACGAAATGCCAAAGCGAATAGCGTCCAAAACACGAGCAATAAGGCGCAATCAAAATGTAAACAAACTTATTAATCAAAGAAATTAAGCAGCGAAGAGAACAAGTTCAGCCTCACACACTCAGACACTCTCGCGTTGGCGGCGTTGTGCGTAAAAATTTATACATATTTTGTATTATTTTGCGTCTCAGAATATGTGATAGTGACGGTGCCAAGTTGGGGGGCAATCCGCTGGCCAATATAGGGCTATATAAACACTCACCTGCCGTACATGCCCTCTGTGATTTTGTTGCGCTTCATCGGCCGGCGCAGCTTGCCGCAATCCGCGTTGCGTCGCTTCATTTTAGATGTGTGGCGTGTGTGGACCTCGACCGAATCCTCCGCCTCGTGAGATCTTCCTCCTTGCCTTGCCTAGATTTATATTTTATCGTTCCCCTATCTCTTAGTCTTCTTGCTGCTTAATCTCCTCCACTTTTGAATCAATTAACAGATGCTTCTGGTGCTCTTCTTGCTGATGGCATCGATAGCGATACCGGAGTGGTTGTGGTTGCTGTGGCCTCTGCTGCCGGCGCGACGGCATCTCATTTACATCTCATGCGTGTGGAAAACGGTTTTGGCCTCCTGCTGAGCCGGCTTTCTGTCTTTGCACTGCAACGAGATGGGGGATAATGGCGGGATGAGAAACTACAATAGCACCAAAGAGATCTACCCAACATCCTTGGATTATAGGGCTCCTAGCATTACTAACAATAAGCCAACTCGAAATAATCAATGAAAACAGGACCTGCAACCTGAAACTCAAGCGTGGAGTGTGGGAGTTGCGAGACGTAACTGGGAATCTAAGCCAAAATCCGAGAGGGATGTTGGTGGGGAGGGGAAACTTTTCAACATGTGGATGTTGCTGGATGATGATGATGATGCTGCTGCCCGGTAAACTCAGTGGAACGTGGACCAGCACGTACTTGGACTCAAACACACTCACACACACACACAGGTGCACTGGTTGCGCCAGTTCGGCCACTGCCACTGCGACTGCGCCAACTGAATCGGAAGCGGAACTATGCAGACTTCAAGGAAGCAGAGCAGAATCAGTGGCCTGGCATCCTCGTGTGTATGTATTCAGCGAAAATGGTTTATAAATAGCATCCAAAAGTGGAGCGCATCTATATATCTTGCATGGCCACACATGGTAATGGCAGCGGAAGCTCCGCTTACCGATGACGTCGGGGGGCTGTTGCTCCTCTTCTGTTCTGTTCTGTTTGATGTCCTGTTTTTTGTGATGGAGACCGCATCTGGACACCTGACTGCCCTCTCCCCAATGAGTGTTTTAATCCGCCATTTTGTAATCGCCATAGACCTGTTGTGAAATACACAACTGGGAAGGGGGTCCTGGTCCACCTAATTTGAATGCCATTCCATCCCCAACTCTACGAAAAGCTTTGTGAGGCATTTTTAATTGCTCAACCTTTGTTATTTTATAAATTATGCAATTGCTGATGTATAATTGCGGTCTATATCATCACTATGTCCAATCATCAGGCTTATCGAACGGGGGAGCTTGGCCTGAGATCCAAATATGCTAGAAAATTTGAAGGTTCTGACACTCTACTGCATTGTATTCCGCCCACGCCGCCTCCGCACTTTCTCAATTGCATTTCGGTGGCCAGAACGAGATCGTGCTGGCAGCATCCCACCCCTCTCAGCTGTTCGGGCGCGCGCGCCTCGCATTTAGAAACGAAAACCACAACAACAGAAGCAGCAGCAGCAGTGACAACCTCAAGATTTGAGTGACTCGCACCGAAAGGCTAAAGAACTTTGATAAAATGCCATTTGCCGTTTGAGTTTTTATTTATTTTTACTTTTATTTTTGCATAACAGGGGGGATGGAAATAACCACGTTTTAGATACGCTTATACGTTTATCAGGAGCCACGTTATCGGATGAACAAAATGACTTAATATGGGAATCTGGCGATGTAAATAAAGCAAGAACAGAACACTCATTGATGCCGGTCTCGATCACCTTCGTTTTCCGAAAATAGCCAGAAAAAAACAAAACATCAGAATCAGAATCAGCGCCTTGATGGTATGGGTTTGGGGTATGCACGTTCGTTCGTGCATGGGTGTCGGAGACCCCCTGTCAAGAATACAACGAAAACTGCATCTGGCCATGACGGAGGCCAAGTATTCAAGAGCAGTAGAATTTCATTATAAAATGATTTTTGATTATGATATTAATCAGAACTGGATAGGGTTGATTAGCAGCGTCGTCATCGTGGATTCTCCCCCCTCTGACGGCACCCATGCTTGTTCGTGCAGGCTGGCAAAAACAACAACCGAGGCGGACGAAAAGTGAAAAGTTGTTCGAGGACTGCCTGGGGGGTAAGGCGGGAGCCATTATGATGGCGATGGGGGTGAGCTTTCGAACAGCATCCACATCCACATCCACACCGAGTGCTGCCAGGAAGGGAGCGCAAGGATGCTGTCAGCGCCGACTGCGGTTACGTTTGCTAGGGACACCTATGTGTGTTTTTTTTTTCACACTCCTCACCCATACAAACAGAGCCCCCGATATTTAAAGCATTGCAAAATTGCCCACGTTTTCAGGCGATTTAGGCACAATTTTGGCCCCTTGGGACGCTCACGATACGCTTCCGATTATTTCACTTGGTTTTTCACACGTTTGGCTTGCCAATTTATTTACTTTTATGCGGATTTTTACACAATTTGCACATTCCCACAAATGCGTGTGTATGTATATGTATGTGCCTCGCTTACGTGTGTGTGCGCTGGTAGTGTGGATTCTTGGCACCCGAAAAACGTCGCACTATTAAGCTGCGTGCCTTTGATTCTGTCGCTTAAATCAACCCCGTCGTGTACGTATATCTAATCGGATATCTGATTGATTAGCTTTGTATTTTGTATTTTTTTTAACACCCGAATCCCGAATCGAAACTTGACGCGACGCTGTAGAGGTGGAATAAAGTTCGATGGTTTCTGGGACTAGTGGCGATTTGTTGCGATAGTAGGGAATATCGGTTGGGCTGACTATCGAATAAAATTTTCCCGATTCGGAGAAATTAGAGATGGCACTTGCCCGCGAAATTTCAAATTACTTGAATGATATATATATTACAAGTTTCTTGTTTATTATTTATTATGAGTGGCCTTTAAACTATTTTCTAGTTACTTATTTTGTAAATTTAAAACAAAGTAAAGTTTAAATTTTTTTCTTTATTTTATAGTATCCGGTAATATAGGTGTATTTGAATTGTACATTATTATGCGTGTACCTAAAATCTGCGCATTAGAAACAATTTGAGTGTTAAATAGACTCTTAAAACTAAATACATAACAAAATAATAAACATTCCCAGCGTTGCAATTGATTCTTCTGATTGGGCTCCACTCATGCCGCTCCTGTCAATTTCCTGTCCATTCAATCTGTTTTGCTAATTATTTGCTACAATCTGTTTATCGGTATTTGTATCTGAACTACAATGTGTGGTGTAGTTTCGAAGAAGTCCCCTGTTAGTAAAGTAACCGATTTAAAAGCAACCGTCCATCCATTCTTGTCCACAAATGCGCCGTAATCTCACTATAAAAATTGTAATATTTTCGCAAATATGTAGTTACATTTAGTTTCTTTTTTAAAGGAAATTATAAATTACAGTTTCACTTTAATTTGCTCAAGGGGGCCATTTGTTCCTTGGTTGGTTCGTCCGTCGGTCGTCCTATGCATCATCGGCAGTTCCATCATCGGCAGTATCTGGAGCAGTAGCAGCAGCAGCGGCAACTGGTTCACTTGGATTCTCTGCGGTCGAAGCATCCGCCTGGGGCTCAGCTGCCGGCGCTGGAGCCCAATCTTCTTTGGGCGCAGCCTCTGTGTGAGTAACCTCTGGTTCGGGATGTGGCGGCGAAGGCCGAGCCTCAGCTGCCGGTTCGTCCTCTCTCGTGTCCCGAACAGGTGCTGGTATCTCATCATAAAGAGGCGTGCAGGCGGGTGAAGCATCGTGTTGGGGCTTCGGCTCTGATGAATCGGTTGCTACATCAGCTGGCTTGGCAAAATCTTCTGTCTTTTCCGGTGGCACACTCTCCAAAGTCTGGAGAGCACTGGACTCTGTCTTTTGCGCCTCTCGGGCGTCGTAGTCCTGCAGCTCGCGGTCCCAGTCCTCCTCGGTGTCAACCGCCCCTGCGGCGGCAGGCGGTCCTTCTCTTTTCTCGACGGTCTTGGGCTTGCTTTCCGATTCCTGCGCTGGCTTGGTGCCTTCGTCCAATGAACTTACTGAGTAACGGCTGCTATCATCCCGCGAGGCGCGACGGTTTCCAAAAGATTGGCGCTCACGATCTGGTCCATCACGCGGGCCATCACGTGGACCATCACGGGGACCATCACGTTGGCCATCACGTTGGCCATCACGTTGGCCATCACGTTGGCCACCACGACCTCCGCGCTGATTGTTGCCGCGACGATCATCGCCCATATCGCGGTCCCCTCTAAAACGGTTACCACCAGGACCTCCTGGTCCTCCAGGTCCACCAGGTCCTCCGGGTCCACCAGGTCCTCCACGGCGCTTGAAGTTATTTCCCCCTTCGTCTTCATCGTCACTCCAACGACCTCCTCTTCCCCCACCTCCCATATTACGCCCACCGCCTCCTCGACCGCCGCGTTGGTTGTCATTGAAGGGATTCCGAGGATTGAAGAAACCTGTGAATAGGAATTTATGAGTGATTGAAGGAAAATATTTTTTTTATTAAATAAATTTAATAAATAATATTAACCAAATTATTATTTGGAAACAAAACTAATTATTCTCTTTGAGAGACTCACCTGGTCCTTGCTGACGTCCGCCCGGACCACCGCCGCCACCCTGGTTCCGCATAAACATGGGGCCGACTCCGTTGCCACCATTACCAGCTGGACCGCCCATACGCTGATTAAACACCGCTGGTGGCGGGATGCGCATTTGCATCAGGCTAGTGGGCTGATTGAATCGGTTGTGGTTCATATTGGGAGGGAAGAAGTCGCCTCCGGGACCACCTGGTCCACCGGGGCCTCCTGGTCCACCTGGTCCTCCATTATGGTTCCCGCTTCGAGGTCCCATTCGAGGTCCGCCGCGATTATCAAAATCTGGAAGCAAATTAAGGATAAATGAGTGTTCCTGCTAGACTCTCCCTGAATCTCCACTCACCTATGCCCATAAAGTCAGGCCTTGGCATTCCGTGATCAATTGGGTTTAGGTTTAGACGCGCACGCGCCTCATTGAAGGCAGCGTTGGGCCCTTGGGCCTGGCCAGGTCCTCCCGGACCTCCACCGTTCTCTGCACGCCAACGCTCAGCCGCTTCTGACACATCCTCTCGTCCTCCCCAACGCGAACCTCCGCCTGGGCCCCGGGAACGATCCCCATCCCTATTGCGTTCTCGTTCCCGCTGAAACATTTCGTTGGCAACGGCCGCCACAGCCGCGTCCATGGACGACTGCTGCTGATTCGGAGGTGGAGGTGGGGCGTCCTCCAGGTCCATTTCGATGTCCATTTGATCGTCGCTCACATTGCCGCTATTGTTACTTGGCGGCGGCACGCTGCCGGAAATCGGTGGCGGTATGCCGCCTGAAATGGGCGGTGGTCCGCCCCCGGGAATCTGTGGCGGTCCGCCAGCGATGGGCGGCGGCACTGCCCCAGGCGGAGGAAATGGCGCTCCAGGTGGCAGGCCCATGGGGTGTGGGGGGCCGCCCATACCTGTAGATGAAGTAGCATTAATATTTTCCGCAATATGTCGCAACAAGACTAGTATTCCCTACCTGGAAACCCTGGAGGCATCATGTTGGGGGGCATCATCATCGGTGGAGGCATGTTGGTCGTAGGTATCATAATGGGGGGCGGCATATTGGTAGGCGGCATCATCATGGGCGGCGGCATATTGAGGGCCATTGGCGGGGCCATCGGGAACTGACCCCGCACCATTCCCATTAGCCCCGGCGGAGGTCCTCCCGGACCGGGAGGAGGACCAACTGGTCCCACTGGCGGCGGTTGTGTGGTGTCAATACCGAACATGAGACCCGGCGGAGGCACTCCCACAGTGGGTGCGGGCACCTCCGAGACAGTCGTTGCCACCGGCTCCTTGGTATGATTTTTGACCTGGCTGATCTTCTGGTTCATCCAACCTGGCATAGTGTCTTCGTCAAACATGCCGCCCTCTTCCAAAGCATCAAAGTCCGTGTCCGGACTCAGCTTGTTCCATGGGATGTAGGTAACTCCCAGCTCCAAGTCCCAGAAGTCCTTCCACTCTTTACTTTTGACACCTTTGCCAGCTGCCCACGAGATGGTGATGGCGCGTCCCTGAAGTTTGTGGTTTTTAAGTGCCTGCATGGCCTTGTGCGCATCCTGGCGCCGGTTCATTACAATAAAAGCGCAGCCGCGCGGTATAATTTGGTCGATGCTCACGATGTCACCATATTCGCCAAAGGTGTCCGACAACTCCTCCTGGTAGACAAGCTTTGACAGGTGGCCCACCCACAGCGTGGTACTGCAAACTGAAAAAATAGTACAGTCTTGTATAAGTTCGGAGATCAATCTAAGGAGCTTCTTGGAACGTTGTGATGGGTGTGCTGCTCATGTATATGGAATAATTATATAATGGCTATATATATACGAAGTAATTCTCCATTATCTATGAATTACGTACAATCTCTTTCAAAGCATAAGCCTCCATAACTGGGGCAGTGGGCATGACTTATTTTAGAAAATAAATCTAGATTATGGCTAGAATATGTTCCATAACAGGTAAATATCAAAAGAAATCCAATACATTGCTCGAAAACGCATAATTATAGGGATTGGGTTAATTTAAAATAATGCCAGACATTAAAGCTAAACACACACACACGTCAACGAAGCCAAGGAGCTGCAGAGAAAACAAGGATGTGATGAGAAAATATTGAGTGTTTTTTTTTTTGGTTTATGGCCGAAAGCCCAGTTTTCGACTGGCAGGTTATAGTTACCGCTGAGGTGCTCCTTCTTGATATCTGGCAGGCCCTTCTTCCGCCGCTCACGCTCGTGTTCACGCTCTCTCTCCTTGTCCCGGTTGCTGCGTTCCCGGTCTCGAGATCCTCTCCGGCGGCTGGAGCGCGGCGATCGACTGCGCGACCGCGATCGAGAGCCTCGCCGACGACGATCCGTGCCGGTAGCGCCTCCTCCACCGCCAGCGCCTCGTCCACGGGGTGACCTTGACCGGCTGCGGCTGCTCCGGCGGCTGCGCTTGTAGCGATCCCGATCAGGAGTCGGACTCCGCGAATCAGCCCCATCCAGATTGATCACCTATTGAGAGTCGGGAGTGTTTGCAAGAAATTTGAAAGTGATTCGTGATAAAAACGTTTACATTTCGTTAAGCATAAGTTGTGAGAAGGAGTGGTGGGGTGGGGTGGGTTGTGGTGTTGGGTGGAATGGGGATTAGGATGGCGAATGGGAAGTACTGGCTGAGCAAAGAACAAACTCAAAATAATTGATTCTCTGGCGTGTGTTGACGGACGTGTTGTGGCTTTGTTGCAGTGTGGTTTCGCTATCGACTGCACTGGCTTTTGTCGGAGGAGTTCCCTTCAACTATTTTTTGGCATTTTTCATTTTGCGTTTTCGAGCAAGATTTTGATTCTTTGGATTTACATATTAGGAACTTACCAAACGTTGTTATAGCATCGGTAACGGGTAACAGGTTGTTTCCGCCAGAAATTGCGTGTCTTTAAAACCTTACCTTTGACTTCGATTCAATACAAATTTTAAGTCTAATCTTTTGAGAAGTTATTCAAAATTTCAAGGGACATTCAGTTAAACTTTTCAAATGTTCTTTGGATTGGCACAAGGGCATCGTATTGTGAGATTAAGATTGCATATCAGACTAAAATTAAGGTTTAGGCAGTGGGAATAGCAACATCGCAATTAAGTAATTGAAAAATATTAAATATTTTAATTGAATTATGGTTAAATCGTTTGGTTCGGATCAACTTGGTCAGGACTACGCCGAAACTCCATCGGTTATAACAACATTTTGGCTACTTTCTTCGGCTCAACTGCACGTCAGCACTGATGAGAGGGCATCCTGATGCGACTCTCCTCGAAAATATCTATCTATGCTCTAAGGAAGCATATACAGTTCCTTTGGAAATAATAGATTTAAAAGGTATACCTCAATGGACTGCTGCTCCGATATGAACTCCACGTCCTTGTTGAGGTCCATGGCGTCGTTTAGGCCCATGCCCATGCCCATTCCCGGTGGCATTCCACCAGAACTCTAAAATATATCCAAAAATGAGAAAAAATCCGTCTTTAATAATAACTGACCTACCTTCAAGACGTTTTGGAAGTGCTGCTGTAGTGCGTCGTCCGGGTAGCGGTGTTTTTGGTTCTCTTCTTGCTGCTTGAACTTTTGGAAGTTCTGCAGAGTCTGCAGCTGCCGCAGCACATTGGGATCGTTTAGCAGTTGCTTGAGATTGTTGTTCTGGAAAAGGAATGAAAAATGGGATTTACTTGGAGCTCCAGAACGGCATTAACAAAAAGGAAACTAAATTTAAACAGAAAAACCGAAATGAATGGTTAAGAGGGTTGGCCATACGTCTAGCAGTTTCGATGAAGTTGGCGGCGAGTCATCGCCCATGCAGTGGTGATCGTCCGCCATCATCATTTGCATGCCCTCGTCCTCTTCCTCGATGAACTCCCGCACTTGATACTCGATTTCATGAGTCCCCTTCACGTATTCCCTCTTGTGATGGTGCGACTTGCTCGACTTTGACGAACATGAGGCCACCGACTGGCGTTTGGCATAGTGCTGCTCCGCATAATACCGCTTGGAGCTACTACTACCACTGCCGTATTTCTCGTGGCCATGCTGCCAAGGTTATGAGGGAATGCATTTTTAGTTAAGAAAATGGAGTGAGAAGATAGATATGCAGAACAACAAGTGACAGAAAGTTGGCGTTAGTTTTTAGTGGTCCAGCACCAGAGAGGGTTCTGTAGCATTATAGCTGACCATAGCTTACCGATAGGTCAGGCATATTTCCGCCCATCTTGTCTTCCGCAGCGGCGTTGTTTAGGCTTAGCTCCATGCTCATGCTCGAGCTGTTGAGACCGTTGGGTCCGCTCGACAGGTCTGCTAAGCTGAGGGCACCGCTACTGCTGGGGCCAGGACCCACGCTGCCTCCGGGACCGCCACTGGAGTTCAGCGGAGGCATCTGGTGGTAAATGGGATGGTTGGGATCAGCCAGATCGAAGATTGGCTGGATAACCTCCGACTTGAAAACGTTGTTTTTCTGCCACAAGTTTAGCACTCGGATGATGCGACTCTTGTCCTCGGGAGCGCAGCGGAAGAGATTGGCAAACGTCTCTGGCAGGTTGCGCTGGAAGCGTGGTGCAAACACGTCCTTCTCGGTGCCGTACTGGTGCCGGGACTGACGGACGATCGAGTCGATAACGTACAGGCCGGGCACCTTGTACTCCGGCTTGCACTTGAGGATGAACTTCTCCACGCTTTGCACAACATGCTTGTAGAACTTGATGGCTCGCATCGCTGACTTGGTGATTGCAGCCATCTTGGCCTTAGATATGGGCGGCCGGCTGTCGTAGAGCCCGGAGAGCTGCAAAGGAAAATAGCATTTATCATTTCATGTGAACGAGCCTTAGGCACTGGCATTGGAGTGGGGATGCGCGGATCTGCGCTACTGCCAGAGCAACCCTGGAAGGCCCCAGGCAAGTGAAATTAAGGTATTTGCCGTCAAAGACTTCTCATCATAGCAATCGAGGCGACACAACGGCTTAACCACACCTCCAGGCTCCTCCCTGGGCACCGGTCAAACACTTTTTCGCACGACATGCACACCTAGAACTCGGAGAGTCCGGCGGCCTCCGCCAATCACTTACCTCATTGTTGAAAGCCACGACGGTTTCCATCTTCAGATTTTTGATTCACTCACGGCGGACACTCGCGAACTTCAGTTTTGCATGCTTTGGTTGGTCTCTACGAACTTTTTCGAGTCGCTATGCGCCGTTTTCGTAAACTTTTCTTCGTTTTCCACGACTTTTTTTTTGAGCGTGAAAAAAATGGCTGACGCTAGTGTTGAGCAGCCGAAAAATGTTGTACAACGTTTTTAATTTTTGCTATCGATGAAAACAATCGATAACAGAATGCAATTAATAGACTTAAAAAATTTGTTTATTTTAAATTATTATTATTATTCAGAAAAAAATTGTTATATTTTAAATGTTTCTTTTTTAAGTTTTTCGATTTCGTTTTTAAAAGAGTTAGGTTTTCCAAGAAAACTAACTAACATTATTTAATCCGGTTCTGTTCCCAACACTCTTACGCCACAGATGCATAAAAATTGCATTTTACAACACTCCAGAATTTAACAACAACTGAAATAAACACATAAAAACAACACCTTGCAAGTCAAATTAAAAACAATGAGCTCTAATCACCGCCCACTTGATGAATCGGACATTTTGCTCATCCGTACCATTCGCGACACACCTTCGCTTTACGATCCCCAGCTACCGTCCTTTCGGCTCTCGCAGCGAAAGGAGGAGGACTGGGCGAAGGTGGCCGAAGTGCTTAACATCTCCATAATGGATGCCCGGAGACGTTGGACATGTCTGCGGGACCGATACTCTCGGGAGCTAAAGCAAAAGCGTCTTCACCCAAGTGGCGAATTCGGACACAACGACTTCTTTCGGAAGATGGATTTCCTACGCTCCTTCGTGCGAAAGCGACGCGAGAGGCGAGGGCGAGATAGAGAACGTGATCCCAAACCACATGTATACGCCAAGACCCGACGGCGGCGGGTTTGGATTTCATCCGTTGGCATGCCTTTGGAAAATGATCCTATAATCGAGGAGCCGAGCTCCCAAGAGTTCGATGAACAGCAATATGATGCAAAGCTAGAAGTGCAAACAACGCAATCTGAGACCTACTCTGTTCTCGTAGAAGCAGACGAGGGTCAAGAGCCTGACCAGGAAAGTTTCAAGGAGTTCCTCGACACAGAATCAGAGCACAAGTCTATGCAATCCCACACTGTGGTCATACACCCGGAGCCAGCCACTATGAAAGGGTCTTCGCCTGCGGTTGAAGCAGTAGATCCAGCCCATGGCGATGTGAACTACGTAGTTTGCATGCCAAATCAGGAAAGAGAGCAGTTTACCACAGAATCTGTTACTCCTGTAGCCCCGGCGACAGTACAGACTTTCTCAGAAACTGCAGATGACTTCTTTTGTAAGTCAATTGCAGCCTATTTGCGACAGCTTTCGCGAGTTCACAAGATCAAGGCCAAGGTGGAAATGTACCAAATCCTCGAGAAGTACATACTTCTTGAGGAAAGCGGGAGGGCGGGGTCAGGCTGAACAGGTGGCTACGCTTATACATATGTAGCTGCTGGTGTATATAGTTTTTAACATAGATTTTAATGCAGTACAAATATACAAAGTGACAAAAACTTTCAGCTTAGTCTATGAAAAGCATGACCTGGATTCTAGCAAAAGTCCTCATTGATGATATTGGCATCGACCGCTAGTCCGCGCTCTTTAAGCGCCTTTGATACCAGACGGTGTTTCTCCTGCCGTTGTTCCTGCTCGCGACGCTGGGCATCGAGGATCTCGTCGACCGATATCTCCTTAAGCGGCAGCTTCTGTTCTTTTTCACGATCCTGGTTTGAGATAAAAAAAAAACGCAAATTACGCTGCCTCAATGTATCAAGTTTCACCTACAATTTCGCCCAGCAGCACCACATTTTCGCCACGGATGATGAAGACTCCCCTTGGAATGTCGCCGTACTCGTTTCCAACATGTATCCTTTCGATGGTGCGCTGCAGCACCAGGTTGGCAAACTGATCCACGGAGCGCAAGTACCCTATTAGAGTCCGACCGTCTCGTAGGAGCACCATAAGTTTCTCTGTAAGTGGCCGGTTTTAGTGGCGATGGTTTCTTTTGGACAATGATGGCGCTACTCACTATCGACCTCTTCTAGGAGGTGAGCTGTGCCTGCCAGGGGGTTTAGATCGTCCATGGGAATTTTTTAATGGGTTTTATGTGATTAAATGCTACTTATTCCAAAATAATGGTAAATTGTTTAAAAACTAATTCTACTCGATAACGATAGGAATGATTAGTGTTGCCAACATATCTGAAGATTTTACAATAAAACATGTAGATTTGATTATGTTTAGTTATTTAAATGTCTTTTATCTCTATTTTTATTAAATTATTTTTTAACTAAGCTTAAAAAATAAAAATGTTTAAAAAAAAAACTTAAATTGAGAACCAGTTGGAGCAAAGCTGACATAGCTCATCTCTAAGAAAGTCGATATATTTTTGTTTACATTGAATGCCGGCATGCGGACTGCGCTGCGCTGTCAGAAACATTAGGAAATTCGCATTTACGTCTAATTAGAAGCAAAATGAAGTAAGTAATCAAATTTTTAAAACTCCGGGTATACTCATCGAAAATCCACAGGCTGAGTGTAGACGGCCTCCTCGTCTACTTTCCGTACGAGTACATCTACCCGGAACAATATGCGTACATGCTGGAGTTAAAGCGAAGTCTGGACGCTAAGGGCCACTGTCTGTTGGAAATGCCCTCGGGAACGGGAAAGACGGCCACGCTGCTCTCCCTTATTGTAGCCTACATGGTGGAATACCCGGAGACGGTGCGGAAACTTATATACTGCTCTCGCACAGTGCCGGAGATCGAAAAGGTCATAGCCGAGTTGCAAAATCTAATGGTTTACTACGAGCGGCATTGTCCGACCCCGCCACCCTTTACTGGCCTGGTACTTAGTTCACGCAAAAACATGTGCATCCACCCGGAGGTCAGCAAAGAACGTGAAGGAAAGGCTGTGGATGGAAAGTGCTACGGACTCACTGCCAGCTACATACGTGATCGGCATGAGATGGATTCTGAGACCCCTATATGTAAGGATCTCTTGGTACTTTTTTGGTTCTGGCATGACCTGGAAAATGTTTTTAGGTCAGTATTATGAAGGCTTTACTCTTGAGGGAAAAGAGTCCACCTTGCCCGTGGGCGTGTACAGCATCGACGATCTCAAGGAATACGGGCGCTCCCGTAACTGGTGTCCCTATTTCCTCGCCCGCTATGCTGTAAGTGTTATTCTTCATTTAGGTAGTAAGAGTTAAGTTCAACCATTAAGTTGAAATGGTATATTTTTGTAGATTGCCCATGCCCAAATCGTGGTATACAGTTATCACTACCTTTTGGATCCAAAGATAGCCCAGGTAGTATCCAAAGAGATGACTCGCGAGTCCTGTGTCGTTTTTGATGAGGCCCACAACATCGACAACGTCTGCATCGACTCGATGAGTGTGAAGATCAACAGAAGAACTGTAGAGCGCAGCACAAACGCCCTTAACCAGCTGACAAAACTCGTACAGGAGTAAGGCTAGCTTACACCACAGTTTCTTGGTCGATATCTAAGTCTCCCTTTGCAGTATTCGTGAAGAAGACACTAATCGCCTGAACGAGGAGTATCAGCGCATGGTCCAGGGATTGAAAGACGCCAGCGTGCAGCGAGAAACGGATATGATTCTGGCCAATCCCGTGCTTCCTAACGATGTACTTACCGAAGTAGTCCCCGGAAATATTAGAAACGCTGATCATTTCCTTAGCTTCCTACGCCGGTTCATTGAGTACATAAAGACACGACTGCGTGTCCATCATGTAGTACAGGAATCCCCGGCTGGATTTCTTAAAGACATATCTTCCAAAATCTGCATTGAAAGAAAACCCCTACGTTTTTGTGCAGAGCGATTATCGAGTTTGCTGCGCACTCTAGAGATCAGTGACATGACTGAGTATGGAGCTCTCACATTGGTATGTATATTCATGCTGAATAAATTTACCATTTTAATCTTAATTTTTTTTTAGATCACACATTTTGCCACCTTAGTGTCAACGTACACCAAAGGTTTTACCATTATCATAGATCTGGATGACAAGACGCCCACTGTATCCAATCCTATTTTGCACTTTAGTTGCCTGGACTCTTCCATTGCCATGGCGCCTGTTTTTTCGAGATTCCAGACTGTGGTTATCACCTCGGGTACCCTTTCGCCCATGGATATGTACCCGAAAATCCTAGACTTTGATCCTGTAGTGATGAGCAGCTTTACTATGACTCTTGCTCGTCCTTGCCTTCTTCCAATGGTATTAATTATAGTTTAAATTGTCAGACTATACTAAAACTGTTTATTTTTAACAGATTGTATCTAAAGGCAATGACCAAGTGACCATTTCCTCAAAATTTGAGACCAGAGAAGATACTGCAGTCATTCGCAACTATGGTCAGCTGCTGGTAGAGGTAGCCAAAACAGTGCCAGACGGCATTGTGTGCTTTTTCACATCCTACCTGTATCTAGAGTCCGTGGTGGCTTCTTGGTACGACCAGGGCATCGTTGACACATTACTGCGCTACAAGCTACTCTTCATCGAGACCCAGGACAATGCCGAGACCAGCTACGCCCTCATGAACTATGTTAAGGTGAGATACAAGCAAACAGTAATGCACCAGGTTGACATATATAACTGCTATGGCTTCTCTAAAAGTGTGCTTGACACGGCTACCTTGCTCTCGTTTTTTTATACCCTTGTGAAGTGGGTAGCGGTTACAAAGCCGTGTATGTTACACAGAACAAAATGGTACTAACTAACCTATGTCACTTCCCAAAGGGTGTTCGCAGATTGAATTAAAAATGCACTGCCTAAATTACTCTCATTTCGACTTGCAGGCCTGCGATTGTGGTCGCGGTGCAGTATTGCTGGCTGTGGCGCGTGGCAAGGTCTCGGAGGGTGTGGATTTCGACCATCATTATGGTCGCGCGGTGCTCATGTTCGGCATCCCCTACGTGTACACGCAGTCCCGCATTCTCAAGGCCCGGCTGGACTACTTGCGCGATCAGTTTCAGATACGTGAGAACGACTTTCTGACCTTTGATGCTATGCGCCATGCCGCCCAGTGCGTGGGTCGAGCGCTGCGTGGAAAAACTGATTACGGCATCATGATATTCGCGGACAAGCGTTTCTCGCGCCAGGACAAGCGATCCCGTCTGCCCAAGTGGATCCAGGAGCACCTGGTCGACAGCTTCTGCAATTTGAGTACTGAGGAGGCCGTGCAGCTGGCACGTCGCTGGTTGAGGCGCATGGCGCAACCCTTCACTCGTGAAGATCAATTGGGAATCTCCCTGCTGACGCTGGCCCAGCTGGAGAACATGGAGCAGGAGAAGCTGGAGAGGCAAGCGCAGGGAAAGCAGGGCGTGGGTGGCGAGGTGCAGGAGCTGTAAGCCAACCGGATCTTTGTCCGACTCCTTCCGGGAATAATTCAAGTTGCTGAGCGTCAGCTAATGGCATTGAATGTCATTAAAAGCGGAGCACAATGTCGGTGCTGGAAAATTTAAAAGTTAAATCGTTTGGGCTGCCATGCAAATCGGACGTAAATGTCCAATTAATGGCTAATTAATATTATTTATAATTTCGCGGGCATGACTAACAGATCGCTCAAGGCAGCGAAAGGGCGCAAGCGCAGAGCCAGCTTGCCGTTGAAAACGTAAACGTGTATTGGTTAAGCCGCGACTTAAGTAAACTTTGTAAACTATAATGGTTGCTATTGCAATAAGTATGTAGTTACACATTGAGATAATGATCTGAGAAAATAGAATGTCCTATTTTCGATTTGCTGATTTTGTTTTTCATGGGTCTGTAGTGTCGCGTCGTAATCCATTTAATTAACTGAAATTGTTTATAGAACAATTATTATTTACACGAGCAATTCACATTATTGATAGCAAATGGAATTGTAAATTAAATAATCTGGCAAAAGCTGATATGTTAATGGCTCCTGCCTTTGAAAGTCCCGCCGCTACACTTTTTGAGGGGCTCGCAATCAGCCGCCCAATGAACCGAGATGACCGAACAAATTTCTCGCAAGGCTGATTTGGTCTGGAATGGATTGGGCAGTGGATGTGCAACGCTATCGCCTGCCTCATAATTGCCAACGACCCGTTAATGATGCAGTCGCAGCCAGGTTATCAATTCGAAATTATTGCACCGGGGTCCGAAGCCAGGCGCCAACGTTTTCTTAATGGTCGTGTTTTGTTTCCCAGAATGTTTACTCTGCCAGCATGTTTTTAATAAATCTTAAATCGGAAACTTTTGGCCGTCAAACAGTGACTCGAAAGAAACAAAGAAGTTTCGAATCGAGTCGAAAATAATATACCCTAGCAGATGTATTTAAAGATACAGATAAAGGTTTTTGAAGTATCTGTATCTGAAGACCTCAGAAATTTATTGGGTATAGTATCTTTAGAATAGCCGAGCTGTTCAGATCTATCTGAAACTTAAAAACTTAAGATATAGACAAGATATAGTACTACTTCCTATATAGATACATATATGGAATCTAAAGACAGATGTATAATACTCCATTGGAGAGTATCAAAAAAAATCAGAATGCTCCGATTCCGGTTTCCTGGAGTCCTCGCCTTTCTCGGAGCTCCAAACGCCGTAGAGCGTGTGGAAGGGGTTTGGGGGCGAACGGATTGGGGAAGCAAAAGCTTTGGAGCGGAGCCGAGAGCAATTACAGTTAGCGCCACTGCCACCACCACCACCACCACCACCACCAGCAGCACCGCCACCGCAACCATCTAAGCGAGATATAACTCGCGGGCGTTCGGGCTCGCTCTCTCGGCAGAACTTCGGGTAGATGCTTAGGAAAGTGAAGCAGTTAAATCAAAAACCAACGCGCCACCACTCGAAACTGCCAGTTCGAAAATCTCAACGCGATCGAACGCTAGCCACACCAAATATATAAATAACATATAAAATATATCCTTAGTCCAGCCGCCTAAAACAAATCAAATAATCGAAATGAAGCCCCAAACTAGTGAACAAAATGGCAGTGCCCAGAATGGAGACCCTGCCGCGGATGCTGCTTCCGTTGCCACTGAAGCGGCTGCCACGATCCCCACTGCCTCCGCCGATGTGGCGGTTGCCGGCGCCGTTGTTCCTGTCACGGGCGCCAAAAGTAGCCAGCAACTCAAACTGGAAATGCTCAACATGGAGCTGGCCAGCAACGGAAGCGGTGAGTGTCCAGGAAGAGTGAGAATTCCGGATTCCGGATAGCAATTCCTGATTCACAGTAGTTACTGCAGGTGCACAGGAAGTTTTTTCTCAAAAAGGTGTTATAGAATAGATATTCGTTTTTGAGATATATCTCCCTTTAAATCTTAAATCTTGTTAAAAAGAATAATGAACAATCATTTACAAAAACCAATTAAGCTTGAGAACGCTTTTAGATTAAAAAAAACCCATTTTGATATAAATATTATAAAATATTACCTCCATATTCCTTCGATTTTCATTAGTGAAGTTGATTTTTGAGTTATTTCCCCCTTTTTATGGCCAATTTTTTCAGATAGAATAGGTCTTAGGGCTGGGTATGTAACTCGGGTAATAGAAACCCCCTTCGATGCATTGCAATCTGGGCCATATATTGCATCACGCTGCCTGGCATGGATCGATTAAAAAATGAAATTCAATCAGATGCGCATAATGACCCGACTCTGATTTCCGGCGATGCTGGGCCGCATAAAATAATACCAGCCAGAGTCCCCGCACATAAGCCGCAGACTGAGAACTCGGATTTCTGGGGTACATCTATGCAAACCGCACATAGTGCCGGATAGTAGAGGAACGTACATAAATAAAGTGGTATCGGTATGGCACTGGACTGGCCTGCTCTGGCCTGGCCTGGCCTGGACTGAGCTTATTGACATTGACATTGAAAGATTTGCTTGGCACTTGGCGGATCCGATACAATCCGATCAGATTGGTAGATCCAGCGAGAGCAGAGTGTGCTGTGAGCATTAAACTCCTCAGCTGGTTGTGATGGTGGTCAGATATTTGGCCAGCAGTTCGGCAGGGGGGAGGGAGTGGGAGGGTACACAGACCTGAACTACTTTTTTGAAGGTTAAAAAAGTGTTTAATTGCGAGTACCAGCCCAGGCCAAACACGGCGCTCCACAACGGTTTCAATTCGTGGGCATTGCCGTTGGCCATTTTTTTCTTCAAAGTTTCTTCGATTGCCCCGCAAATCATATTGCGCTTGTGTCGGTGACTAATAAGTTAAAGCCGCGGCAGTACTTCACATTTGAGCGATTGCGGTCAATAAAAACGGATCGGACCGGACCGGACCGGGCCGAGTGACGGCTGAGAGCCTCACGGGTGTTTCGCCTTTAATTGAGGCATTTAAAAAATTCTCCGGTCAAATACCAAACGGTGACGGTGGCAACCCTGCCACCACGGAGTCCCCGCTCGATGACATTCCGTATTCCGTAATGCGTAATTGTGTCTAGAGTGCCAAAGAGAACACCTGCCCTATGGAAAATGTTAATAGTGTCTCAATTATATTACTTTTCAACAGGTATAACTAAAATACACAGAAAATACTATTTTATCAGTCTTTAAACTTAAAATAGTATTTTTTAAAAGCATTAGTTTAAATAGTTTTTACCTTAAGAGTCTTTTATTTTATATTTTAAAGATAGATATATATTTAGGGAGATACCACTGTGCTGGACACACTGCGTCATATGGATCAAAGTCTAAGCCATCTGCAGCTGGGCTTACTTTTACGTAAACTAACCCAGACAAGCAATTTCCCAATGATTTATTCTTTTTCTGCTGCTTCAGGAAATTCCCAACCTATGGAATCTAAAACAAAGACTCTACAGAGGTTATATTTTCAAAATTTGTTGTCTTGAAAAACATCTTTAAATCTTAAAAACGAGTCTCTCATTCAAACAAGCAGAGTTTTCGTCTAAGGTCGCAGTCCCTGGAGACATCAGAATCTTCGAATAATTTGCATGCTCCTCTTAAATCGGAATTGCATAAATGAATACATTGAACGATTTTAGGCAGACAATAATAATGAATAAGAGACTCCGTCCAGCTGGAGGTTAGACAACTGCGCAGGAAACCCCACAAGTTAGATGCTGTAGGGTTTCAGATGAAAAAGAAGAAAAAAAGTCCTTTTTGGGGATGCATGGGATCAGATTTATTTGTTACACTCCCCAAAGTATTTTTCCTTGGATGCCCTTTAGTAGCCAGTCCAGTCCCTCACATAATGGTCTCCTCCTCCAGCATGTATTCGGTAAGATCGGCCTCTCCGGTTACAATTGTTACCGGAACACGGTTCATCTGGGCGACCCGCTGACCTGGCCAGACCATCACGTCGCAGCAGTTGGTGAGAACCACCACGTTCGTGCTTGGCGTGGTGGTGCACATGAGATTACCGGACTTTTCCTGGTCGCAGTGGTTGAACTTGCGCCGGAAGCGGAACTTTACGGGCAACGAGTTGCCCATCACGCTTTCCTCGTCGAAATACGGCGGTAGAGCTTTGTTGAACACCGGATTTGTCATTGCCGGCTTGGTGAGCTGTCGATGAGAATAGTAAAAGGGAATAGAGTTAGTGACTTCACTTTACTCACCTCCTCGAGAACCACTGAAGTTGGAAGACGTCGACAGGGATCACAGTAGTCCGGTGCTGTAGCACCCTCTGGCGTTAGAGTTGCACATCCGTCCGGCTTTGGCTCCGGTACCGCAGATCCTTGCAGGCTGCCTCTTTTCACAATACCGTCGTCCTTCCCTTTGGTTGGTCTCTTCATGGGATCTTCGCCCCGATCGATGCACTGTTGCAGGAAGTCCTCTTCTATGTCGATCAGCCTCTTCACGGCGCAGTCTCGCTTCAGGAAATTCTTGATCACCGAGAGATCCCGGGGCACCGCACCAATGACATCGTAGTCGTCGCTACGCAATTTCATGCGGTGCGCCATGCTGCTGGGAGGGTAATCTAATCCGGGCGGGACTGGCCAAAAGGAAAATAACTTAAATTTTGCGAAGCTAGCTCCGGAAAGTATCCGGACTGGCTACGTTTTTTTAAGATGAATGCTGACAGCTGCCCCCAGGTTGAGTAGTTCTGGCGCCGTCTTTGAAGGATAAAGCAAATAACTGTTAGGGTGTCAAAGGAAGTGGTCCATCCACTTGATAGGCCATGAACATCCCTATTTTTGAATCCTGGAAAGCAACAAGTACTTGGGTCACAGTTTTACAGCCACTGGCCACAAAACTGTAGGCCTGCGCTCAGGCTTGGCTCCACTTCGCTCTATCTTGACCAATTATCTCCGAGCTGGAGCTTGCTGGTGGGGGGCAAGGTTGGGTGGAGCTTTCGAGCGCTCAAAGCTCGACGCGACAGGTTCTTATTGCCATCGCTGGCCACCCAGCGGAACAGTGGAACCCAACCACCCAGCGCGAAAAGTCCGACCACGACCAGCAGAAGTGAATAGAAATCCGAGTCAGGGGCCAAGTCAAAAGATTGTTTGTGCGAACCCAACAACGAGTCAGAGCGAGCCGTGTTCGAGTGGCAAATATACTTAAGTGCTTTCCGCGATGAGCTTCACCCGTCAGCTGTCCGAGATGAGCGCCAGCGAGCTGAACGACGCCATAGACGACACCAACTTCCCCCAGGCTCACATCCTGTCGCGTGGTCGCAACAACAGTGTCTGCTCAACAAGTAGCACCTCGGGCACCTCGTCGCTGGCGGACAGGGCCCAGACCCAGGCGCAACCGGAGGAGACAGCCGACCTTCCCGCAACTCCTGCCGAGGAGGTGGCTCCATCTACCCCAGCAACTCCTGCTACGGGCAATCAGCGTCCTCGCCTCATCCTAAAGATGAACGGCAGCAGTCCGGATAGTGATGGTACACAACCGAAAACACCAATGACACCGCGTACATCGACAACGCCAGGTAGCCCAGAGATTTAGAGATCTGGGGATGCAGGAGCAGTCAGTGGGTCGAGTGGGTGGGGGGCCAGAGAACTCTTTCAGCCGATAAGATGGCCGATTCCGCCTATCAGTGATATTTTGTTATGGTTCAGGGGGTCAAAGATGCGCCTCGATTTAGACAGTCATTTCGAATCACAAGCACACTCAACCACCGGAGGGCAATGCCTCCCTATCGCACCAACTAGCAACGATAATATAGTTTTAATGGATTCTATTCTATTCTGTTCTGTAGGCCACGAGAAGTGTACGTTCCACCACGACCTGGAGCTGGATCACAAGCCGCCTACTCGGGAGGCTCTCCTACCGGACATGGCCCGCTCCTACCGTCTGCTGTTGGGCGGCCTGGGCGAGAATCCCGACCGTCAGGGACTCATAAAGACGCCGGAGAGGGCAGCCAAGGCCATGCTGTTTTTCACCAAGGGCTACGACCAGAGTCTTGAGGGTAAGCACTTCTCTTTTCCAGCAATTAGCACCAGGTCACTGATCGATGGTGTGGCTCATCCAGCGGTTTGGGTTTCCCCGATGCGCGCAACTGAAACTAGTTCCCCGGGACGTGATTCATAGAGCACTTTGGTTTTATCGGGGGTTCCTGAGACTGCATTAGTCTAATTGCAATTGTAACTGCTTTTTTTTAGTGTTTACTACCCTAAAAGTAATGAAGAAATAAGGTATCTTTAGGACTAGGTTCTTAGGTTCTTTTATAGGGAATCTAACTAACATTTTTAGATATTTTGAAAGTAATATAGTTTTCTCAGAGTGTAGATAGTGTTTGCCTAGTTAGTCCCAATTATTTGGCCCGCATTTTCTCTACCAACGATTGCAATCGCATTTGAACTTGTCATGTAATCAATGCGAGCCATTTGAAAAACAAAACAGCATCGCGAATATGCGGCAAATACCCAGCCAACACCACACAACCGGTTGTTGTCCGAGAAATCAGGTTCTACAGTTTGTCAAATAAAATCGCATGTAAATTTAAGATCGACCACAACAACCGTCGCAAGTGTTGATGAAAGTGAATAGCCTTCGAAAAATAGAATGGCTTTGGATTGTGTTTAACCCAAAAGCGAGGAGAGCTCAAGACGTCACATCTAATCACCATGACTTGCCAATCTGGCATTGAGGGAGTATGGTCCAGAGCTTTCCGGGCTGTACATTAAAATTGGAAGAGTGAGAAAAAGTGGGTGGTTAAAAGGGGTGGTTGTGGAAGTGGGTGGTGGGCCTTTAAGCCAGGCTAGCATCTTAAGAGCAATCACATTTAAAGCGAGGGCGGTGAAAGCTCTCACTGCCACTCCTTGTCAAACCCCCTCCCCCTTCACCAGTCACACATGCTTACACTTAACATTCAGTTATGCAGCAAATAAATCTAACAATCTAACGAATGCGCGCCATAAATCACAAGCAGATACGGGTTTTAAGTGACTTTGTTTCTGTTGGGCATTCGACGGCAGCGAAAACAACGACTCCGTGGCGCAACGGTAGCGCGTCCGACTCCAGATCGGAAGGTTGCGTGTTCAAATCACGTCGGGGTCAAGTCACTGCAACATTTTTTTATTCCTTTATTTTTGATTTATTTTATTTATAAATAATTTTTTTTTTTTTTCAGATGTCCTTAACGGCGCAGTCTTTGACGAGGATCACGATGAAATGGTCGTTGTTAAAGACATTGAAATGTTTTCCATGTGCGAGCACCATTTGGTGCCTTTCTATGGCAAGGTTTCGATCGGTTATTTGCCTTGCAACAAGATTCTGGGGCTTAGTAAACTAGCACGGTATGGCCAAAAGTGGAAAAAAGTGTAAACCTTGTGCTCAAATAATTATTATTTTCCTATAGAATTGTGGAAATCTTTTCTCGACGACTACAAGTACAGGAGCGCTTGACAAAACAGATTGCCGTGGCAGTAACTCAAGCCGTGCAACCGGCGGGTGTTGCTGTTGTCGTGGAAGGAGTGTAAGTATTATATTTAATTTATATAAAATAAAAATAAAGTAAAAAAATGTGGCTTGCATCGGCCGGGAATCGAACCCGGGCCGCCCGCGTGGCAGGCGAGCATTCTACCACTGAACCACCGATGCTTGTGTTCGACGATCACTCAATGGCGTACAACAGCATATTCATAAATTTTTATTTGAAAAAATATTAATTTTAATAGAATATTTTTACTTTTTAACTTAATTTACAGACATATGTGCATGGTGATGCGTGGAGTCCAGAAAATCAACAGCAAAACTGTAACCTCAACTATGCTGGGAGTGTTCCGGGACGATCCTAAGACCCGCGAGGAGTTCCTCAACTTAGTCAATAGCAAATAGGATGGAGGCCTAGGATCGAATGAATACATAAAAGCAACTAAACCCTTATTTTTGGAGGCGCATATACAAACAGAAACGAAGAATTGAAACGAAACAAAGGGTCCAATAGATTATGTGTTTTTAGATTTGATTTTCTTTAGTTAGGGCAAATTTTTGCAGCCATTTTCCATGTTGATTTTTATGAAAATTGTTAAAAAATTCTGTTGGCATATTCATGTTTACATTGAAGCGAGTGCAGCGAGTAATGAGTAGGGAAGCGATGAGGACGTGAATTGAATTTGGGTGATGGGTAGTTTTATTTCCAATTTTATATACATTTTATGGCACTTAATGAAAGTTTATGCAACTTTTACATTCGAGAAATGCATTGTGCAATAAGGGAACAACTGATAATAAATCAAAGCAAACCGATTAGGGAATTTACAACATAGTAAAAATTAATCGAATATATACAGAAACTATATCTACCTATATTCATGTACCTACACTGCATACAAGATACATACTTATATAAATATTTAAATTGATATTAAAGCCAATCCCGCGACTGGCCAAGACACACGATTTTAAATGTTGAATTTGATGTATGCTTAATAAGTTAATGTTGTTGCTTGTAGTGAACCGAAATTGCTTATAAATTAAAAAATAAATTATGTATTTAAATATTGTTGAAAATACTTGTTTTAATACAAAAACATAAAAAAAAAGTATGCTTCATATGACCCCGACGTGATTTGAACACGCAACCTTCCGATCTGGAGTCGGACGCGCTACCGTTGCGCCACGGAGTCCAGCTGGGGGGAGGGTCCCCATAGACCGGAATGCCCCCAACGCAACAGGTTGTTGCAGAATTTTTGGGGTTCAGGCAGTAACAGCTATTTTTACGGGTGACGTTCAAAAGCATCGGTGGTTCAGTGGTAGAATGCTCGCCTGCCACGCGGGCGGCCCGGGTTCGATTCCCGGCCGATGCAAAATAACTTTTTTGTATTTTTTTAAAATATTTTATCTGTTGAGGTATTTGTGCTATCTAAAATATACAAAACTATTCATTACTACATTTTTTAATATATTTAACTTAAACAGAGAACAGAAAATAGATTCCCCTTTTGCCGAACAAATTCTTTGACTGTCAATTCTTTGGATGGTGTCATAAAGACTTTTAATAAAATTTACCTTATTAAAAAATGTTTTAAAATAAAAAAATATATATTTTAAACAAAAAAGATTTCACACATTTGACCCCGACGTGATTTGAACACGCAACCTTCCGATCTGGAGTCGGACGCGCTACCGTTGCGCCACGGAGTCTGCTGGTTAGGTGCTTCTATTTTACCATATAGATACACACGCACTTGAGCACCATCTAGTGGTGGCATTTATCGTTTTTCTAAAGACCTGGCCACGTGTTTCCTACGTGCAGTTTAGATCATTTAGTACCTAAAAGAGCGGCTTTGCCGGAACGTTAGTCTGGCAACGCTGCGATCTAAAGGAAAGTTTACAGCACTGTCGGTTCTACGGTCATACTTTTTTTCATCGCAGCCAACTTCAACTCAACGCGTCGGTATAAAATTTCGGGGGCCATTATTTATTTGCAACTAATGCGAATGTAAAAGTGAAGTGATTTAAAGACGCAAGCTCGGTGCTAGCAAGTAGTTGTACTATCGTTTTGACATTAACCCAGTGCGTGTGCTGTTTTGTAGAAAGCGCATATTAGTTTCGCACATTTTTCCTGTTTTTTTTCGCTTCATCTTGCACTGGTGTGAGCGATAGTGTGACTGTGTAGATCTGCCGCCAATCCTAAGCCGAAGCGGATAAAATGGATGTGGCGAAATTGGAGAAGATGAAGGTGGTGGACCTTCGAAACGAGCTCCAGTCGCGCGGTTTGGATACCAAGGGAGTCAAAGCAGTGCTCATCGAGCGCCTGCGAGCTCATGTGGAAGGTGGTGCCGGCGAAGGAGGTGAGTTTGTGTGTATGCGTCATGGCTGTAGTATGTGTGGCTTGCCGCCTTCGATGCCGTTGTATGTGTATTTGTGGGTGCGTGCAGCTCGGCTTGAATTAGTTGTAAATTTTGCTTACATAATGCGACATTATTAGATTACATGCTTGCATTCCCTTCTATTTTCCTTCCCGCCACCAGATGGCATGCCGGTCACGCCTAGCCGTCGCCAGAGACGTACCCGATCGATGTCCCGCTCGCCCTCGCCTGTGGGAGCTGCCCCGGTCGCCGCTGAATCGGCTCTCGAAACCTTGGAAGAGGAGGATCAGCCGGAAGAGCCTGCTGCAGAGGCTCACTCAGAGCCTGAGGCCGAACCAGAACCTGAGCAAGAACCGGAGCAGGAACCAGAGCCGGAACCAGAACCAGAATCGGAGCCCAGCGTGCCGGAAGCAGAAAAGGCCGAAGACACCGGCGAAAGTCAGGCAGACTACCAACAGGAATCGCCTCAGGAGGATGAGGCATCCGAACAGGAAACCGTAGATGCACCAGGCCAGGATGCTGATGTTCGCATGGAGGAGGCCAATGACAATGGAGACGAGAAACAGCAGGAACAGAGCGATTCGAACACAGTCGAGGAGCCCCAAGAAAATGGAAACAGCCAGAAAATGGACGTCGACGAGGAGCCGGCTGCTCCCCCAGCAGAGGGAGACGGTGCCGAAGTCGCTGAGAAGTCGGAGGAGCAGACTCAAGAGCGCCGCAAGCGGTCACACAGCCGTTCCCGCTCCCGTTCGCGCAGTGGCAGTCGCTCGCCGAAGCAGCGCACCAGTGTAAGCGACAAGCGCGACTCCAAGGCAGCTGCTGAGGAGCGTACTGTACCCGAGGACGAGCCCGCCATTGAGGAAAACAAAGTGGGACTCAGCTGGGGTAGGTGGATTCAAAAGATTTTTGTTTATTCCTATCTTGAAAACCAATTTGGGGCTTATCCTTGTCCATTTCCGTTTTAGTGGACTCCGATCTGCATCTGCGTATCGATCCGACCACGTTCACCTCCGCCAAGCCTCTGTCATCGGAGATATACTCACTTATTTGGTCCGGAGCCCGCGCCAATTTCGGAGTGCGTGAGGGCAAGGTGTGCTACGAAGTGCGCCTGTCGGAAGAGTCACAGCCAGAGAATTCGCACCACTTCCGCGATGAGCCTCATGTCCGAGGCTTCCGCGTAGGCTTTTCCACGTCCAAGAGCTCGCTGTTGCTGGGCGAGGCCGAACATTCCTTTGGGTACTGTGAGACCGGCCGGAAGGCCAACCAAGGTGAGTTTACAGACTACGGCAAGCCCTTCCAGCTGGACGACGTGGTCGGCTGCTATTTGGACTTGGAAAGCGAGCCGTGCACCATTCAGTACACCCTGAACGGGGAAGATCTTGGCGTGGCTTTCGAGTTCGAGAAGAGCATCCTGGGCGAAGAGCTAGCCCTCTTTCCGCACATCCTTACCAAGGGCTACGAGTTTTCGGTCAACTTCTCCGACACCGAGCAGTTGCTGGTGAATGCCGAGAGACCGACGCGCAAGCGCCGTAAGCCCCGCAAGGAGGAGGACAAGGACGACGATAAGGATGACAACGATGGCGAGAAATGGAAGGTCTTGGACGAGGCCACCGCCGACGACGATGAGGTCGAGAAGAAGGACGACGACGCTAAAGAAGAGCAGCCCCAAGAGGAAGGCCCGAAGGCCGAGAAATCCGAGGAGGAAGAAGCCAGCTCCAAAATGGAAACAGAAGCTGAGAGCGAGGAAAAGCCAAGTGCCGAGGATTCCGAGCCAAAGGAAGAAGCTACCAAAGCTCCGGAAACTGGTAAGTGTGGATAGCACCTCCTCACTTCAGATAATCCTAATTTATGATCATTTTTCAGATGAAAGCTCGGCCGTTTCTAATGGCAATGCTGCCGCAGAGAAGGCCAATGATGAAAAGCCCACCGAGGCGTCCGCGACCGCTAATGAGGATGACGAGGATGGTCCGTCTCCCAACAAACGTCCCAAGACCGACGGCGATGTGGAGAAGGAGAAGGAAAAGGACAAGTCCCAGACCGACGACGAGTACGAAGAAGTGGTGCCCGAGCCAAGGGAAACCGCCGCCTTGCTGGAGGGCTATGTTCTGATCGGACTGGTCGAAGTGGAGAAGCTAGTGGCCGGTCCTCAGCGTGCCGAGTCCCGCAAGGAGTGCGAGGTGATTCTGTTGGTTGGCTTGCCCGGAGCCGGCAAAACCCACTGGACTTTGAAACACATCACTGAAAATCCAGACAAGCGTTACGATGTTATTGGACCCGACGCGTTTATCGCCAGGATGACAGTGAGTAGCATGGTCAGTAGAATGGTCGGTGGTATCTAATGAACTGTGGTGTCTATATATTCCAGATCGACGGTGCTTCCCGTAAAACGGTGCACAAGGGACGATGGGATAAGGTTTACGAGACGTGCCTAAACAGTCTTGGAGCTCTGGAAGACATCGCCATGAAGCGGCGTCGCAATTTCATACTTGACCAGGTAAAACATATACGAATGACCCTTACACACACACAGAAACACAAACACACACACACAACACGCACACACACACTCCAGATAAGACTGTGAACGAACTAGAACCAAACACAAGAAAACGAACAAGCGAGAACCTTACGTTAATGATGACTGGCTGGCCCCCACTCCCAGCCGGGGCTGATCCCTCCCGAAGGGGGATAAGCTCCTGCCAGCAGAGGTGCAATTGATTTGCCCTCTATTTCTGTTTTATTTTGTACATTTGAGTATGCATTTATTGGTCATTGCCCGAACGAACAGTAGAGATCCAAAGTGCCCAGGGGCGCCAACTTGCCAAGTGGCTGGCAGGTACGTCCTATCTGTAAGTCGATCCGATAATTAGAGAGCTAAGATCGAGGCAGTAAGTATCGGTGGCGTAATTCGTAAGCTAAGATTAGGGGGTGGGGTAAGAGAAATGAGAATGGATGTGAATATGGCATTGGAGAAAGATGAGTGAGTGTAATGGAATGGAATGGAGTGGAGTGGAGTTATGTGGCGATGAAATGCAGAGAGAGGAGCGAGCGGCAAGGAAGCCACTGTAAGTAGAAAAACACAAATCCGATCGACGAGTCGTTCGCTACAATCTAATCACATATACGTATTAGTATCTACTATCTCTACTCTTGATCTCTCTCTAAATGCCAACTATCTCATATATATATGTGTATCTACAGAGAGCTATGCGATGCTACAGCCTACAGCCTAGTCAAGCCAACAGCAGCCACAACATCTTTTTACCCATTCTATATAAATAAAATATTAAGTCATCTGTTATTAGTTGCGGCCAGGTTAGAATATAACCGAGGCCTTTAGGTATATTATGATGGCGTGCTATCCACCCTCTGGGTTTGGGGGTGGATGCCGTCCAGGTGAAACCAGGTATGTGTTAGCTATTAAGTGTAAACTCGATGCGACGGGGTCTACATTGTCTGCACCGGCTATCGGGCTAATCCGGCCGGAGTCATCAACGTGTTTCTCAAAGGGCTTGCTATCCGTTCACGGTTACCGGTTCACGGTTCACGGACCATCTTAAACCACAACTACCACCCAACTAAACAACAACTGGCAGACAACAATATCTCAACCCACCCATCCAAAAATGCAACCAATCCAACCAACCAACCAACCAACCAACCGATCAACTGTATTCTTGTAGACCAATGTATATGCCTCGGCCCAGCGACGTAAAATGAAGGGGTTTAGCGACTTCAAGCGCATTGCAGTCGTGTGCGTTCCCAGCGAAGATGAGTTGAAACGTCGCATCGCCGAAAAAGAGGAAAAGGGGAATGCTTTTACAGTTAAAGAATCAACAATTAATAACTTACGAGGTAAATATTGTTCACCACAACAAGCAACGAAATGAAAACATATCCAGAATAATGTACTATACGTTTGTTAAATTATGTTCTACCTATCTAAATAAGGAAGACATATGTACAATGTAACAACCAAACAAAAAAAAAAAAAACAAAATAATAATCCTTAAAAACGTTATGTAAAGTATTTAGATTTAAGCAGCTGCACTTTATGTATCTGTACGTAATTTAATTGTAAGCCTTTCAAGATATCTCATTATTTTACGATTATTATTTCCATTGCTCATTAACTTATACTCTAGTCCCACGACTCTTCATTATCCTGGCAACTGGATTCTTGGCACTTAACTGCCTTTGAACCTCCATTACTTCAGATAACTTCATTCATACCCATTGGCCACTCCACGTGAGCCACCACTTCCCTGACATTCTCCGTAGAGTAGCTTTAACAGTCCAGCACCCAGTTGCCGACCATTGCCCCGACCTGTCCCCCACCTGGCCCTACTTTTTATCTAATTGTAACATTGATATTTGATTTTAATGGTGAAGCCATGTATTCATGCCAAGTACGCACTCTTTTTGCAGCCAACTTCACATTGCCATCGCTGGAGTTTGGCTGGTTTGATGACATAAACTACACCGAGCTGACCGGCGATGAGGCCAAGAGCGAGGTCAAGCGCTACAACGAGAAGGGCAAGAAGGCCATCGACGCCGACAGGTCGCGGGACAAGCGCTCCAGGGGCGGTCGCGACAACTATCGACGCGACGACCGCAACCGAAGTCGCTACAACGATGACCGTCGTCGTGATTACGGCGGCCAGCGCCACGACAGTCGATGGAGCGATAACCGGCGCGGGGGTGGCTACTCCAGCAACAGCGGCGGAGGCGGCAGCCGTGGATACGACAACCGTCGCAGCTACAACAGCGGCGGTGGCGGTCAGAACTGGATGCAGAACAACCGACGAAGTGGCTACGAGGACCGCGGCTACGGTGGAGGCAGCGGCGGCGGCGGAGGCGGCAGTCGAGGCTATGACAACCGGAACCGCGGTTACGGCGGTGGTGGTGGCGGCGGCGGCGGCGGAAGCGGCAGCCAGCAGAATTGGATGCAAGGCGGAGGAGGCGGCAACCGTCGCAGCGGGTATGACGATCGCGGCTACGGCAGCTCGCGGGACTACAGAGACCGGGACCGCGGTAACGACCGCAGTCGAATGGGCAGTAACGACCGCAACCGGGGCAGCAGCCAGAGCAGTTACCGCTCGGGAGGCAGTGCTCATCAACAACGGGATTTTCGGCCTGGCCACCGCGACACCAAAGAAGATAGTCGCGGTGGCTATGAGCGATCGGCTGGTCAATCGCTGCCCAAGTACGGTAATAACTCGGCTGCCGGCGGTGGCTACGAACAATACAAACAGCAGACAGGTGGAGCGACCGGCGGAGGCAAGGTAAGTACCGGTTACTATTATTGTAGTGGAGTTCAACTAATAGATGTACAACTTGCAGTCCTCCCTGAGCGGTAAGTGGAGCACGTATGCCCAGCACCAGCCGCAACAGGCACAGCAACACCAGCAGACGAGCGCCTGGCAGACGCAACAGCAGGCGCAACCGTACCAGCAGCAGCAGCAACAGTCCGCCGGCCAGCAGCAGTATTGGGGCTATAATCAAATGCAAGGTGAGCGCCAAGAAACTATATTTTCATCCTGGAACAAGTCATCTAACAAACTGATTACAGCTGGTTATGGAAACCAACAACCACAACAGGCCTGGCAGGGAGCTGATCAGCAACAGCAGTGGATGTCCTGGTGGCAGGTATGGAGGCTTTTTGGATGAACTGATTGAAAAACCTAACCATTGATTCCTTGCAGCAACAGCAACAGGGCACCGGGGGCTCGGCAGGCAGCAATGCCGGCGGCGGAGCGAGTGTGAATGTGGGTGGCGCTGCTGGCAATGATGGCGGTGCCTCCAATCACTATTGGTCTCAATATTCATACTCTACGCAGTCCAATGCAGGCTCCGACAAAAAGTAGAGTGTGCTCTTCACCTCCCCCCCCCTGTTCAGTCAACACCGCAGCATTCTCAAGAAAGTGCGAACCACAAACCGGAACTACATTTTATAAAATAGTTTTAAAAATTAACAAACAGTAAAAACAAGAATTAACCTAGTTTAGCCAGTCTTAGGCGTTTGGACTATTGTGCGAGTCCAGGCCGAACACCCACTTGGAGGGCCACCGCTCCCTCAACCACATTATTGCGTAACTAAAAATGCATCTTTTAGAACAGAGTACCAGCGGCAAGTAGGAAGCAGATTGTGAGAAAAGCTTCACTTGCAACAGAACAACTGGCGGGCAACAGTAATGATTTGTTTTTCATTTTCCAAAGGCATTTCTATATTCGACTGCGACATAGCTATAGCTCCAACATCGGTCTATCATTTGGCATTATCTATCTAGGCAGTACAATTTGTTTTTAAACGGTTATTATAATTATTGTTTTTTATTTTACAACAAACGCAAACAGTTGGAAGACAGAATTAGACAGAGACTTTAACAAATAAATTTAATAACATTGAAAAATTAATAGCAACCTGTTTTTGACTTGGGATTTTTCTGATGGAGCCCCTTGGGAAATCCCAGATTTCCACTTTGGCCCCAAACCAAGTCCATATCTTGGCCAATTCTTATCCGATCCTTGAGAGGGATACCTTGATCGATTTGTAGCTCCATTTTCTTTCAATCTGCATCAAAACATTGATACAAAATTTTTGATCCCGATTTTTCAAATTTTTCTGATGGAACCCCTTGGGAAATCCCCGATTTCCACTTTTGCCCCAAACCAAGTCCATATCTTGGCCAATTCTTATCCGATCCTTGAGAGGGATACCTTGATCGATTTGTAGCTCCATTTTCTTTCAATCTGCATCAAAACATGGACACAAAATTTTTGATCCCGATTTTTCAAATTTTTCTGATGGAACCCCTTGGGGAAATCCCCGATTTTCTCTTTTGCCCCAAACCAAGTCCATATCTTGGCCAATTTCCATCCGATCCTTGAGAGGGATACCTTGATCGATTTGTAGCTCCATTTTCTTTCAATCTGCATCAAAACCTTGATACAAAATTTTTGACCCCGATTTTTCAAATTTTTCGGATGGAACCCCTTGGGAAATCCCCGATTTCCACTTTTGCCCCAAACCAAGTCATATCTTGGCCAATTCTTATCCGATCCTTGCGAGGGATACCTTGATCGGTTTGTAGCTCCATTTTCTTTCAATCTGCATCAAAACATGGACACAAAATTTTTGATCCCGATTTTTCAAATTTTTCTGATGGAACCCCTTGGGGAAATCCCCGATTTTCTCTTTTGCCCCAAACCAAGTCCATATCTTGGCCAATTTCCATCCGATCCTTGAGAGGGATACCTTGATCGATTTGTAGCTCCATTTTCTTTCAATCTGCATCAAAACATGGACACAAAATTTTTGATCCCGATTTTTCAAATTTTTCTGATGGAACCCCTTGGGAAATCCCCGATTTCCACTTTTGGCCCAATCCAAGTCCATATCTTGGCCAATTCTTATCCGATCCTTGAGAGGGATACCTTGATCGGTTTGTAGCTCCATTTTCTTTCAATCTGCATCAAAACATGGACACAAAATTTTTGATCCCGATTTTTCAAATTTTTCTGATGGAACCCCTTGGGAAATCCCCGATTTCCACTTTTGCCCCAAACCAAGTCCATATCTTGGCCAATTCTTACCCGATCCTTGAGAGGGATACCTTGATCGATTTGTAGCTCCATTTTCTTTCAATCTGCATCAAAACATTGATACAAAATTTTTGATCCCGATTTTTCAAATTTTTCTGATGGAACCCCTTGGGAAATCCCCGATTTCCACTTTTGGCCCAATCCAAGTCCATATCTTGGCCAATTCTTATCCGATCCTTGAGAGGGATACCTTGATCGGTTTGTAGCTCCATTTTCTTTCAATCTGCATCAAAACATGGACACAAAATTTTTGATCCCGATTTTTCAAATTTTTCTGATGGAACCCCTTGGGAAATCCCCGATTTCCACTTTTGCCCCAAACCAAGTCCATATCTTGGCCAATTCTTATCCGATCCTTGAGAGGGATACCTTGATCGATTTGTAGCTCCATTTTCTTTCAATCTGCATCAAAACATGGACACAAAATTTTTGATCCCGATTTTTCAAATTTTTCTGATGGAACCCCTTGGGGAAATCCCCGATTTTCTCTTTTGCCCCAAACCAAGTCCATATCTTGGCCAATTTCCATCCGATCCTTGAGAGGGATACCTTGATCGATTTGTAGCTCCATTTTCTTTCAATCTGCATCAAAACATGGACACAAAATTTTTGATCCCGATTTTTCAAATTTTTCTGATGGAACCCCTTGGGAAATCCCCGATTTCCTCTTTTGCCCCAAACCAAGTCCATATCTTGGCCAATTTCCATCCGATCCTTGAGAGGGATACCTTGATCGATTTGTAGCTCCATTTTCTTTCAATCTGCATCAAAACCTTGATACAAAATTTTTGACCCCGATTTTTCAAATTTTTCGGATGGAACCCCTTGGGAAATCCCCGATTTCCACTTTTGCCCCAAACCAAGTCATATCTTGGCCAATTCTTATCCGATCCTTGCGAGGGATACCTTGATCGATTTGTAGCTCCATTTTCTTTCAATCTGCATCAAAACATGGACACAAAATTTTTGATCCCGATTTTTCAAATTTTTCTGATGGAACCCCTTGGGAAATCCCCGATTTCCACTTTTGCCCCAAACCAAGTCCATATCTTGGCCAATTCTTATCCGATCCTTGCGAGGGATACCTTGATCGATTTGTAGCTCCATTTTCTTTCAATCTGCATCAAAACATGGACACAAAATTTTTGACCCCGATTTTTCAAATTTTTCGGATGGAACCCCTTGGGAAATCCCCGATTTCCACTTTTGCCCCAAACCAAGTCATATCTTGGCCAATTCTTATCCGATCCTTGCGAGGGATACCTTGATCGATTTGTAGCTCCATTTTCTTTCAATCTGCATCAAAACATGGACACAACATTTTTGATCCCGATTTTTCAAATTTTTCTGATGGAACCCCTTGGGAAATCCCCGATTTCCACTTTTGCCCCAAACCAAGTCCATATCTTGGCCAGTTTTCATCTGATCCTTGAGAGGGATACCTTAAACGATTCGTTGATGTAATTTTCCACATAGTTACAAATCGTAGATGGACTTTCTGTCATTATTTTCAGTTCAAATGTTACCGCGCTCTTGTGGGTGGGGGTGGGGAGCTTTCAAGCTCGCAGTTGGTATTTTTTAGGGTAACGCGGCGATCAGCTGATTTGATTAGGCCCCCGCATTTTACACGCTTTATCCAATATAAAAGAATTCTGCGGTAAGTTAAGAAATTAAACTAAAAAACATACTTCCCGCGAAAAATAATTCTTTTATAAATGAGAACAATCTTGTGGATGGCTCCTATTGTGATTCACCAATTTAGGATTGGTTTCCTTGCAATAGGCAGGGTCTTAATTGGGAGCTGGTAAGGTACATGTATCTACATGTGAACTAGCCCCAAAAAAGCGATAAGAAAACGACATGACACATACTTCGTCCGCCGGAATAAAATGTTCCATTGATTTTCCACAGAAGGGCGCGGATCCCAACTTCCCAAAATGGTGGCCATCCAGTTGTTTAACGAAATCCGGAGCATATTCCGCAATGTAAGTACATTTATATCTTTACCTTGGCCCTTAAAAAATCTATTTTCTTTTGAAACAGACGCCCACATTCGCTCTCGTTTTGGAGACACTCCTACTCATAGCCGTCATATGGCTGCTGCTCCACAGGCGCGGTGGAGGTCGCCGTCGGCGTTTTACCAAGGAGGAAGAGGATAGCATCATAGCCAACTATGAGCCAGAGCCATTGGTGGGGGACACCGATCCCAATCACCCACTTCTGCGCACCCGCATCGTCCAGTCTAGGGTGGGGAAGCGAATCAAGGTTGATGGCCACGAGTGCCTCAATCTGGCTTCCCACAACTACTTGGGTTTTCTAGAGGACCAGGAGATTCTAGATGATGCTTGCAAATCTCTTCGAAAATACGGCGTGGGATCGTGCGGGCCGCGAGGTTTTTATGGCACCATGGATGTGCACCTCGATCTCGAAGACCGCATTGCCAAGTTCATGGACCTGGAGGAAGCTATTGTGTATTCATATGGATTCTCTACGGTGGCTAGTGCAATCCCCGCCTATGCCAAGCGTGGGGACATTATTTTTGTGTATGTTTGCCTTTTTTAAGCTATTATTTTGAATTTATGATTGAATTATGGTTTCCTTTCAGGGATGAGGCAGTAAACTTTGCCATTCAGAAGGGCTTGGATGCCTCGCGAAGCACCATTGTGTACTTTAAACATAATGATGTTGAGGATCTGGAGCGATTGCTGCTTGAGCAGGAGAAGCGGAACCAAAAGAACCCCAAGAAGGCGCTGAAGACGCGCCGTTTCCTGGTTGCCGAGGGCATATACATGAATACAGGCGAAATCTGTCCACTACCCGACCTGGTTGCCCTGCGTCAGAAGTACAAGCTTCGCCTTTTCATTGACGAGAGCATATCCTTTGGCACATTGGGCAAGGGTGGCCGCGGAGTCACCGAGCACTTTAATGTAGATGTAAGTTGATCCAGCTCCCTGTTGCTCTATAATCTTATACTCCTTTTTTCAGAGAGACGAGGTTGACTTGATATCTGCCGGCATGGAGGGTTCCATGGGCACTATTGGCGGCTTTTGTGTTGGCTCGCACTTCATAGCCGAGCACCAGCGTCTCTCTGGCTTGGGTTACATATTTTCGGCATCGCTTCCGCCCATGTTGACCCAAGCCGCCATCTCGGCGCTGAACCGCTTTGAACAGGACCCGCAGATCTTTGAGCAACTTCAAACGAAGTCCAAAACCCTGCACCAGAAGTTTTCCAACTTCACCAAGCTGCGGCTACGGGGTGATGCGTTGTCGCCGGTTAAACACTTGTACCTGGCTGAGCCTGCTGAGAACTTTGACGCGGAGCTTAAGCTGCTCACTGAGCTGGCTGACAAGGTTAGTTACTCTCAGAACTGCCTACTTTCATGTCTAACATTCCAACACACTTTCCTCAGAGCATCGCACAAGGAGTGGCTATTGTACAGGCTGCTTACTTGCAGAATAGGGAGCGTGTTCCAGTGCGTCCGAGTATCCGGATAGCCGTCAACCGGCTGCTGGACGATGCGGACATTTCCACGGCCTTCGAGGTCATCGAAAAGGTCGCCAACAGTCTTCTGTAGTCTTCTAGCCTCTTGGGAAACATGGAGTCGTGCCTTTGTGTGCGTATTGTGTCTTGATGCGGTGTTTAGTTTGAAAACACTAGTTACGTCCAATCCAGTATGAAATGTTATTGCACAACTATGACTAACTTTGCACTTGGTTTTTATTCGGAGCTGCATTGCATTTTAATAAACTCTATTCTATAAGTATAAATTCCAAAGCTTGGTTAAATAAAATAACATTACCTCACTTTTTTTATTGAAAGATTTTTCCTCTCATTACTATAGATAACATATTTTATAGTTTTAATCATAGTTCGTGTAACAATGCTACTGATAAGGTTGCACTGAAGTAGATCAGATTTTGATTACAAATCCGACCCCTAATCATAACCCTTCGACTTTGAAAAGCATGAGTTTATTATGCAAACCAACCTATTCTTAAAATGAACTTGACAACGTCCACAAATCATGATGTTTGTCCATAAAGGCGGCTCCGAATCAGTTCAAATATGTCACCCGTAACGGCGATCAGCAATCAGTAGCAATTAGAGATGCAATACCAGGGTGGAGCTGTTCTCAAATATTCAACCTTTGGATGTCATAAGTTATAGGAGTTTAATAAAATATTTAAAAGGTAATAATTCGATTTAAAATATATACTTTTAATACAAAAAAGTGTAAAGATTTCTTCGATGTGTGACCTTTTCTAGGTCCCATAGAATCCGTTCCACCTTATTGTATACCCTATGTAAGTATGCCGGGTCTTATCACACCGAGTACGGGAATACTTGGCCACAAAAACATGTTGTTTACATGCGCCAGTGGGCGGAGGAAACAGCTGATGGGCCGATTCCACCACCGAAAGCTCTACAGCGCCAGAGCTTTAGAGGCGTCTGGCAGCCGACAGGCCGGCACAGTCGCTAGCGAACTCTCCGTATCAACGTTTCCACCAGAGATCTCCCACATCCATCCGGTACGGTACTGCCTTCCTCAACATGGGCGACGCCATGAACGTGGAGGTTAAGGATATCAACAAGCTCTTCGAAACCGATGGCTACCTGAGGCCCTTTGAGCGCGAGATCCGTCGCAGGTGAGTTTCTCAGACTCCCCATCTTGTAAATCAAGGTTGGCGCCGGCTTATGTGCCGCTGATAAGGAATGTTGCTCCTCGACCTCCTGGAGAATCATATCAGTGTTTAGTTGACCCTGTACCCCAGCGGCTCCCACCTTTAATCCACCAGTGACATGCAGTTGGAAAACTGCGTTTGCAATGACGAATGAAGGTCGCCGGTGTTTGCTGCCCTCCCGACCATAGTGTGTGCCTGTGTCTGTGTGTGTGTGTGTGTGTGTGGCCTGGTGTTTGGTGAACTAATATTACCTTGAATGTTCGCATTATTTTCTGCGTGTTGCCGGCGTGTTTGGAGCATGGACGATCTTGGCCTTGGCAGCCTATTCTGATTGGCCCAATGATGTCAGGGATCCGGGCGTTCGTCTCTTATTTTTGCATCATTGCCAATTTTATTCCTCTGGCTGCACTTCCGTGTTCTCCCCTGCCGTGTATTTTGTTTTGGTTCTGTTTTCGCGTAAACTATCTTAATTTCTTTATCTTATCAGTGGGACTGGTGCATTTTTTATAGCCGGTATTTAAAGATAACTAAAAATCCATAAAATGTCTATACTATATTCCTGATCTATCATTCAATGCAGTCCGTATATGAAGGTATTTTCTCCTGTACAATTTCTTAGAGGGACTAAGCAACCTTTAAAATCCTACCTCCTTCCAAATTATAACTAGGATTCCTTCCTTAACATTTTCTTAAATAAAAACAAGGTTCTAAATCTAAAAAATTTCATATCTTATTATTATTTTAGACATGGAGTCCTGCAAGACTGGCTGGGCCGCATCAACCAAGGCGAGGGCGGACTAGAAGAGTTCTCGCAAGGCTACAAGTACTACGGCCTCCACTTCCAGCCGGATAACACGGTTATAGCCAGGGAATGGGCGCCAGGTGCCAGAGATGTCTACCTCACGGGTGACTTCAGTAAGTAGTCCACTAAAGGCATACATTCCACACTTGTTTAAAAAAAATATCCATTTTTTTAGACAACTGGCATTGGGAATCACATCCTTACAAGAAACTGGACTACGGAAAGTGGGAGCTGGTCCTGCCTCCCAACGCAGACGGCAGTCCGGCCATTAAGCACCTCAGCGAGATCAAAGTGATCATTCGTAATCATTCCGGCCAACTGCTGGATCGTCTGTCGCCCTGGGCCAAGTACGTGGTCCAGCCGCCAAAGTCCGCCAACCAAGGAGTCAACTACAAGCAGTACGTGTGGGAGCCACCGGCATCGGAGCGGTATCAGCGCCAGCACTCCCGCCCGGCCAGGCCCAAGTCGCTGAGGATCTACGAGTGTCACGTGGGAATAGCTTCCCAAGAGCCTCGGGTTGGCAGCTATGACGAGTTCGCTGACCGCATTGTGCCCAGAATCAAGCGCCAAGGCTACAACTGCATCCAGGTAATGGCCATAATGGAGCACGCCTACTACGCCAGCTTCGGCTACCAGGTGACCAGCTTCTATGCTGCCTCCAGTCGCTACGGAAACCCAGAGCAGCTGAAACGGATGATCGATGTAGCCCACTCGCACGGCCTGTATGTGCTGCTCGATGTGGTCCACTCGCACGCCTCCAAGAATGTGCAGGACGGTCTGAACCAGTTCGATGGCACCAACAGCTGCTTCTTCCACGACGGAGCCCGTGGCGAGCACTCGCTCTGGGACAGTCGCCTTTTCAACTATGTGGAGTACGAGGTGCTTCGATTCCTGCTGTCCAACCTGCGCTGGTGGCACGACGAGTACAACTTCGATGGTTACCGGTTCGACGGCGTGACCTCCATGCTTTACCACTCGCGAGGCATCGGAGAGGGCTTCAGCGGCGACTACAACGAGTACTTCGGCTTGAATGTCGACACAGATGCCCTTAACTATCTTGGTCTGGCCAACCATCTGCTACACACCTTGGATCCGGAGACTATAACTATTGCAGAGGTGAGTGAAGAAATATCCACTTAGTATACTGAAATACAGGTATATCTCCATCGTAGGACGTATCTGGTATGCCCACCTTGTGCCGTCCCGTCTCGGAGGGTGGTATTGGTTTCGACTTCCGTCTGGGCATGGCCATCCCGGACAAGTGGATCGAGCTGCTCAAGGAGCAGAGCGACGACGAGTGGAACATGGGCAATGTCGTGCACACACTCACCAACCGCCGCTGGATGGAGAACACGGTGGCGTACGCCGAGTCCCACGATCAAGCCCTGGTGGGCGACAAGACCATCGCCTTTTGGCTGATGGACAAGGAGATGTACACGCACATGTCCACGCTCTCGGATGCCTCAATGATCATTGATCGGGGCCTGTCGCTGCACAAGATGATTCGCCTCATAACACACTCCCTGGGAGGTGAGGCGTACCTCAACTTTATGGGCAATGAGTTTGGCCATCCCGAGTGGCTGGACTTCCCGCGTGTGGGCAACAACGACTCGTACCACTATGCCCGTCGCCAGTGGAACCTGGTGGATGACGAACTCCTGAAGTACAAGTTCCTCAACGAGTTCGATCGAGCCATGAACGAGGCGGAGGAGCGCTACGGATGGCTGCATTCCGGCCCGGCCTACGTCAGCTGGAAGCACGAGGGCGACAAGATCATAGCCTTCGAGCGTGCCGGCCTGGTGTTTGTTTTCAACTTCCATCCCAATCGCAGCTTCACCGGCTACCGTGTCGGCACCAACTGGGCTGGCACCTACCAGGCTATCCTCTCCTCGGACGATCCGCTCTTCGGCGGTCACAACCGCATCGATGCCAACTGCAGGCACCGCTCCGATCCGGAGGGCTATGCCGGAAGGAGCAACTTTATTGAAGTCTACACGCCATCTCGCACAGCCGTGGTCTATGCCCGCGTCAGCGACTAGATCCCCGAATTTGTTGAAGCCTGAACGGATTTTATCTTAGTAATAGTCCTTGTTAATGTTACGAATTGGGAAAGCCAATATTGAAATATATGCTGAGGTATAGTTTTCTAAAATTCTATATTATTTCTTTATCTTAAATCTTATTGATTTTAAATCCTTTTAAAAACCTTCCAACAAAGGTGATAATAATCTCAATCTTTTGAAACCTTAAACTCTATTTTTATTTCCTCCATCATTGATGAATCAACGAGTTATCTTACACATCTAAAAACAAAGGGGCGTATAAATTCTATTTAAGATTAAAGGAACGCCCCCCATCCAATGTACATGGCAGCCAGGTTATCCACCTTGGTGGCCTCGTTTATAAGAAAGTTGACCTGTCCCTCCGTGGAGAGTGGAATGCTGTTGGCCTGCTGCCGCTTTATCTGTAAGAATAGAGCCCATTAACATTAAATATTTCAATGGAATGGTACTACTGGGACTTGGACTACTTACATGACCCTGCAGTCGATCGGCGATGCGCTGGACATCGCTGGTTATCTTGGCCGTGGCGGCACCATGGCGTATCTGGGCTCCCACATCATATACGAACGGTCTCAGCATGGACATCAGGGTCTTGGTCTCCTGCTTGAGCAGACGGAGGGTGATCTCGCAGCACTTACGATAGCTGCCCTCCACGCCCAAGGGACCCATGGCGGCGATCATGTTCTGGGTGAGGCGGAAGGGAACCACCTCGGGATAGGCTAGCAGTTCGCCCTGATTAAAGAGGCAGTTGAAGTCCACATGAACGGCGTCGCCGTTGCGCTCATCGAACAGGATGTTCTCTCCGTGCCGATCGCCCAAGCCAAGGATGTAGCCCACCATCGACATGACGGCCACGGTGCGGATGTAAGTGTTCCGGGCCTCGTACCAGCTGTGGGGTGTGGCGAAGCGTTGGCGCAGCCACTCCTGGAAGACCGGCGGATGGGCCGGCAGTAGCTGATTGAGAAAGACGTCTCGTTTCCGTTCCAGCGGGTCATGAACGGGCACTGCCATCTGGTGCAGCTGGCGGCTGGACTTGGCTTGGCCCCGCTGCGTATACAGGCTCATCACAATACTCCGGTAGGAGGCCAAATTGGGCAGCCACTCCACCAGGCCGCATTCCTCATTGAAGGGCAACACGGCGTAGGTGCGGATATGGAGGCGGCGTTGCCTAGCCGGTGCATTTTGATGCAAGTAACGCTTCACCAGACCATTGAACTCCATCAGACGAGCGTCGCGACGCAGATCGTCCTTGGGCTTAACCAGCACATCGTAGTCCTGGCCGTCGCTGCAACGAATGGTGAGCTTCTTGGGCTTGGCCGCCGAGCGCAGGATGAGGACCGACTCCTGAAAGCCGTTGATGTATATCTGCTGGTAAGGGAACAGGTTCGGTTTCGCGGTAGAGCTCGCTGGAATAGGCACCGGATTCGAGCACGTGGCGTCCGAGCTAAGGGGCAAGGTGGGCTGCATGTATTTCTCAAAGGGCAGCAAGATGTTAGAGAAGTCAGCCTGGTTGCAGAGCTTGGTAAGGCGCTTGTCCAGATCGCTCAGCTTGTAGTTCCGGTCCAGGGTCACCTCTTTGTTGGTTACATCCATCAGTCGCTCCGCCAGACAACTGAAATCGTGGAGGAGCTTCTGGAAAGCGGAGTTCTGCAGACGGCTGTCGGTGAGTATCAACTTGGAGCGCTTGATCCTGTTGGCCGTGGCGGACTTAAAGTGCGGCAACAGCATCCAGAGCGACTGTTGGGGGAAGTCTTCGACCAGGCGAACGATCACGTTGCGGAGTACGGTGAACACCTCGGCGGATGGATGACAGAGGCGACTGAGCATCTGGGAGAACACGGTGTAAAACATAGACGTTGGCAGGACGTTGCTGCAGTTGGTCAGCAAGTCGTTCATCCTCTTGATCATGTCCTGGTTGGGGCAGGACTCGGCGGTGTCCAGCCAGAGGCTGATCAGGCGCGGCATCGACTGGTAGACGTGCTCGCTGCCGTATCGAAGGGACTTGGCGTAATTAACCAAGACCTGGAGCAACACGTCGTCGATTCCCGTGCTGCTCGTCTGCTTGGCCTCGCGCATCTTCTCCAGAAACTGGGCCAACTGAACGTAGCAGCTCTCTGACTGACGATGCACAGCGATGGCCTCCTCGAAATACTTCAGCACGGAGTCGGCACACAAGTGCATGGACTCGGCACTGTAGACGGCCTGCAGGTACTTCCCCTGGAAGTAAAGATACCGCTGGTCAGGAGGCAGCTGCTTGACGTAGCCCTTGCAGGCGTCGCGCATGATGGACAGCTGCTCCTCCAGGTAGTTGATGGCCATCACCTGATCCCCCTTTTGCCAAAGGAGCTTGGCGCGTTCGAGGAACAGGCCTGTGGGCTGATATTCCGCCGCCTTCAGGATGTACAGCTGCGCTCGCTGGAGTTGGCCAGCATTCCGGTTGATCTGGGCACTGTGCAGCCAAAGCCTGGCCAGCTCCGTTTGCAGACGGGGAAGAAGGTGCTTGCGATCCGTCAGGCGGCGCTGCAACTCAGCTAACAGATTCCGCCGGAAACTGTAGACGGGCTCTTGGATGCGCACCTGCGGCTGGATAACCCTCAAACGGTGCTGCCAGTCGTCGAAGTACGAGGACATCAGTTGCTCTTGAGCTTCCTCTAGCGTTTCGCCCTCCAGTTGCTCCACCAACTGCTGACTGCACTGCAGCTCATGGACGAGGTGTAGTTTTAGAACGGCATCGTAGGCATTGGCGTACGAGTGCTGCTGCATGGCGGAGCAGTTGCGCAGCTGCTCCAGCACCGATCCCCGCATTCCATCCAGTAGGGACTCGAACTGCGAGGAAGTGGTCAGGGGCTGACGCAGGGCTAGACAGCCCTGGGCGCACTGGGCCGGCCAGTTGTGGCCCGACTGGAGCTCCTCCAGCTCGTCGTAGCTACCCAGGCGCCACAGCAGCTCCGATTTGCATTCCACAAAGCACTGCTCCGAATAGCGATCCGAGAGTCGCTGCCACAAACCATCCGCTATGAGCTGGGCGGTCTTGGGGGTGTCCATCAGGTAGGCGTCCACCATGGCACGCACATGTTCCGGCTGAAGCTGGTCTGTGCTTGACAGAAGCTGCTCGTAGCAGGTAATCATGTCCTGCTGCCGCTCCACCAAACGGTTAACGAGTATGTCCTGGGTCACGCTCATGTCAGAGTTGCGCACTTGCACAGCGCCCTCCACGGAATCAGAGTCCCGGAGGGATCCGTATATCTCCACCAGAAACGTGAACTGCTCCAGAAAGCGCTTGCTCTTCTCCTCGCCCTCTTCCTCCTCCAGATAGCTTTCCAGATAGCTGAGTGCTCTGGCATACTCTCCGCAGTTGTAGCTGGCATGGGACACCAACAGCTTGGGGATCTGGGCCAGGAACTCGTAAATCTTTCGGTAGTTGGGATCTACAGTTTGTGGAGGCTTGCCGCCGGTGCTTCGCCCGTGCATCCTCTCCCATTCTCGCAGCCAGCGCTGGAGAAAGTCCAATAGTTCGGCGCATAGCTTCCCAGCCATCCTTGGAACATGGCTGGAGTCTTCTTTTCGCTCCAGGACTGAGCTCCCGGCTGTGGGTTTGGTTCCTGCGGCGTACTTGCGGGACTCGAACACCTTGAAGGCGTTCTCCTTTACGGCCCCCAGCTCCTGTTGGCCTTTGACTAAGGATGAACCCGAGCCCAGTTCGTTGGCCTGAAGAACGGCCAGGAACTCCTCTTCAATGTGCTCCCGTTGCTCCGGCGAGCACTCCAACAGGGCGTGGAGCAGTATGTATGGATAGAAGGTGCTTAGCATGTTGCCGTCCCGCTTAATGCTGGGCTTGTAGGAGCTAAGCAGGTGTTTTGTTTCCGAGGATTGGACGTAGTCGATCAAGCGGCTGGCCCAGAGGAAGGCCCACTCCTCATAGAAGTTGTTGGAGTAGTGGCTTCCGAACAACGGTTGCTGAGTACAGGTGCTGGGTCGCTGGCAGCTGGTGTAGCAGGAGTGAAGTAGCGGTTCCATTACCTGACGCATGCGGTCGGGCAGGGACTGCCAGAGCTCCACCTTCTTGTTCTCCTTGGGCGAGATGCCGCACACAGCCAGGGTCTCTTGGATGGCCAGCGAAAAGCTGTCCACATGCTTGGTCTTCTGTTGGAACTGGTATCCCCGGCACAGAGCTGTGAGGGCTAGAACGGCAAAGTCATCGGAGAGAACATTCAGCGGCAGCTGCTGGGGAGCGGCGAAGTTGTAATGCGAGGGCAGATAGCTGGCATCGATGGCCCCAAGCTCGCCGAGGCACTTGGCCGACGCCATCTGCAACTGCCTGTCGTCATGCTGGCATCCCGCCATCAGGACATTGACGATCTGCTCCAGCAACGGCTCAAGCGGCAGTCTGCTAAGGATCGTGCTGTTGAGTTGGGATCGTTTTCGGACGAAGAGCTCGCCCAGGTGCTGGAGGGCATAGACCCGCACTTGAAGGCACTCGTCCGTGATGTGTTTGTACAAGAAACGTAGCTGCTCCAGCAACTGGGCTGATGGTTGGGATTGACCTTCCTCGTCCACACCTCCTCCAAAATCCAGATGAGCGGTGTGTCGTCGGATGAACTTCCTAATGGCGGGCGACACTTTCTCATTTCGCTCCAAAAAGTAAAGGTCTGCTATGTAGTTTCCCAGCATGGAGGCATTACGGAGAATCACGAACTCGTACAGTTCGTTCACCTGATCCACGCTCACCCCATCCGCCAATAGCGGCAGCAAGGTGGCCACGATCCTACCCAGCGACGGGCCCAAGTCCTGCATGTTCACCACGTGAAGGAAGATGTGCCAGATCTTGAGGCAGATGCGCTGCAATCGTGGCTCCTCCAGGGTGTGCACGAAGCTTAGCATGGCGATGATCTTGAAACGGAACTGCGTCACGTGCTGGGAGCCCACGAAGCGCATGATCTGCCCAAGGCTGTACAGGGTCTCCTCCTTCAGCGGCTTCTCGAACGTCGGTTCGCTCAGGCAGCTCTCGAAGAAGGTAATCACGCCCAGAAAACGTTCAGCAATAAACGTGGCGAATTCCGCATTTGCCGCTTGGCTGGAGAGCTCCTCCTCTGTTGAAACCTGCAGCAGGCTTTGGAAGGAGCGCATCACGAAAGTGGGATTCCGATTGAAGTAAATCAGCAGCTCAGCCACCGTTTGCTAATGGAATTCGAAATAATAAGTGAGCTGTTGTGTCTTAGGAATCCAATACTTTACTTACTTTCACATCAGCATTCATTAACTGCTGCAAGCTGGACTGGGTGCAGCTGACCACCAGCTCGATGCAGTTGTTGGCCAACTCCGGGTCTTCGGTTAGATACACATGAGTGTAGATCCGCAGGAAGGAAGTCGCAAATAGAGTGGCGATGGGTTTTCGTAGCTGCTTGGCTATCAACACTAGAACTCCTTTGCAACGTGGCTCCACGATGCAGTGGGGCAGAACCATGGCGGTCAGAAGGCGATGGTACTTGCAAGTGAACTCTTGGACGCACGAGAAACCCAGCATTTTTGTTAGCTGAAAATAAGAGTTATTAAATTGGGGATTGAGGAAAAAAACCATTTCTACTCACTGCTCTGAGAGATCGGGTGAAGCGCACACCATCTGATAGATATGCTGTAAGAGCCAAGCGCACAACCAGGTCGAGGGCATCTCGCCGGTACCAGTTCCACAGGTGGATCGTCTGTAAGCCATGGCTAGCGCACATCTCCGTGGCGGCTAGTACTGCCTCCTGAGCCACTAGTGAGCGGATGTGCACCAGCAAGAAAAATGTCATCTTAAACCAGTGGAACAGCCAGAGCTCTTCCATCTCCGGATAGGCAGTGGCGATTATTATCCGCAACAGGGCTCTTTGTTCTAGGACTTCTTGGTCCTCCAATGGCTTGGCCAGCATGGATTTAATGACATCCAAGACGAAGGTTGCCCACTGCTGCATGAAATCCGATGACTGAGCAGTCATTACAGGCACCACAAGACTGAGGCTCTTTTCATTGAGCTCCCGCATGTCCCTAGTCTCTGTTAGTAGCCGCAGGATCATGGTCGGTTCGATGCTCAACGAATCCAGATGCTGTGCAAGGTACTCCGAGTCCGATTGGTACAGCAAATCTTTGGCTATTGTTTCAGTGATGGAACTAGAGAAGTCCAGATCGAATGATTGCTGTTTGGTTTTGCCCAAGAAAGTGCCAGGGAGCTTCTCGGGCAGAGGATGACATTTTGGACAGAAGAGTTCAATGCTTTCGTTAACTTTGAAAGCGCTTAGAGGTCCCGCGCTTGAGCAGATCAGTAAACGGATGACTTGACGTCGTCCGGCTTGGTCGGCGGCTGGTACAGACTTTAATAATTGCTCCGGCTTGACATAACCGGCAATATACAAGTGTGGCAGATTATCCCAAAAGTCAATTTTTTCATTGGATCGAATGAGGTCCTGAAAGTGCTGGGCGTAGAAGGATTTAATCTGGGTGTGGGCACTAGACGGGGTCTCCAAGCGTATTGCATACAGATGGGACATTTCCATGTGCCGCTCCAGAACAGCCAGTAGCTGGTGTTGAGTTTGGGATTTCAAGGATTGACGGATGTAGGTCACCTGCATTAAAAGGGAGCATACCTCTAGGAACGTCTCTGTACGGCACTTTTTCTCTTTTTCAAGTAATTTCGTGGATAGTGAGTTCCAGTTTACGTTTGTGTCTTTTGGAAGTTCACATTGCAATGGTAGCTTGGCCAGTAGAGAGAAGCTCAGTTCACCCTCCTGCTCTACGATACTGTCCTGACATTGCCTCAAGATAAGCAGCTCCAGCTGCTTCAAAGCCTTTAAAGTCTCGATCACTTCCCGCCACTCGCTCCCCGAAACTTCTTTCCTGTCCAAGATTGGCACGAGTGCTTGCGTTAGAGATTCGATGACTTGCTTTCGGCTATCAGTTGCTTTCACAGCCACATATGCCATCAGGGGCAGTAAGTGAGAGGGGTGCGAGCGCCAATGGCTCTTGGCCAACTCATGCAAGAGGACCAACTGATCCGGCGAGCTTAAGGAACGGTCCAGCAGCTCTTGGATGTACTGGCTAATACTCTGCAGCAAAGAGCTATTGCATTCCTCTTCTGGCAGTCCCAGAACCTCATTCAAAAGAAGGTATCCTAGCTGTAGAGTTCCTGCACCGTGCGCTTTAAGAACTAGAAGGAGTTTCTGGGTGGCATCGTCCAGGTCTTTCAGTTCCAGTCGGGACATGCATCCAGTCTCCAGCCACTTAGCTACCATGGACCACATAGCCAGGATGGCCTCCAGCGTCAATTGTGCGTAATGGGCCACATCTGGCTCTCTTTTCCAGTTGACAGCAGATTGCGACTGCAGGACATTGTGGCAATAGTCCAGACTAGCTAGTTTCGTGTCCATATCGCACTCTTTGAGAATAAGCAGGGCTTGGTGCAGGCTGGAACAGAATATCTGAGCATGCGTGGAGTGTCCAATAAGCTGGGCATGCTGCAGAACTGTCAGCAAGTGCTTAGCAAACATGTCCGCTTTATCCACGGGTAGGTAGATGTCCTCCAGTGCGCACTGTGGGTCAAACTCCTGAAGACAAGCCACATCGCATTTAAAAACGGATATGGTAATGCCTTTGTTGGCATGTTCTTGGCCCTTACTGTAGTCCAAGGAGCTGAGACGCAGTTGAATCTCTTGCAGGGCCTCCACATAGGCCAACACTAGACGCTCATACAGCTTCGGATGATTGGAGCAACAGGAAGTCAGGATTTTCTGCTGGAGCTTGATGCATTCGCTGAAAACCAGTGTTCTTTGGAATAATTTCGGTACAGATGGGTCTTTGATGCCTACCTGCTAGTCCCGGATTCACTCAGGCACTTGGCCAACTTATTAAGCAGCCACAGGAGAAATGTATCCTGGAACCTATTGTGCAGTTCTCGCACCAGGGAGCAGCTTATGAGACTCGGCTCCTGACAGAGTATGTCTTCAATTACCGTGTACACCTGGGCCAGGTTGGTAGCGTTCCGGTTTACGTGATTGTATAGCAGCTTCCACATGTCCTTTCGTTGGCCCGACATGGTGATAGTTTTAAATTTAAGTTATTAAATTTAAACCAAAAAGAAGCGGACTCGACAATCGCTTATCGGTGCCGGCAGCCGGAATTTGTGGCGTTGCCAGATCAGTACTGTCTTATCAGCTGATTGAGTTAAGGGTGGTTTTACTCCAGACCGATAACACTTATACGGTCTTATACGATATCGGTGTTATTTTTCAAATTTTATGGAAATCGAAATATCCTGCTATATTTTCTAAAAAGTAAAGAATCCTGCAAGAACTATCCTTAAATAATCCAAACACCCAAGTCAAACACATTCCATAATAAATTATACATAAAGAAATCCAGTTTATTGCTTTAAACTTTTAAAATTTTATTTTATTGTTTATAATAAATATATATGTATATCTAAAGTAATATTAGCTTTAGACCTTTTATGATACATGATGTACGCTAGCTCGAGATGCTTAAATAATTCTCCTTCTTCGTTAATCTTAGACCTTAGGTATAGTATATATCTTACAGAAGTGAAACTCACTTTGCTTATTTGTTTGCATCTTAGATTACATATTTATATTAATTTTGAATCATTGTCCTCCATTAGTTAATGTTACTTTAGCCTTAATCTAGCGCGGCTTAGTTTAGTGTGTGTGTGTGTTGTGTTTAGGTCTTGATTAGTCGAATTCACAATTTCTTAAAAAAATACTTCAATCTATATTATCCAGTCTAGAACCTAGAATAATATTAGGTCAGTGCTATGCTTGAATTCCTATTTTAGTTTAATGGCATAACAAAATTGCAGATAAAAATGTAATATATATATGTTTGTAAAGAATATACAACACTCGATAAAAGAAATCATAGTGACAAGGGACAAGGGGCACATAGATATGAGGGGGGGTGTTAACAAAAATAAATAAATACATTGAGAACTTATTGAATAAATACTAAAGATTTACGTTGCATAGTCGCTGCTGTCTATTACTCATTATGCAAGGAACAAATAATATATATATGATTTATAGAGAACTCTCACGATTAAACAATTTTTTGCGGAAAGAAACCGAAAAGTTCTCGCAACTCGAAAATTATGCTAAACGTATTTTTGGCTGCTCGGTGTCGGCAGGTAAAATAGTTACAAACTGGTATGGGGTGTGTGTCTCGCCTTTTCACTTAAAACTTAGCTTAGGCGTACAAATAATTTAAATATATGTTTTTAAGACGTTTTTAAGTATGCCCTTCCACAGCAAACACTGCCCGCGATGAACAACGTTTGATTTTTTTAGACAATATTCCTTTTGATTTGGTTAATAAAAAAATAAACTTCTATGCACATCCAACATTGTAGTAATATCAGTGATTTAGCTTGGCTTCTTTTTGAGTTATTTTTGAGTTTTGTTTCAGTTTCAGTTTCGTTCCCCTCTTTGGTGGCCGAATGTGACGATTTTTGACATCATGGTTCGAGGCTAGGGCTGTGGTTGCCGACAACTCAGGGCTTTAGCAACAGCCCTGAGTCATGGGCAACCCAGTTTTGGTCTTTAAAAGAAGTAGGTGGTCGGTATTATGGTGGCGCTGTTCAAAAATCGACCCATTTGGCCACCCATTAGACCCTACGCGGCAAACAACTGAGCAGCAGCAGCAGCAGCCTGTTGCTGTTGTTGCTGCTGCTGCTGCTGCTGCTGCTGTTGCTGCTGAGGAGTGGTGGCGGCCAGGATGGGAATGGCCGTGCCATCGGCCGTTAGTAGAAGCGTTTGCGTGGCCTGTGGGGCCTGAGCAGTTGGTTCAGGTGCTAGTGCCACGTTTCCCGGCAGGGCTATCAGCTGCTGTTGGCCGGCCTTGTTGGGATGCGGCACCTGGGTGGCGGCAATGATGCTGCCATCGGCGGACTGCAGCAGGATGGTGTTGGCCGGCAGGTTGAAGCAGGTGACGGTGCCATTGGGGCCCACTGTCTGCAGCTGTAGTGGCGGTGGGTTGGGGGCGAGCATCATCGTGGCGGTTGTCGTCGTTGCCGTGGTACCATTCGAACTGCTCAGGTCCAGGCCATTGCTTTCGGCGGCAGCTGGCGGGGCCTCGGCAAGCTCCGACTGCTCCTCGCCGACGGCCTCTTCGTCGATGATCTCCTCGACCAGGTCGTCTTCGTTGAGTTCTTCGATAATGTCGTCCTCGTTCTCAACGTACTCGGCAGAGTCAACGGCCGAACTGACCACACTGACTCCAGGCGGCGAGGGAGTGGGCGTGGGCATGGCCAGGTAGTTCTCTCCCGACTTGGCGGTGAGAGCCGTTCCCTTGGGGATGCGGAACTTGCGAAGTATTTGCGCTGTGGACGAGGACAGCCCACTAAGCGGCGTTCCATCCTCGTCCAACTCTTCTTCGAGCTCCTCGTCCTCGGGCAGGTCCTCCGCTTCAGTCTCCTGGGGTAGGGGCTGCTCCTGGCGCTGGCCACGACTGGCTGCATTGACGCGCACCACCGTGACAGCTTCGGATCCAGTTGGGTTGCCTGGCTTGGTGCCGCCATTGAGGATGCTGATCGGCGTGGGCTTGCCACCGCCGCGGGCGGCCAGCAGGATGACGGGCGTCTTCTTGGCCGCCGCCTTTAGCCCATTGGTGGCAGTGGTGTTGCTGCTGCTGCCGGCATTGCTGCTCACCAAGGCCACGGGATTGCCGCCGCTGCTGGTTGTGGGAGGAGGGAGAGACGAGACAGCATACGCATTAGTGGTGGGATGCAGCACTGGGGGCATGGGATCGGGCTTGGGAGAAGTTCTGAACGAGTGTGAGACAAAATCGGCGAAGTGGTCGACGAAACTGCGTCGTCTTGGGCTGCGTTCTTGGGGTTCTTGGATTCGCGCCCGGGACTTGGCCTGCTTGAGGACAATCTCTTCGTAGTAAATGCGATTCGCTTCCGCTTGGCGATGCTGCAAATCTTCACTATTCATGTTCGTGGTCTTGCCGCTGACTGGTAGGTTGGTGGTAGTGGTGGTAGTAGTATACTGAGTCTGGTGGTCAGTGTTCAGTGGATGGGTGGTACTGTGAATGCGTGGAGTGTGTGGCCGCTTGAACAATTGTTTCTGGACGTTGGTAACGTGTTTAGAAGAACCTGTTGTTGTTGTTGTTGTTCATGATGATGATGTTGTTGTTGATTGTGTCGCATGTTTATGAGATTTCGTGTGCAAATCATACATATATGGAATGGAACACAAGAACACAAACAACAGACGAACGAAAAATGTTGTGGAAAAGGTGGAAAAAAGAAAAATAAAAACAATTTGATTAGCATATTTTGTGGATCCTTATTTTCGGTTGGTTAGTGGTCTCATCTTTTGATTTTAGTTTTAGTTTGAATTTTAAAATTAAATTTAGCTTTAGGATATGCTTAAATCAAAGTTAATCTGGGTTAGTAAATTATAATACAACGCTTATGACTGATAGCTTAATGTGGTAGTATGTGGCAACAGATCGTGATGATATGGTGGTCAGTAGCCGTCTAAACAGATACCATATACATATATCTAGATCTGTCCAGAGGCAGTGTGGAAAAGTCAAAGAACCAGTGGATATGATTGTTTTTTTTTATTTACATAAAAACACAAGAGTATCAAACAAAAACAAAATCAAAAAATATGAAAATAAAGCGAGTAAACAAAAGTACACATACCTTGCACTAATTGTCCAATTATATTATTTTTTTTATTATTGTTATTTATTTTTTTAATAAACTGGTTATGAGTGGGTCTGAGATTGGAGAACATTTTTCGTGGCAGACACAACATGAATGATTCAATGAATGAAGCAAGAGATGTCCTCAAGCGACTGAATGGATGTGGATGGATGGATGGATGGTTTTATTTTCATTCTTGACCAAAATCTCGGCAAACATTGAAAATAGCTTCCATTTGCGCGGCTTGTGCTTGGGATCTGGCATTTAATGTTATACTTTCTGAGTCTTCTCTCACTTGAGGTCTTCTTATGTGATATTTAACATTATTGTTTTATTTTTTATTCTTTTTTTTTGGTACTTTGGCTGCAGCTTTCGGTGGCAATGGATCTGGGCTCAGAGGGCTAATAGTACGGCCTCTGATATATCATAGCTATATATTGTTTGCAGGCGTTTATTTCGTGGTTATAGTAATGGTTATAGTTTCGATTGATTGGTTGGTTGGTGGGTTGGTTGTGTGTACATAAAATAAAACAAGAGAAAGAAAGAAAAAGAACAAAATTGCATTGAAGTATAAAACGTATTTAAAACACAAGATTTTCTCGAAAAAACGAAAACGATAAGGGGAACGGAAACGGTTACGGAATGGGGTGATTGGATGATTAATTTGGAATCGAGCCAGGTATCAAGTGGGGGTATCAAGTTAGCAGGTGGATTAGCAACAAAAAGCAACAGAAAGCCATACACACACACACTCAGTGTCGACTCCGATTGGCTTAAATAAATAAATGCACAAAAATCGACTTAGCTCCTACAATAAATAAAAATAAAAATACAAAAATATACGTGTGTAGAGAAAGCCTTACGGAAAAATGCATAAACGAATAAAACTAAAGTAATAGCTAGTTAATAACTAATCAGGTTTATGCTTAATGTAGTACTTGGTTCGACTTGACTCATCAAAACGTCTGTTTTCTGTGGTAATGTAGTTCGTGGCGGCCATCGAGTGTTGCAAGTGTTTAGTAGCAAGTATTACAGCGGGCGTTGCGCGGCTCTAAATACGTGAAAGGAAGATCGAGGACCGACTACTCCCAGAGACTCCCAGGAGCAGCCGATCAATAGATAGGACAGTGATAGATACAGAGATACATAGAGGTGGTTTCGGAGCAAGGTACAAGATACAGTGGGATCAGTAGTTCTAAAGAGCGCGATACTTTCGGGGATTGGAGGGATGGACGGGCTAGGGGGGGATAGAAGTTCTGGAAAAAGAGCTTTACCTAATTTCTTTGGTCTCCAGCAGGGACGAGGTGTTCACATCGTTCACCGCATTGATCATCGAGGTGGGCGAGAAGGGCAGATGGTACATGGAGGCGGTGTCCAGGGCGTAGGTGTCGCTGCCCTTGATCAGCAGCTCGTTCTTCAGCTCCATGAACTGCTGGTGCGGATTGTGGTGCGTGGCGAACGGTTGCTGCAGCTGCAGGTGCGTCTGCTGGTGTTGCTGCTGGTGGTGTTGCGACTGCTGGTGGTGTTGCTGCTGCGTTTGTGCGTCCAGGGCGTTCGCATTCAGCGTCGGCTGGGCTCCGGTATGCGTGGTGAAGGTGTACTGCGAGTAGGGGCACAGGTCACCCAGCTCGGCGGCCTCCAGTTTCGGCTGGAAGCTCTGCAGGCCATCGGGCGTCAGGATTTGGTAGCTCTGGACCGTGCCGATGACGTGTTGCTGGTGCTGTTGCTGCTGCTCGGCCGCCGCCGGTGTGGCAGCCGACGTGGAGCTCAGGTAGGTCACGTTGTCCAGTTCGTAGTGGGGTTGCTGGGCTTGACTCGAAGGCACCTTCAGCGTCTGCTGCTGCACCAGCTGCTGTTGCTGCTGCTGCTGTTGTTGTTGCTGTTGCTGCTGTTGCTGGGCTGTCTGATATGTGGCCGTTGTGGGTTGGCTGCGCTGTGCCTGCGGAGCTGCCGGCGCCGTCGTGTAGATCGCCTGCGAGCCGTCCAGCTGGAGGGGCACAAGGTTGCCGGCCTGGTCCTGGATCATTATGCTTTGGCCGTGCAGCTGTTGTTGCAGCAACGCCTGTTGCAGTTCCAGCTGGTTGGAGTATATCAGTGTCGTTGTGGGCGCCCCAGCCTGGCCGCCGTTGGGCGTGCCCGGTCCGCGTTGCAGTCCCATGGAGCTGGTGGCCCCCGGGTTGGCTAACGCCAGTTGAGCTCCACCCGGCAGGATCATCCCGCTGAAGTCTAGCGACGGCAGGGTCTGGAGCTGCTGCTGTTGCGGTTGAGCGGGCGTCGTCGGGGCCAGGGTGCTGGTAAGGCTGTGCTGCATGGATTGCTGATGCTGACTGACAGGTACCGGGGCCATGGAGATGGACTCGCCATTCTGGACCTCGTCCAGAACACTGTCGATCTGGGCGAGGCGCTTCTTGGCCGGCGTGCTGCCGTCTCCGACCTTCGACTTCCGGCCCCGGGGTGTCCGGGCGTTGCGCGCCTTTTTCGCCGGCGGGCCGTCCGCCTTGAGGGGCGTCGTGGTGGCAGAGGGCGGCATCGGCACGTCGCCGTGCTTGTCCTTCTTGTGCATCTTCATCTTGTCGGGCCGCGAGAACTCCTTGTTGCAGATGGGGCAGGCGAAGATCTTCCGGTTCTGGCCCTCGTGGAAGAGGTAGGCGTGCCGCTGAAAGCTGTACTTGTTCTTGAACGTCTTGAAGATGTCGTTCTTGGCGCACACCAGGCAGTAAGCTACCCCGTCGATGATGTGCTCGTAGCGGGCTATGTCCAGGCCCCGGACACTCATCTTCTCCAGATACTCGCCCTGCTCGTCGTCGGCGATGACGCGCGTTTTCCGTTTCCGTTTCTGTTTGGCAGCTGCCGCCGATCCGGACTTCGGCACCATCGAGGACACCGTCGATGTGGGCGTTGTGTTGGCCTGGCCGCTGATCGTGTAGCTGGTGGTGCCGGCAGCCTGCTCGGCAGCCTCTGCCTCGACCTCAGCCTTCATCACCTGGTAGTCCTCGTACTCGTGATCCTGATCGGGATCGTGCTCGAGGCTCTGCTCCTCGTACTTGACGTGCAGCATGCTCTCCTCGTCATCGTCCTCCTCGACGGCCATGCCGTGCTGCGGCTCGTACTTGATGATGTCCGCGGCCACGGCGCTGCTGCCGTTGCTGAGGCAATCGCTGCTGCCGGGCTCGCTCTTCAGCACGTGGTACTCCTCGTAGGTGCTGCCGTCGAACTCGATGATGGTGCCGTCGGTGTTGACCAGGGCAGTGGTGGTCGTTGTCGCAGGCGTGCTGGCCTGCTGCCCGGTTACCGAGACGGAGACGGGCGTGGGTGCGGCGGCGGTGGCGCCGTTGTAGTTCTCGAACACTATGGTGGTCGGTGTTTGTCCATCCTCGCCGGTGGTGGTGATGTAGTGGTACTGGCCACTCGTGTCCACTCCGTTGACGTTGACGTTGCCGTTGCCGTTCGTGTGCAGGATGGAGGACGAACTAATAGTTGTGACCACATTGTCTTTTGTTTATATATATTTTGAAAATACATATTCGGTTCGGTTCATAAAAGATGTGTTTGAATGTAATATTTGCATAAATCAATAAATCAGATCGTAATCGAAATTTAAATTGAAATCAATCAACAATTCACTCAAATCAGATTCGGATAAAACTAATGTTGTGCAAAATGAAAGCAACTTATTGGCCAACTGGATGTAGATGCCGGACAGAAGGGCCCTCCAGAAGGGTGGCCCCTCTGTGGCACTTACACGGGCCTCTTGATCGATTGGATTGGATACAGCAATACAGGATATACAAGTTAGATTGAGAGAACGTGAGTGAATTGGTTTTTGTTTGTCGGTAGAATTTGTGTTTACTTAGATCTACTTTACAGCAATCGTAATTGTAACTCTGGTACAGTACTCGCAACTCAATACTAATTACTAAATAAACTAAAAAATAAATAAACCTACTCGACTGCGAGAAATAAACTGAAAATACGGGAGGACAGAGCAATGAAAAAGGTGGAAGTGTTTTTTTGGCCAACATGATCAGCAGTAGTCCTCCTAAAACGAGGATAGCCGATCATGATGTGGTTTAGTGTCAAAAAATGGAGGGGGAAACTAAAGATGGAGGCAGCAAAAATAGAATCTCTGCTAAAACTAACTAAATCGTAAACAAAACTATTGAAATTAAGAAATAAACTAAGAAATTCAAAAATGGCGCGCAAGTGCTGCCAATTGTCCGTGCAGATGGGCAGCACTTTTGTCAAACTTCAATGGCCGCACTGGCGTCTGGCTTGTGGGCGCCAACTTTGATTTGTAAAATCTTAAACTAGCGTAATAACGTAAAATAATGAGTCCGCGCTGTTGCCCGGCATTTCCTTCGGTTGAAACGGTTTTGTGCATTTATTTACTGTGACTGTGACAGTTCCAATATTCATGAGAAATCGACTAGAGTCGAGGGTAACAGACCTGGGAAAGGTGTCGCAAATTAAAACAAGAGCATGTTGTGTTGTGAGGCGGAGCAGTCGCAAAAGCATTGTTTTTTTTTTTTGTTAATCAGGTAATCGGGTGATGGATTTGGATATTCAGAGACGATATTAATTGGGGAGGTCTTTTTTTTAATATTATTTTTCAACCGCAAATGGAAGTATAGTAAAGAGTTCAATGTTTGTTCTTTTTCTTTTTTTTTGTTTTTGGGGATCTCCTTTCGGGCATTCGAATTTTGTGCACAAAACGTTAAAAAATCACAATAAAATGGGAAATAAATTGATATTTTAATGGGTGGCATGATATAAGTGAGTGGCATGAATTGAGTTTGCGACACGCACAAAACAAAGCATTAGATGGGAGAGGGGTGTTAGAGAATCTCGGCCAATTGAAGTGACAGTCAAATCATAAAGTGCGTGAGTATGTTGCTACTGTGAGAGGTTAGTTGTAGAAGCACCAACTGAAACACCAATTACGAGTACACAAGAAGGGTTAAACCATACACAAAGACTACAACCAACAAACAAAACAAGTAGGGTATTCAAAAGTTCAAGCCAGACACTTACCGGCAACATTCGCTGTGCTGGTTGCAACACTTTGTTGCTGCTGCTGTTGGTGTTGCTGCTGCTGTTGCTGTGGACTCCTGGCCGTGGTCTGATATGTGGCCGTGGCGGCTGCTACAGCCTGTCTATTTGCATCACAGTCCATTTGCATGTCCAATTCGTTCTGCAGCTGGTAGACGGAACCATCCGTGCTACCATATTGCTGCTGTTGTTGCTGCTGCTGCTGTGGAATGCCGTTGAGGGTGGTGGCTACGGGCAACATGCTGACGTAGATCTTTTGCTGCTGCTGCTGTTGCTGTTGCTCCTGACTAGACTTGGATGTGGATGGTTCGGTTTCGACCGGGGGACTTAGCTTTGGTATCTTGCCCTCGAACTTGCGTGGCTGTTGCATAAACTGCAGCGATTGCTGCTCCTTTTTGGCATCTGGAAAACGGCAATCGTTGGAATTTAGTTTCTGGTTCGTGCAAGGATATTCAGTGATTGTGATTGTATTTCTTTTGATGTAAACACACACACATAAACAAGGGGGGGTTAGGCCTTCGATGGTTTTGGATGAATGGGGGTTATGGCGGGGAGGGGTGTCATGTTTTTGGAGTAAGGGGAGCAGCGGCGGGCAAGCGAAGCAGATTTGGAGAAAACAGAAAGTGGAACCGGCCCAAGCAGCACCAACACCTTCGAGTGGAGTTTTTTAGTAAAACAGTTTTGATTTTTTGTTAGTTTTTAGCATTAATTTAAAAGCGTGATCGTATATTTCTCTTACAATTAAAACAAACTAGACGACTTAATTTGTACATTAACACAAAAACGAATACGAAACGATACAAATGCCTTTCCGATCAAACTTTTCCGATTTTTCGAGAATCGAATCGAAATGCAACGAAGCAGCTGTGAAATGTTTTCTATATGCGAAGTATTATGAATGAATGAATGCTGGTGGGGATGTCTGGAAGGTAAGGAGTTAGTGTGGGTGGATGGATGATATGATACTGTATGGATGAGATGATGTGGGCCAGGCCAGTGTTTATATGGATGCAGTGGTGCAGTGGCTGCTATAGCTGCTGCTCTCACCTCTGCCGCCATCGCTGCCAGTTGTTGTTGCAATGGCTGTTGTTGTTGTTGTTGTTGTTGTTGTTGCTGTTCGCGTGGCTGGTGTTACTGGTGTGGGTGTAGCTGCCGCTGACGCTGCTGGTGGTGGTGCAGTGGCTGCGGCAGGCGGTGGTGGCGGCGCTGGTGATGCAGCCACTGTGCCGGCTGCCGGCGATGTGGCAATGGGATCCTTTTTCCGTCTCGCCGGCGTCTTGCGGGGCGTGCTGCCGACCTTGCCGCGTCTCGCGCCCCGCGACGTCGAGGAGGTGGACGAGGCCGGGGAAATGGAGCGGTCGTCCTTGGTGCGCGGGCTCCGACCTCGGCTGCTGTTGCGCGAATTCGTCCGCCGCTTGGAAGCTAGCCAGTCGTCGTCGTAGTCGGCGTCGTACTTCCGCTTCTGCTTGCGCCGCTTGAAGTCCTCCTCCTCGTCGTCATCTTCTGTCGAAAGAATTAGTTTCCAAAAAGAAGAAGAGAAAACGGGGAAAAAGGACAGAAAATGGAAAGAAAAGACAATACGATTATAAGAAGGTGAGAGCTGGCGAATGAAAGAGAACCCTGCGGCCACACACCTGTGCCATCGTCTATGTACTCCAACAGCTCCTGTTTGGTCTTAAAGTCGGCCGGACTCTGCAGGCTCATAGCCTCCTCGCCGGCAAAGTCGCCATCGTCCACACCCAGGTCAGTGGTGTCGAGCGTGAGCACGCTCTCCTTCAGCATGGCCTTGACATCGTCGGGCACGTTCGGATTCTGCTGGATCTCGTCCAGATCTAGGTCAGGATTACGCTCCTTAAAGCTCTTGGCCTTGGTGGGGTTGCACTGCTTCTTCATTCTGCAGAGAGGAGACCAAAACTTCAGATAGTATTCAAGGGCCCGGGGAGAGCGAGAAACCTACTTCTTATCACACAGCAGGACGTCTAGGTGCGGGGGCAGTGGCGCTGCGGAGGGCACCCCGTTCGGCGGATCCTCCGGATGCCGGCCGACATCCCGCCCCTCCAGCCAGAGGTCATAGCGTTCGTTCTGGAACCGCTTGACGAACGTGTCCATTGAGATTTTGACCATGTCATTGCTGCAGGTGCACTGCACCGCCCTCTTCCCGTACTCGATCCAACGCTCCATCGCAAAGTTGGTGGACTCGGCACAGTTGAACCCGTGATTGAACCCAGCATGGTAGCCGAATGGGAAAGTGATCATTATCTCCCCCGCCTCCTGCGTGATCTGCAAGAGCCGGATTAGAGTTAGACACGGAGGAACAGCCCAGAATCAGGGAGAGGAACTAGAGGAACGCACCTTGCTAACTGGCACATTGTGCTGCTTGAGAATCTGCGGTGAGATTAGCGTCATCTTGTGACGCAGGTAGGCATTGCAGTTCTTATAGCTAGCCGGGAAATACTGGTTGGCCACCTTCTCCAGCCGCCGGCCGTACTCCGGCGGCACCACGTACCACGTCTTCGGCGCTCCGAAGTGCAGGTAATTGATCGAATAGAGGTCCATGTCCTCCGTGTGCCATGCAAACGTCGTCTTCCACATCCCAAAGTACAGGTAGGCGGTGTTGACGCCATCTATCTGGATATTATAGTCCTTGTTCACGAAATCCAGGATGGTGCCCAGACGGTTTATGTTCCAGCTCTAAGGCAACAAGGTCAGAGGTCAGTGGTCAGAGAACGAGGCAAGGTCAGAGATATCCCCAAAACCCAAACTTACATCCTGGTCGGTGTCTGTGATGCTGCCGCTGACATCCGCCCCGTAAATGGGCGCCACATAGGTTATGTTCTTCCAGTACTTGCGCTCCAGGTCCTCAAAGTCAAAGTGCTTCGGTGTGGCATATCGCTCGGTGCTGGCCAGCTCGCTGAACTGCTTCACGGTGAGCGGCTTCTTCTGGATATTGATCTGTTGGTAGTAGCCCTGCTTGCCGGTGACCACCTGGCAGATGGGCGCCGGTATCGTGACATTGAGGGCGTCCAGATCGGCATAGCCACTGCGACGCGGCACCCACTCCGGCGGCGGCACCACCTTGGCCAGTCCGGCCTTGTGCGCGCCCTGGGACTCCATGTAGGCAACGTATTTGGGAAAGTCCTTGAACTCCTCCCAGGTGGGCCGGAAGACCATAATCCGCGGTATGTCTGACATTTTCATTCTATTCCCTTTGGATGTGTCTCTATTCTCTCATCGACCGCTGTCCCGATCTAGAACTAGTGATACAAGCAGAGATGGCACATTAGATCTCCGTGTGGCCTGTTCTTAATCCCAGGAGCTGAGGAGCTGAGCAGATGCCAATGCCGACCTACACCGCTTGCCAGTTCGACTGCCTGCCCTATACCTCTAGTCAAAGGATCGGATCGCTCGAAAAAAGGAGGAGCGCCGTCGAGGAACAGCTGCAACTTTCCGTGCGCCTTTTTTGAATGAATGGGCGAGGCAGCGAGACAACAGCAGGCAGGCAGGCAGGCCGGCAGGCTGAAAGGAAGGCTGGCAGGATATGCAGTTGCTGCTACCCCTGCCCCTGCCTACTCGGTTCGGTTCGAGTGGTTCTCCTTTTCCTCGCTAAATAGGACCCAAAGAACCCATACAAAAAAAAAAAAGTGCAGCGATCGTTTTCCTGATATCCTTACAAACTAAGGAATGTAAACTGACTACCGATATCATATATCCAGGATAAGGATGGGTTTATGTTTTTAACTAGTTTCCTTAGCTGAAATTCAAAGAGTTATTAGATATCTTACAGTTCTTATTGTAACCTCTATGATATCACTAATTTATAAACATAATTTAAATAATTGTAATTTCCTTAAATGATGAAATAAACAAAAGTATCCTGGGAATAATAGTTTTACTCGCTGATTCTGTTTCAAAATGTTTCTCTCCATGTACTTCTGTATATGCGAGAGGTGGGAAACCAAAAAATTCGCAATAAATCACTCTGAATGCGGATAATTAATTATTGAATGCCAGGATAAGGCGCCATCGGTGTCCCCGCTGCCAGGATACCGAAAACGCCCAATAAGCAAATGACACAAATCCCGCGACTTTGTTTTTTCTCACACAATTGCAATATCAATGATTTTCTTTGCCAGTTCTGCGTGTTTTTTTTTTTGTTTTTCCTATTTTCCGCATAAATAGTCTGAAAAAGGATATGAGGACCGCAGGACAGGAGCGACGAGAATATTGGATTCGACGATACAAGCCAACAAGGACAACGCCGTGCGAGACATCCCAGCAAACTAGATGAAAATTTACGCAATTTTTCGGCCACGCAGAAAACTGTACCACCACCCGACCCGACAAAGGACTCGATTCGAGAGCGAAAAGGATACCAAGAGAGCGCTGAGCATGCGAGAGCGGATGGGAGAGCCAATGCAGGGGTAGGGTGAGGGGCCAGGGGGGGACATCTATAAAGGACGAGTGCGCCAAACTATTTGCTAGTTCCAAACGGCAATAAAAAGGAATAAAGGAAACAGGCAGGATATTCAGAGGGGTTCCAAAAACGAGCGAGTCGCCCAAACCAGCGAGTAGCTTGTATATGTGTGTGTTTACATCTTCTACTTTAGTATTTGTGTGTGTGTGTGTGTGTGTGTTTTGTGTGTGAAAGGACGAAATTTGGAACTCACTTGTGATTTGCTTCGATGGGTTTTTTTTTTTTTTGTATTTGCCTCACAGTTACTTATATTTTTTTTTTCGTAGCTTTTCCTAACAAAATGGCAAAGTATTTCTGTGACTTTACGGGTAAGGCTTGCTCTTCGATGATAGATCCTAGTCGGTTCTGATGATGTACTCCGTTGCCAGTTGTTGCAGTTTATTGCACATTTTATATTATATTTATTTAGTAGGTATAACTTTCACACAAATATCTTGTTTTGTTTTTTAAAACACACTTTTCTTCTCGACACTTTTTTTTACGATTTAGCTCTGATTTAGCTTAGCTTTTGGTTTTGGCTTTGTTTTTTGTTGTATTTTGTCGTTTTGCGTTGTCCTGCAACATCAGATGGTCGAAAGGCGTCGTTTTCCAGTCTTTGACTTGGACTTTAGTTGGCGAGTTTGCGAGTATGGGTGGAGTGGAGTGGAGTGGAGGGGGGCGGAGGCTCTCGGCTCTCATACACTCTGGCACTGTGGCAAACTAGCACGAAAAGCACTCACGACGGGCGCGACACACGAGCGACATGTCTGAGCGGTCTGAGCGGCGAGCAATGACTGAACCGCATCCTGACGCCTGAAGGACTATGGGATGGCGACGCAGACGCAAACGCAGGCGTCAGCAGAACTCGCTCGCACTCTCATTCGCTCTCTCGCACAAACACACACACACACTCGCACCGCTAAGAGCGTTGTCCTTTTAATGCGAATGCTCTGGCCAAAGCATAATGCGAAAGGAAAATCGGTGTACAACGAGAGGGAGACGGCCCAAACAAGTTTGGCAGGATAATAGTCCTCGGGGAGGGGGAGGGGGAAAAATATTCAATTCGAGAGGAAAAACAGCAGTTGTGCGTTGTTTCCATCGTCCTTTTTTCTTCCATCCATATATCCATCAATAGAAAACCATTCATCTGTCTTTCCTTCAAACAATGCCGTGTTCCCCCCTGCTCCTGGAGGTCCTGAACGAACTGTTTCGAATTCGGTTCAGTTGCGAAAACTAGATGTGGAAAATGGAAAATGGAAAATGCATTCGCCATTCTACACGCTCCCGATCGTCCTTTTATTTTTTTTTGCAGGACTCTCTCTCTCGTCTACTCGGGGTAGGGTAGGGGATATCTCGATTAAGGATTAGTTCTCATTAGGCTTTGTTCGGGCAGGGATTTTAGATCCCGTCAAGAATATCTAATCAGGGCTTAGAGTGCAAGGATATAAACCGATCGGTGGTAGGTAGAAGAAGACAAGACAAGGACCTTAAGGACCCTTAACCTAAAAACAGAAGCTATCTCTGGCAACTAGTCTATAATTTACATATTTTATGATCAGAATTTTAAACAAAAATAAATTATATATTATTTTCATTTGAAAAAACAGAGTGGGTGAAGGAGCGCGTGTCTTCCACAAAAAAAGGATACAAAAAAACCAACAAACAGAAATTATAAAATAAAAAGCCAGCTAGAGGAAGCGGCAGAGGAAGGATGGCTGATTTTGAGTAATTACAGCAGCATGAAGCGGCAAAAGAAATGGCGAGGAGAAGTATAATTTACAACATGTCATTAGCCGGGAAACGCCTACAGGACTCGGGACAGGGCGAGGAAAGGACGCAGATGGGGGGCAGCAGTACGGCAGGATCAAAGCGTGACCAGAACACAGGAGAGTGGCAACACTGCGCGGCAGGACTTGCCCACAGACCAGAATACTGAGTAAGCGAGGGGGCCAAGGATCTCCAGTGCGACTAAAAAACTTGTTTGCTCATGCATAACCCAAAGAGAGAGACAGGAAGAGAGAGATAGAGAGAGAGAGCTTGCATAAAAGCAGCGAGAATGACCAGGCGGCGGCGTTAACTTCCGGCAGGACTTACACGCACACATACGAGCGCAGTTTACACTGCAGTCGGGTACACAATGTGGTCATTGACTGAACGGTAAAAAAAAGCGAAAACAGGAACAGGAACCATCAGCCGCAGCGGCAGCAACAACAACTGGCGATGACGTCGTCAAAGAACACACAGAGAACCGCCATAATGTGCGTCCCCTTTTTCCACATTTCTACTTCTTCCGCCTCCTTCCTCCCTTTCCACACACACACACACACACTTACATACATTTATAGTATGTGTGTCTCGTGTGATTTCACAAAACATTTCTCTAATAAAATTTCACATAAAATTTCAATTCCAACTCGGCTTCAGCTGCGACAACAACTACAAGATTATTTATGCTTTTTTCCTTGTTCCTGTTTTTGTTGCTTTTGTTGTTGCTGGCAGTTGGCTGTTTTATGTCCTTTTGTGCCGCTAAGCACGCGCGTCAAAGCAGGACAGTGGGATAAGTTGGGATATTTATTAAAAAAGGATCTATAGTTTTTTGTCCTTTTTTTCTTAAAATTTTAATAGTATCAGATACTAGATATTTTGGTGCCCTCTTTTAGAGGTATCTTTGTGTCCTGAAACCCCGTTAATAAATTAAGGACAATTGAATTTGATTTATTTAGTTATATGCGGGTTTATTTGAAGTACTCTAACAAAAACTATAGTTTTCTATAGTAGTATATAGTATAGTAAGTCTTTATTTAAAAATATTAGAAGCTACTTGCCATTTATTTAATTATTAGGATTTTTTGAACTCTCTTTTTTGAAACCTTAAACAAAACAAGAAAGGAATGCTAACTTCGGGCGGAGCCGAAGTTTATATACCCTTGCAGTTAAAACCGGATATATATCGCAAACATCGGATATAGTTGGCCGATCCTTATGGGAATAGGAATATATAATCCAATTTATTACAATACAAAATCTAAAAAAAGTCCCAAACTTCTATCTTCAAAAATACGAAAGTTGATATTTCTACCAAATACCATTTCCGATCGTTCAGTTATATGGCAGCTATAGGATATAGTCGGCCGAACCTAATGAAATTTGGTAGGTCGGATTAACTGACCAAAAATATAATCTGTACCAAGTTCCAGCTTTCTATCTTCAAAAACACGAAAGTTGGGTCATTTCCGATCGTTCAGTTATATGGCAGCTATAGGATATAGTCGGCCGATCCTTACGAAATTTGGCATGTCGTATTATTTTGCCAAAAATAGCTCTCATGTCAAATTTGAACTCTCTAACTCTAAAAACACCAAAGTTATACCATTTCCGATCAATCAGTTATATGGCAGCTATATGATATAGTCGGCCGATCCGGGCCGTTCCGACTTATATACTGCGTGCAAAGGAAAGAAGGGTGTGTGCAAAGTTTCAAGTCGATAGCTTTAAAACTGAGAGACTAGTTTGCGTAGAAACAGACAGACGGACAGACAGACGGACAGACGGACAGACGGACAGACGGACAGACGGACAGACGGACAGACGGACATGCTTATATCAACTCAGGAGGTGATCCTGATCAAGAATATATATACTTTATAGGGTCGGAGATGTCTCCTTCACTGCGTTGCACACTTTTGACCAAAATTATAATACCCTCTGCAAGGGTATAAAAAGGACACTTAAATTACATCTATTTAGTTAGATGCCGGATAAGTTGAAATATTTTTAAAAATGTCATTATCAAATATCCTTTTTTTCTTTAATTTATAAAAGTAATAGCAATAAAAGAAGAGTTAGAAGCATTTTCTTTTCAATACTAAGAGTTTCTGGTCTCTTTTTCAGGGAAAAATGGTGTCTTGGCAGCCCCTTGATTAAATCAAGGACAATTAAATATTATCCTTTCAGTGAGATGCGGGTTAAGTTAAAATATTTTATATTTTTAGTATTCGTCCCTTTTTCTTCAATTTATATAAGTAAAAGATACTAGAAGTTAATTTATTTAATTGATGGGATTTTCTGGCCTCCCTCCAAAAACCCATTAATAAATGTATGACATTTAAATATGATCCACTTCCGGATGAATACCACTGTGCGCCGTCGACCAAAAAGCAAAGCACGCGTCCCCTTTTTGGAGTTTCCCTTTTGTTGTCCTTTATCTCAATTGCACAACTGTTTGGCTTTGGCTCTGGCTCTGTCTCTGGCTCTAGCCCGACTCTCTGTCTCAGCCATTGTTTTGTTTTTGCTTTGCGTTCGTTACATTTTATTTTTCGCCCAATTGTACAACTGTGTGTGTGTGTGAGTCCTTTTTTTTTAAAGCAGGCGCTATAGTCCTGGCGTCTATTCGGAGAGACAAAGGAGGAGGAGGAGGAGAACGCTTGCGCTTTAAATAACAACTTTTTCCAGTACAGGCTTTCGGCGCAAACTCGCTGCTACTCTCCGGCCCTCTCACAGGACACGTCGGTGCTCTCTGCTCAGCTGCAGTACGTCCAGCAGCTGCCGCCGCAATCTAATTAATTCTCCTTGGCACACTCGCCTCCTCTATGCGGCCGTCCGCCATTGCTAGTTCTACACTTTTCGCATCCCAGTCTTATTGGTCAACAAAATGGCGGCCAGGATAACAAGTAGGCGAGTTTCCCGCGACGCGTGCTTAAGTGCCTGCTTCATGGGCATCCTGTCGCTATAAAATGTGGAGCAGGATGCGCGCCGGATGCCTTCCGACAATGCTCTAAATAAGGATTCAAGACAGAACTAAAGTCCTTCTTTGGCAGGAAGAAGGTTACTTACACAGACAGACTTACTAGGAGGAGTTCTACATTAAAGGATCTTAGAGGAATTCTCGGAATCCAATCCTTTTGGTGGGGTATCCACCCACTGGCGGATGGCGACCTGTTGAGTTGCAAACTTGTTAGCACATCCTGGAAACCGTACACCTGACCTGCGGCTCGGCACGGATCCGTGCCAAAAACACCACCTAGTCCGGGGGTATGTTTACTACGGCTACGGCTAATGAATGGGAGCGGAAGCTCCTTGCGCTGCTGCTCTAACTACCACCGTGGTGGACGACTCGCTCTGTTTTGGTTTTGGTTTTGGTTTTGGGTGCTTGGGTGTTTTTGGTGTTCCATTTTCGGGAAAACCCCTAAAAATGACGAAGACATCGGCTGTGTATGGACGGATGACATGCCGGCACACGCCACCGATTCCACCCGTTGGGTGGTGGTTCTGACACATGTCCAAAGCAAGAGCGGATGAGGCCGGTCGGTGCCGTTGCCATTGCTGTTGCCGGTGTCTGGGGTTGCTCGTCGTTTGTTTACATTTTGGGGGTTTCCCAACGTCCTTGCACCTACCGAAGGCCGTGCGTGTGAGCGGAACCACCCCATGCGCCATGTGGCCCAGAGCCAGTGCGCCAATGTAGGTCGGTGGTGACTCTGGTGCTCTGGTTCTGTTCTGTTCTGAACTGAGCCTCGGTGGTGATTCCAGAAATATGCCCAGACATGTCTAAGGGTTACTGCCACTGCCAATGCCACCGCCACCGCCACCGCCACCGGCTCACATTTTGTTTATAAACATTGCGCAAAAACAGCTGATTTTCGGCCATCCCCCATGTGGTGCGTCTCGTGCTCTGCATTTCTCCAGCCATCCAGTCCAGTCCAACAATCTTCCCGTCCAGCTCCAAGCTGCAGACACAAAATGCTGCATCACCTGCATGCCGAGTACTTACTTACTCGGAGCTCGGCCAGCTGGCAGCTGCCAGTTGAGGCGCAGCAGGCAGCCATAGACTGCAGGCTATTAGGCCCGACATCTGTCGGGTTGTGGAATGCTAGGGAACTAGGTAGTAGTGTGTGTATGAGTAACCAATCTAACGAATTGCAGCCGGCCGAGTCTATCTGGCCTGCTGTTGCATTGATTCCAACGCAGAGGACTGTGGCAAACATCTGGCTACGTCGGTCGTTGTCCCTCGTTGGCATGTGCCACGGCTAGGGATCCTGCCTGCCAGCTGCCATCATTTCGATGGGGATCGATCCAAAGAGATCGATTGTGTTCCATTCTGTTTAATGGCCAAATGGTTACAAGCGAAAATCAGTAATTGAAGGAAGTTGAAGTAATTCTGATCGATCTCCAGTCTCCAAGTTTAATGCTTGGATGCTGGCCAGATGCTCCTCGTGTTTCAACCGCACGACCCCCCAAGATTCCTTGGCCGAAAAACCAGCATAAAATAAACTCAACCAAGGGACAGGCTTTCCGAAAGAAAAAAAAAACCAAACTGAACTCTCCCAGCTGTAACCGGACACCACAGCCCGTAGCGGTTGTCTTGCATCGAACGAGTAACAGGAAGAGGGGCCTGCCTGGTCCTGGTTCTGGTCCTGCTGCTCCTGGTATGCTTATAAAACCGGTATAGGGTATGCTTATAGGGCTAGCCAGGAATAATCGAATGCGATTATTTACAAGTTGCTGCAAGGAAGCCAGAGAAAGGGGTTGCCGTAACTGTTACAACATTTGAGACTTCCGCTCTTCGTTTTTCCGTCAAGAAGGAAGTGCCAATTGTCGCTGGAAATCACAACTTCCCAGCCAAATTCCATATTTCATCCAAGGACCAGCTGCAGCAGTATTTGCGCAGGCGTGCATTGAACTCTGCTGCTCCTTGACTGACGGCCGGGCAGGTAAGGACCAAGGACCCGAAAAAACTCAGACGAAACGGCAGATGTTCTCTTTGTCGCAGGTCAGTTGCTTCCTCCAGAAGGAGTTGATTTCTGGTGTCCTGCCGCAGGATCGAGGGCGCGTCAAAGGCTTCTCAAACATTTGTTTACCTTTGTTTGGTTAGACGAAGTCATTATGCCCCGACTGTCGGCAGAGAGGGGGCTTTAAAGTCGCAGCTGTCGTCGAAATAAGAGCACGGTGTGAGTTTTCAAATCAATGAACCCTTTTATTTTAAACATTTTTCTTTAGCAAGCTGAAGTTTATATAGAAATGAGGATATAACAAAGTATGAGTACAGAAGTTGGATGGTTTTCCTACAAAAGCTAATCCCAAAGTGTTGCCTACATTAGAGGTAATCTAATCTAATCAAGGTTTAGTAACTGCAAGTAAGTGACTGGCAGCTTTGTACTAAGTGTCTTTAACTCAAGGATAGAATGCTAGTTATAGTTTAAAAATAATTAATCGCATTTTAATCCTTTCCAATAGAATAGTGGCCCACGGGAGATGATAACTTGGAAGCTGACCTTAATATTTTAGATAAGAATATATTATAATATCTAAATCAATGATAGAAAACAGTATATATATGTTTTCCCTACAAATAATACCCTTTATTTCCATTCCTTATCTTTCTTGTAAAAAAACATAGCATAGAAAAGTGAGTTTAATCCATAGTATTCCATAAAGATTCATAAAATGGACTGAAGAGCAGTCAAGTTTTTAGTCAAGCAGTCCTAACTAATAATTCCTAATACCTTTGAGGTTTTCTGTGGTTTCGAATGATGAGTTTATTTTGAAAAGCTTCCAATTGCCAAGAAAATGACTCATTAAAGTCCAACCCAGCTAGGCTTCGCGGAAAAACAGCCACTATTATTTTAGCAATAATGCAATTAAAACCGAAAACAGCCCCACACTGAATCATAATAACAATGTTCCAATAAGAACTCCTTGTTTTGCACCCTGGAATACCCAAAAAAGAAAGGACGCTGCAGCCTTTGCAAATTTTACCAGTTAATGCAATTAATTCTAGCCCTGTCCAGTAACAAAGTGGGTGGTTGGGAGGCCTCGCGCAGTGAAAAATCGATTTTACAAAAGTTCGCTTCGCTGCAGCGAGTGGCCCCATTTGGTGGGAAAACTTACCCGTTGACCGGTCGCTGGCGCTCAGCACTCGGTGGTGGTGCGGCTGTCCAAAGCTGCAGGCTCGTACCTGGCGTCCCGCTTAGATGCGAGAATCACCTATGCTGGTGATAAGTGGCAGCCACCCGCACCGATATTAGATACGAGGAGCTCGGCGGCGTACGTGACCGAGAAAATGTGCCCGTTCACAATAGATGTGGACGCAGTTTATTTACAAAAGATTAGCTGCACGGTGCACATGTCTGAGTGCGTTGGTGTTACGTTTTTGTTTTAAATGTGTAGTTGGCGAATGGCGAATGTTTGGCAATGGTTGTTCACACTGCTATGGAGCCATTGTTGGCTTGGACTCGGCCAGGGTCTTGGGGGTCTGCTTATCAGACGCTCCTTTCCAGTACAGGCACACGCGAAAAGTTTACAATGGCACGGGACCCTAAAATCAGGTCCCTGGAGATATGACTTCTGATCATTTACGATGGCAGTAGAGTATCCTTGTTGAATTGTCATTTAGCAAAGTCAAAACACAAATTACATTCTGTTGGGGGCACTTTTTCGCAAAAATTATACTCTGATGCAAAAACAATCTAACGACAGGTGTGACCAGCTTATGGCATTCTTTATATACTATCGATACATCGTATCTGAACTGCATTTTTCGAGTTGCCAACTATTGATCTTAAGAGCTCTGTAAATTCCTACAAAGCTTAAAAAACTAAATTAAAAAATAGTATCCCTTCATTGGATAAAAATAATAACAACTATACATTAATATAATTTAAATATTTAAAATATCTGCAGTAGCCTGGCAACCCTGGCCCCAAAGTGCACACGTTTTACCCCAACTTCAATTCGACTGCATGTGAGTAATCAACATCTGGAGTTTCATCAGTTGATTGATTGTTGCACCAGCCAGAATTTAAAAGAACCCCTGCGAAATGCCAGAGCCAGAGCAGCAGAACGAAGCTAGTGCTCCCGATGGAGCCGGTGAGCCTCCCAAGACTGCCAAGCAGTTGGAGAAGGAGCGTCTGAAGGCGGAGAAGTTAGCAAAGCTGCAGGCTAAGCTGGACAAGAAGGCGGCTGCTGCTCCTGCTGCAGGTGAAAAGAAGGAGAAGCCAGAGGTGAGTTTTCGTAAAGGGAACCCAGTCTCCCTCCTCCACGATACTCAAAACGAGGTTATGTGGCAGAGTGAATGGATGTAATTGGTTCCATTGTTATTGGTGAAAGTTAATGCCACGCTCTGTTTCTCCACTTCATCTTACAGAAGCGCACTAAGGAAGTCAAAGAGGCTGCGGTGTACACCGCCGAAACCGCTCCCGGAGAAAAGAAGGACCTGAGTGGCCCCCTACCGGATGCCTATAGTCCGCGCTACGTGGAGGCCCAGTGGTACAGCTGGTGGGAGAAGGAGGGCTTCTTCACCCCAGAGTATGGAGTAAGTTGTAAAAAGAGTACTTTATGGAAATATCCTAACCATAGTCTTCTAGCGACCATCAATCGATGCTCCCAATCCCAATGGAAAGTTCGTGATGATCATTCCTCCGCCAAATGTGACGGGATCCCTTCATTTGGGACACGCCCTCACGAACTCCATCGAAGACGCCATTACGCGCTACCACCGCATGAAGGGGCGCACCACCCTGTGGGTTCCCGGATGTGATCACGCCGGTATCGCCACCCAGGTGGTCGTGGAGAAACTTTTGTGGCGTGATGAGAAGCTGTCGCGTCACGATCTCGGTCGTGAGAAGTTCATCGAGCGTATCTGGGATTGGCGGAGAGAAAAGGGCGGTCGGATCTATGACCAGCTTAAGAGCCTGGGATCATCGTACGACTGGAGCCGTGTGGCCTTCACCATGGACCCTAAGCTGTGCCGCGCCGTCACAGAAGCCTTCGTTCGCTTGCACGAAGAGGGCAGCATTTACCGCAGCTCCAGGCTGGTCAACTGGTCGTGTACGCTCCGATCGGCGATCTCGGACATCGAAGTCGACAAAGTGGAGATCCCCGGGCGCACATTCCTGTCCATTCCCGGTTATGATGAGAAGGTAGAGTTTGGAGTGCTGGTCAAGTTCGCCTATAAGGTGGAAGGAAGCGAGGATGAGGTGGTCGTCGCCACTACCCGTATTGAGACAATGCTCGGTGATACGGCGGTGGCAGTGCATCCACAGGACGAGCGGTACAAGCACCTCCATGGAAAGTTTGTCGTGCATCCGTTCTCGACACGACGCTTGCCGATTGTGTGCGATGAGTTTGTGGATATTGCGTTCGGCACAGGTGCCGTGAAGATAACGCCGGCCCACGACCCCAATGATTACGAGGTGGGCAAGCGGTGCAACCTACCCTTCATCACCATCTTCAACGACGATGGCTACATCATCGGCGACTATGGCGAGTTCACGGGCATGAAGCGATTCGAGTGCCGCAAGCAGATTTTGATCAAGTTGAAGGAGCTCGGACTCTACCGTGAGACTTTGAACAACCCTATGGTTGTGCCCATCTGCAGCCGCTCCAAGGATGTTGTGGAGCCACTCATTAAGCCCCAGTGGTATGTCAGCTGCTCGGATATGGCCGCCTCTGCCACCGAGGCAGTGCGTTCCGGGGCATTGAAGATCGTTCCAGAGCATCACACGAAAACGTGGTACCACTGGATGGATGGCATTCGTGACTGGTGCGTTTCCAGGCAGCTATGGTGGGGACACCGCATTCCCGCCTACCATGTCAGCTTCAGCGATCCCTCCATTCAAACTGGATCGGTAAGTAGATTACATGGGAGAGTCATCTCCACCGAGATAATACGTGTTTTCTTAATCCTTCAGCCTGCTCTCGAAGGAGTGGTAACCAAATCTTATATAGTTGATCCTTTATTCCATACCCACATTAACTTTAAACTCTTCTTAGGCCGACGACGAGCAATACTGGATTGTGGCGAGGAGCGAGGAAGAGGCGCTCACCAAGGCATCAGAACGGTTTGGCGTGGAGGCCAGTAAGATCAACCTGAAGCAGGACGAGGACGTGCTGGACACATGGTTCAGTTCCGGCATCTTCCCCTTCTCTGTGTTCGGCTGGCCGGACCAGACCAAGGACCTGGAGACATTCTATCCCACATCGCTGCTGGAAACTGGACACGACATTTTGTTCTTCTGGGTGGCTCGCATGGTATTCTTCGGACAGAAGCTGCTGGGCAAGCTCCCATTCAAGGAAGTCTACTTGCATCCCATGGTTCGTGACGCCCATGGTCGCAAGATGTCGAAATCATTGGGCAATGTCATTGACCCCATGGATGTGATCCGTGGCATTACATTGGAGGGGCTTCATGCTCAGCTAGTGGGCTCTAACCTGGACCCCCGTGAGATTGAGAAGGCTAAGGCCGGACAGAAGCAGGACTACCCGCAGGGTATTCCCGAGTGCGGTTCGGATGCCCTACGCTTCGCCTTGTGCGCCTACATTACCCAGGCGCGTGACATTAATCTGGACATTAACCGTGTCCTGGGCTACCGATTCTTCTGCAACAAACTCTGGAACGCCACCAAGTTCGCCCTGCTCTACTTCAACGGATCGGAGAAGTTCGACACCGAGCTCAAGGCGTCTGAGGTCGTCAACCAGATGGACGCCTGGATCCTATCCCGGCTATCGGCTGCTATAGAGGCTTGCAACCAGGGCTTTGAGACCTACGACTTTGCGGCTGCCACCAGTGCTTGCTACGCCTTCTGGCTTTACGATCTGTGCGACGTATATTTGGAATGCCTGAAGCCGATCTTCCAGAGCGGCAGTGAGCAGCAACAGGCCGCTGCAAGGCGCACCCTGTACGTGTGTCTTGACTACGGCCTGCGGCTGCTCTCGCCGTTCATGCCTTTCATCACTGAAGAGCTTTACCAGCGCCTACCAAGAGCCAAGCCCGCACCCAGCATTTGCGTAGCTAGCTATCCCAGTGAGTAGAACCTATTCACCGTGAACTTATATGAATTTTATAAATAATACACATTTTTTCTTAGGCAACGTCTCATGGCGCAGTTCGAAAATAGAATCGGAAGTGGAGTTCGTCCAGAAGGCCGCTCGCATCATTCGGTCGGCCCGTTCCGACTACAATCTTCCCAACAAGACCAAAACGGAGGCTTATGTCGTGTGCACTGATCCCGCACCCAATGAAATACTCAAGCGCTATGCTGATGACCTGGCCACGATCTCTTACTGCTCCAAGGTGGTCTTCGATGGCGAGGCCCCGCCCGGCTGCGCCATTTTAACCGTGACAGGCCAGTGCGAAGTTCATCTGCTGCTCAAGGGTCTGGTGGAAGCGGACAAGGAGATCGCAAAGCTCCAGAAGAAGCGCGATCAACTGGTGCAAACTGTGGGTAAACTGACCCAGGCCAGTCAGGCGGCCGACTACGCCACCAAAGTCCCCGCCGAGGTCCAGGCAGCCAACGAAACGAAGCTTTCAGAGTCGCAGGCAGAGATAGAACGCATCGCAGCCGCCATCGAAACTCTAAAGCTGATGTAAGCAGGCACTTGGAATAGATACTTTCCAGAAGGGGCATTTTGTTGATATTTTGGCGTGCTGGCAAGGCTCGCCGCAGGACTAAGCTTAACTAATATATGCTTTTAAAACAATAGTTGCATTTCGAACAGAATAAATAAAAGCCAGAGGTTTTTTCTTTATTTATTATGCACCACACATTTAATTTTTCTTCATAGAAATAAATAGAAAAATACAGTATTCTAAGAGCCTGGATCACCAAGTCAGGCGGGTGGCATGGTCCGTCTTCCGCTTCGACATTTTGATGTAACCCAAAAATTGTAACTCGGCCACGGCGCGGGTGAAGCGTGCTCTGCAACGTAAAGAATATAAATAAAAGTTCTAAAAAGTATAATGGAAAAGGTGGACTTACTGAATCTGGGGATCGATTTGCTCCTGGTTAGATTCCTCCGTCTCGTCATCGGCCCCATTTAATACAGAGCGGAATGCCTGCAGCCAGTCGAATAAGTTTATCATTCGGCCGCACTCCAGGTGCAGCTTGTAGGCCACTGAGAGGTCCGGCAGTGTGCTAACCAACAGGGACTGTTCCCGGAGCTCGCAGCATTTGCATTGCAGATAGAAGTGGGGATTGTTGAGGGCCGTGTGGAGCGCCGCCCGAGGAGCGCCAATTATATTCCGACGCACAGTGGCGATGTCATTGAAAACAAACAGCTCATGAAGTGGTGGCGCATCCTGCAGAGACCGCAAGTTATCTTGAACCAAATTCGTCTCGATGAGTCGTAGAGTGTTTTGCAAGGCCCGCGCGAATTCAGAGGTGGGCTGTTGCTGATCCTGTCGCTGTTTGTCCTCCTTGCTACGCTGAAGAAGCTGGGCTTTTAGCTCTTGCCTTGAGGCCACTTGGGAGATATCGGTAGGCGGAAGTCGGGAGTCGTCGGAAACTGAAGCAGAAACTGCCGTCATAGATGCCTGAATCACTTCATCTAGGGACTTGCGGATTTCTACGAGTTGTGGGCGTAGAACCGCGGCACAGGACTCGCCGAGTTCCAAAGGTGCGATTTCTTCGGTCAGAAAAGTCTCGACCCTCTCTAGACTTCGGTTGACTTTAGCCACGAACTCGTCCCTAGACAGGAAGCCGAGCATTTGCCAACACTCTTTGAACTCTGGCGTGGTGGCAAGCGGCCTGTTTAGGCAGTGGACATACAGCTCGCGCCGAAGCTTGCCCAGAGGACATCGTGGCAGGTCACATACCAGTTCCGTGAGGAACTCGAGCGCGCTTCGAAAGAGTAGGAAGTGGATATGGCAGTCCCGCAATAGCTGCGGCAGTTTCTTTTTAAGGTACTCGTCGTCGGTGAGTACAGCTATCACTCGCTTGCAGTCGTTGATTCCCTCGACGTATGGCCGGAAGGAAGGTAATCGGCGAATAGACTCCATGTCCGTGTGTGTTAGCTGTTGGATGCGCCCCAAAGATTGGCTGTATTCCGAACAGAGCGCAAAAGCGTTTCCTGCGAAAAAATGTTCCATCAAGCAGTACTTGAAACCCTGGATGAAGCCGTGGACGGAGAAGTCGTAATATAGGAAGATGTGAGTCAGAAACTTGAAGGCCTTTCCCGAGAGGTGGAATGCATACTTGGGCGACAACAATACTTTTTCGAGAACCTATAAACAGTAAAGTATAGTTAATGAAACTACAAACTACTTAAAAACATGAAACTCACCTCATTGAGCCCCACTGGGGCAGCTTGTGTTTGGAAAACCCTCAGACGGATTTTGCTGCTCACGTGGTAGGGCAAGGTTCCATGAACCGCTGAAACAGCCGTAGCTACGCCTAGAACTAGTACGAATGGAAGCTCATCACAATGCGCGCATAGGATGAGAATGAGATCCTGCAGCACGCTGGCACTGAAGCACTCAAAATCAGGCAGGATTACTACGAGGTGGTACTGCTTTCCTTCCGATGAAAAATTGTTCATGTACCAAGACTTCAGTTGTTTCATTGTGCACTGCGAGCGCCGTAAGCGTTTGCGGTCACGCGCAACAACATCCTCCTCTTCCTCGTCTGGTTCCTCGCCAGCATCGTCTTCAACAAGGCCGAAGACCATGGTCTCAACTGCTGCTTTTAGAGTGGAACAATCCCGGGACTGAAGCACACAAACTTTGGCGGACCGCTGCTCATGTAGGCGTCGGGTGAGAGCGTCGAACTGACTTAGGTGGTCGGGTTGATTGATGCCCGTTAGCAAGGCGGCGGTGGGCAGTAGATCGTCCGTCGCATCCTGGCTTACTACAAACTCCACCAGCTGATCGAGGGTACGGGCATAGCTTCGCTGCTGAAGATCTGCGATGTGGGAGCTAATCTGGCGCCACGTCTGGTTGTAGGTTTCATAAAAAGGCTGCCGGGTTATCTCCTGACCCAACAGATTGCTGGTGTTGCTGCTCCCGACCGAATGCTTGCGCTTGCTGGACGCCTTCTTGCCGGCCCGTGTAGCTCCATTTTTGTACACAAAACAGCCCTTTACAGGAGACACCAAATAAATCATTAAAAAGTGCATCCAGAGTAAAAATTAAAGGTTCGCTTTACCTTTGACACTGAAATGGTGGGATCCATAGCTGGCATTCAACTAAAAACGCCCTAGAGTTGGGATACAAAAGTGAAGAAGTAGCGCTTATTTATTGTTTAGTCAGCTCTGTTTTGTTCCAATTTAAGTTTATTCACCAAGATAAAAACGCAAACCAAAAACCAGCTGCATGCGCAGCTTGTGTGTGTGAGTTGGCGCCAACACAGTCAGTGTTGGGCAACGATTCTCTTTCTAGAGGTAAGAATCAGTGGTGCCATCTGTAAAGGCGGTTATTTTAAATGAGAAAACTGAAGATCTTGAAACATTCAGCTAATTATTCACCTTCTATTGGATCAAACATCCTTTCTGTCCTAGATGCTGTATATCCATTCGTGGTGGAATTTTTAAAGATTATCAAATAATCCATACGTTCCTTGTCACAAGCGTCGGACCACTTGGGAGCCAATTGGAAAGAGAACAGGTACATGAGCAAAAAATCCAGGAAGAGGATTAAAGCACCAAGAAAATAATCCTTTGTGCGCATTTCGGCAAACCTTCCTCCGTTAATAATTTGTGCGTGATACATTACAAACTGAAAAATAGGAAAGTTTAAAATTTTAATAAACTGGGGGCCTCAAGTTTTACTTACCATCCAAATGCTAATCACTATAAAAATTCGTACAACTATAAACGAGTATGGCATATTAAATACGAGATAAAACATTAGAAAATGCATGGCGCAAATAATGGAAATGACTGCGATGACAAACAAGACTACAACATCCAAAGTCAAATCAAGCTGTTTATGGAACAAAAACAATTAAAAATTTGAGAATATGGTGAGGTCGTCAAACTTACCGGCAGGAAGGAACCAACTAGAATAAAAATCACCAGAACTATGGCCCAAATCAGGAAGCTGAATAGGAATTGATATCTATATTGACGAGTAATCAATGGAGCCATGCCCAGCACGACGAATTCGAACTAAAAGTATACAAATTTATTTTACTCTGCATAAGGTAATGCTGTTGTATCTCACAATCAAAAGTGCAAATAGCCAATTGATCATTTTGTTAAAACGCAAGACCTCGAAAAATATAAAAACTACGAGGAGCAGCAGACCAATAGTTACAAATATGCTGCCAATCCAATAGTAATCGGTGAAAAATGAATGTATAGGGTCTCTGAAATATATTCAGAATTATCATAAAGATATAGTTGGAATCCAAAATATATCTATCTATCTTACACGAAATGGAAAAGACACCATTCCAAAAGTGCAACAATCATGGCTACGGCGGTAATTAAATAGGTGATCATGGCAAACTTCCGGCGCTCATTTCGGTAAGATGCATTATTTGTGTCTCCCATACTTGATTGCCTTCGGTGGGGTCTGGGCTTGTATTATTTTATATAGTATTCAAAATATATAAACAAAATTTTTCTTGAATTTGTAACATAAATTTCTGTGCTGTTGTTTTTTTTATTTGAAAATTTTCACCTTGAACCGATTTTAAGACTAAGTTTTAAATAAACCTCAATGTTTGGGAACTTAAAAACACGTACATTATTAGATATTAATTATTTAAAATTCATTAAAAATTCTTTTATATTTTTTAAAGTGCTACCCATCTCATAAAAAATGTTTGGGCCACACTTTCTGGTGGCGGTTTTGCTGTTAGCCAGCACTGCAACAGATGATCTGCTTTGGCTTGAAATTTGCAAACAAACGCAAACTTAAAAATGCTGGGGGACGACGACTTGGATATCTACGAGGATCTGGAAGATTTCCAAAAAGCCGAGGATAAAGTAAGTTACATTAGTGCTCATCCTCATGCAAAAATAAAAACGGTGATATGTCTTGCAGAAATCCGAGCAGCTGCGGGCTTGGGAGGAAAAATACAAGAGTGCAATTGCCGAAATAGAATCTTTAAAGGCGGAGAATAAAGCACTCGGGAAAAAGATTAAAGTCATGGAGGTCAACCTCCAGAATCTTCTGGACACTGCCAAGGCGGAGGTGAAGAGGAAGGAGACGCTAATAGACCAGCTGCGAAAGGAGTATGTTGGGAAAAAGTTAATGTTTTCCAAACTAATATTTCCCCACATTTGTTCACAGAAAGGATGATGTGTGTTTTAGACGAAAGCGACCTCCAATTGACGGAAAACCGGCAGACACGGAACACCAAAATAAACGACCGAAACTGGCCCAACCAAATGAGGTTTCCCGAAAGGAACCAGAAGCGCAAAAGAATCCATTTAGGGCGCGTTCGAAAGAAGACAATAAAACTGAAAAGCCAAAGTCTAGAAGCAATTCTCCCAGGCATAGTCTTCAAAAGACCAACGATAACAGGCCTCGTTCCCAGGCGCGACATCCCGAGAACCGTCAAAAATGTAGAGACCGCCGACGTAGCCGGAGTCCGAGGCCCGAATCCCGGAGGTACCGTGGAAAAGATGGCAGGGAAAGCCGAAGGCGCAGCCGTTCCCAATCACCAGGGTAAATATGATGAGCCGTCGATAGCACTATTGATAGTAGCGCCTCGCATTTCCTTGCAGTAAAAAAATTCAGAGACAAAAATCCCAAACTATAACCACTCTATTCGGCGACGAAACAATCTGCTCAGTCCACGAGAGTCCACACTCAGAGATGGCCAAGAAATTACAAGCCAACAAAGATCCCCTGACTCCTATGGAACATTACACACCAGAATCTGCCAAGCCACAGCCAACGAAGCCGGCTATTCCTAATGAATGCGAAGACACTGCCGCTGTCGATGGGTACTTTGAGAAAAACAATAAAGTTAAGACGAAGCCGCCAGAAAAAGACATAGTTAGGCAATGTGAAGGATTTTTCTCCTCGGTCTCTAACTTAAATAATCTGCCCATCCCCGGGCTTAATCTATTTCCTGACAAAAATCCCATTGATCCAATTGACAAAGCAATTGAGTTCCAAAAAGATGTTCAAGAGCCTGTTAAGAAGGTTGAGGAAGTCTGCGTAGTCTCTGCCAGCGAACAAAAAGAAGTTCAAGAAGATGAGGCTAAAACAATTCAAGTTCCAGGAATAAATTCCGCTGATTTTGACCACAACGAAAAAAAGGCTGAACCTATTGAAGAATGTAAAGTAAATTCATCGAACAATTCGGATTTTGGCGAACAGAAGGAAATAATTTCTGAAACGGTTTGTGAATCTATTATGCAAGATACCAAAGTTTCTGATATGCTTCCTGTTGAGGAATTGACAGTCAATGAAACTATTGATGAGACTGTACCAATGGATATAGAATATGATATATACGGTGATCTCGACAGATCAGATGCTCCCAGCTTTTCGAAAAACATAGGTTCCACCATTATCGAGTCTGCGATCGTTAAAGACGGATGTGGGTCACCAAAAAAAGCTTCAGAAAATGACGAGGGAATCCAGATTATAGAAGACATCCGATTGCCCGAAATAGCTGATATAGAAAATATTGCCTTTACTGTCGACAAGAATCTACAAGACTCGGAAAACCCAAATATTGATACATGCGATAAACCAAACGATGAGAGTAAGGAACAAGAAAGGAAAGAGTCCAGCTCTAGTAAGGATGAAGCTCCGAGCAAGTCCTCAATATTATACGCCCAGCCGGATTCTACAAAAGTAGACCACAATGATGACGAAATCCTTGAGAACGCAATGAATGAATTAACTGGGGAGCAGGGGCCTCCAGGCAACCACAATTCCAACTTCTTAAATTTAAGCCTTGCAGAAGATGCCATTGAGATGGCACTAGAGCAACTGCATCAATCTTCGCCAGACGAAACTGTGGTTACCTCAACATCAAATAAGGCGCGACAAACATCCAAAGATCTTATTACAATCTTGGCCCAATCGCCTCTTCAAACCAGTCCACTTAAGGCAAACAGTCCATTAAAATCCCCAGAAACGGAGGCACCAGAAAAAACCCCGTTGAAAAAGCGGAGAGTCAACATGTCGGAGAATGGTGACAAGTCTCTTACCCAGGAGGCTCCCGTAGAAGAAACAAGTGAGAGCCTTAGCTGCACAGACTCCGATGCATCCAATGTAACCAAACGTTTTTCGATGGGCCGCACAGATTACCAGTTTGAGCAAAATAAGGGCGAAATCGTTTTACGTGTTAAGCGTCGAAGTCGCCGTCAGCACAGAGCGCCTATTGAACAAAAAACGATTCCATCGGATGGAAAGTCTGTTTAGATTTAAACAATTTAATTTTAAGCATATTTATGTCATTGTTTGGACAATTTAGTTTTAAACTTTTATTTTAAAAACTGAAAATTTTGTTCATAATTATGAAATCACCTCTGGAACATTTAGGCATCCGGGAGGCGTCACGGGTTAAAGGTTTCACACTGAAGAAGTTCACACGGTCATTTGGTTTGGACGTCTGGACAATATAGTTTTAAATTGAAAACGACAAATTTTGTTCATATTTATGTAGTAACATCCGGGAGGCATCACGATAGGTCAAAAGATTTTATTCCGACCCTAAGACTCGGGGTCATTAATCCGCTGGAGTATGACCGCCGAGCTTCCTGTACCATGAGTAGATCACCAACCAAAAGTAAACGGTCAGAACTGTTGAAAAAAATCCAATGAATGCATTAAAGTCAATCCATTACTTATAACAACTTACCAAGATATATAATGAGTATGATGGCGGTTATTAGGGTATCACCTTTGAAACCGAATTCAATGATAATAAATATTAGTAATATTATATCAAAAATGAATCTTATTAGTGCTGTAATAAGGTAGATACAGGGAAACTCCTTCTTAGGCTGAAAATGAGACAAAACAATAAATTGTAGTTGCTTTCGATAATAAATTCGAGTTCCTGATGATTACTTACCACAAAAACCGAAACAATAACTAGAATGCAAGCGACTATGTGGGCAATGTGCAGCGCAACGGCTAGAAACCAAAGGATGTTGAGAATATCTCCGGTTCTGATTACTGGGGAAGAGGTCAGCAGAAAGTTATTGATAGCCCTGAGGATGGAATGGGTATGCACTTACTGGACGCATGCCCTGCTGCTCCGCCACAGAATATCAAATCCACAATGGCCACAATAAGAGCGCCCCATTTCAGCTCGAGGCAGCAGCAGCTACTAAAAGTAGGAAGTCCCATTTTGTTACAATTTCCCGATGAAAGGGTAATTTTTTACTGTTCCCTCAGCTTTAGATTTAGTTCAGGATTTGTCAGGTATTTTGAATTTGAGTATCCAGGCGATTTGATATACTTTTGGAAACGCCAACTATTCTCTCAGTTTTGAAGCTGAAGGCTCCAAACTTGGAGGGTGGAGAATGAATAGTAGGGATCGGTCGACTATATATCTTTACTAATATTATCCTAAAAGGTGAAAACCACCGACCATCTTCTTGATAAGGCTAACGTTTTGACAAATGACAAAAATACCGTGATTCTGAAGATAGAAGCTTCTCAATCCACAAAGAAATTTGTCTGCACTAAAAGTCCTGTAGTCTCATAGATTATATCTTCGACTTCGGCTTCTTGGATATTTTATATTCTTTGTAACAGGTAAAAGGATTCATCTCGGACCCCTATAAGGTATATATTTATAGATATATAGGACTATAGGACTTTTCAGCTCGACTCCAATAATATCCACGCAGTTAAGGTTTATCCCCGCTCGCCCAAAAATACCAAGCCCAATCACTGGAGTTACTATTTTCAACTAAAGGTCTATTTATTAATATTTGTTTATTTCGAATTTTTGAAGTTGCAGTACACTCAATATGCCGATAAGTAGTTTTAGCGTCTCGGATTTAGAATTTTCATTAGTTTAAAACATGAACTCATGGGAGTAACATTGAAATATATTTTGGGGCTTCTCCGAACACATTTTGTCGTTTGATTTAAAGATCACTATTCGTCTGGGCTTTGGAGTTTTTTGTACCATGAGTAGATGACCCACCAGCAGTAAACTACTATAGCTGTTGGAAACAAAGTTATTAGATACATTGAGTAAATCAGTTACATTATTAGCTTACGAATTGTAATTATACAAGTAATTAAATATTTTAGAGCTTCTCTATTATCGTCTCCACTTTTTGTACATAGAATAACTGTAAAAAATATTATATCGAATATCAATACAACAATTTCAACCATTGCCACGACGAGATAGACACATGGAAGTTCCTTCCTCGGCTACAATTGAAAAGAAAAAATTGTAATTTTATCCAAAATTCGAATTTGTAATGGCTACTTACCACAAACAGAGAAACTATGATTAGAATGCAAGCCACTAAGAAAGCTACTCCTAGTATCATGGCCAAATACCGCATCAACAATGGAAATTGTGTATCTTCTAAGAGGTCAGAAAAATATTATTGGCAGTCCTAATAACTTCATGAGTAAGTATTTACGTATAGCACTATAAGTCAGATGGGCAAAATCCAAAAAACCAATAATGGCCACAATGATAGCTCCCCATTTTAAATCGCAGCAGCAACATTTCTTTAAAATAGGTATCCCCATTTTCTTATGGTTTCTTGAGTTGTGTTTCTCCGGTGTTGTGTGGCTTTATATTTATACTTTATATTTGTTTTTTGCTGATGGTTTGTGTATCTATTAAATATTGTTACACGTCTAATGTTTCATTTGATTTTGATGTGGATGTCAAGGCACATCTGATTTGATTTTTACTTTAAATAAATACACGATAGCTGTCTAGATATCGTTAGCCATATACCATGAAACGACAGTCAGCCAAAAGTATGCTGCTGGTGCTGTAATGTTTTTAAAATAAGTTAGTTAACATTTTTAAAAAAGTGGGGAATAAGGTAAAGAGCTTTAGAACTGCTAGGTTATAGGTATCTAGTTATCTAGGTTATATCCCAGGGTATCCAGTCATATACCAGTTGGAAGACACTCACCTAGACTTAGGCCGATTAGCCAGTATGATGTGGTACAATCATATGATTTTGTGGCAATCCAAGCCACAATCACCAACAATAATACGAATCGCATTAGAGCAGTGGCAATATAGGGAGCTATCATTAATTTTTCTGACTGCGGAATGGAGAAAGTTTTATCGATCGAGAGGATGCATCAAAGGATGTGTTTACTCACGGATTGGGCTGAAACTATTAGCAAGATACAAGCGCCCACATGAAGGACAAGCACCACCAACAGGAAGATATACATCGTATAGCCGAACCTATTCACGTACATGTCTTCTACGGACTTCTTAAAGAATCCGGCGGTAGCCTCAGTCCAGTATTCATAATCCGATTCGACAACACGCCTCATCCCTGATTAAAGACCCATATATTTCGATATACATATATATATCATTAAAATGATACTCCACTTACATGGCAAATAGCATCCGCAGAGAACGCTTAATATAATTTCCACAAATCCAATTATTATTACAGCAAATTTAAGCTCGATGCAATAAAAGAATTTTGTCACGAGTCCCATTTTGGATGTCGGGGATGGAATTTATTTCTGGTTGTGTTTCTTTGGTCTTTACTTAATTTTAACTAAATATTAAAAAGTGACAACTTTTTTCAAGGCCACTTTGAATGTTGCGATGATAAGCTTAAAAAAATGGACATTTTGATCTGATATCCTGTGAAAACCCTTTTCCTTAAATCCCCCCTTCTAAACAAGAATCAAACAAAAATAGATTTAAAACAGTTTATTAAATTAACCAAATATACTACCAATAAATTAACTATAAGAGTAACTATAACAGAGGTTTTTTTTTATCAATTAAACAGTAACTAATGAGACATAGTATTTTTAATGGTTGTGCCTTGAATTTTATAAAACTATTTTTTCTTTTAAAAACAATGTTTTTTAAACTTGCCAGGTTCATCATTAGTTCATTAATAGCTAAAATGTGAAATAAAATTAATAGCTTCAAGACCAAGTATTTGAAGTATTTTTTGTGGGTGTGATGTGGGGAAGTTTAGGTCTTTCAATAGCCTCTTTATCCACTTTAGAAATGTCTATTCGTTCTTGGCCTTTGAGCCAGTCTCCTCTCCTATGAGAATCCTCCTCACCGCTCCCAACTTAAAGATGGGAACGGACAGGATGGCCCCGGCACAGGCGCCAATCCAGTATACAATGATGTGCTCCAGATTTGTGTGGCCACGACAACCCCACTTGAGGGCAGTGGCCAGGACTGGGTTAAAGTATCCGCCGGAAAAGTTGAAGGCTGCAATCATAGCGTAGTTAAAAGCATAGACTACTTGAGACCACGGGCGACAATCGGCAAGCGAGTCGGATCGGATAAGCGCTACCCACCTGCCACCACCAGGCTGGTGCCGATGAAGGAATCGATGTAGCTGCCAAATCTGGGCTCCTTGGCTCCGATGGCCTTGGAGGCCAGACGGCACAGCAGCGTGGCCACTCCCTCGATGGCCGCTCCCACGTAGGGGCTGACCTGGAGGTCAGCATTGCAAGCCTCAAACGCGCGACCTCGATGGGTCTCGGCGAGCTCGAGCCACCAAAAGGCCTGGACGATTCGATAGACGCAGCATCCGCCCATCAACTCTGCCCAACTACGCAGGGCCATCTCCTTGAAGCTGGTTCGTCCTTCCACCAAATCCTCCATGTGGGTGTAAGGACACGCAGAAGCATCGCCCCAAACGCGTCCCCACCAAATGGTCAGCAGAAACAGGCAGACGGCGTACGTGGATACTCCGAAGTTGTCGGCCACTTTGAAGGGAAATTATTTTATTTTTTACTTTTCAATCAAAATTAATTTGGGGGGGATTACTTTTTAGTGAAGGCGGGATCTTCGTGTTCGCCTTGACACTTACCGATGATAAGCTCGAAGCAGCAGGCACATAGCTCTGCGGCGGCGATCGCCTCGTTGATCAGAGTGGGCACGATACCCTCCCGGGTCACCAACCTTTGACTCAGGAAGCGGGCAATTTGTGCGGCGGCACAGCAGCCGACCATGAAGAGGGCACTGATGCCCAACGATGCCAAAGACATTGCCTAACGAAGAGAGAATTCAAAGTGAACCATGTGTATGACTATTTTGAGTTTGAAAGCTTTTAAGTAGTTCTACAATCCACAACTAATTATTAAATAAATTTTAAACCGGTTACCGGAAGCCAAAATTTTCTGACGTTTCGGTAATTAGATGATGTAAAGAATAAACACAAAAATAGTTTGGCGTAAAGCAGAGTTCATAGCTCTTCTGAAGAGACTGACTAACTTGATTTAATTCCAAAACGAAAAAAATCGGAAAAATAGAAATAAGTGCAATGCCAAGGTCATTATTCGTTTACAAAATTTGTATCAGCTTATTTTATTTCTAAACATGCACACTGAGAAAACTATGGAAATATTGAAAACTAGAAAAGTGAGTATCGACTTATGAGAAACCTCAAACAAAAATTTAAAGTTTTAAAAACAATTTAAAGAGTGTGAGAAACTTTTTAGTTCTAGTACCCTTTACATTTTCTGTGATCTTAAACCTTGAATTGAAAATTCGCAATTTGAACAGCATTATTTGTGTTCTTTGTGTGCAAACAACTATTTCTGAATCCAAAGCACTCGAAAAGTTTCTAAAAATAAATGTTTTCAACTGTCACTTATTAGCATTAAGCAACACATGAAGGTGATAAATAACTGATGATAATCCGAAAACTTTCTATTTATCTGTTTTCATTTTTCCGCAAATTAACCTATTGTCAAAACCCGAAACAATAATTTTGAAATTCAGTCACGTACTATGCAATTGTCAAATTAGAGGCGCAAAATCACGAATTGTGGCAGCGGGATCCGGCACAAGACTGATACCTGGTATAGCCGATTTATATATATTGATCACACTCTCTTCTTATGCTCACCGGGAAACCATTTGGCTTTGCTATATTTATATACTGGGTCCTGACGTAATATCAGACTTTTACGGAATGGTGAGCGGGATTTTTAAAAGTCGCGGTTCATATAATCGATTTATGGGCAGCACTGTTCAGTCAGCTGATCAGCTGTTTAGCACTGTTTACATCCGGCACTCCTTACGCAAGTTTTTAAATTTAAATAAAAACAAATAAATACTCTGTGTCATATTGTAAAATATTACTATTTAATTAAGCTAAGCTCTGACGATTATAAATATACATATATTCTTTGAAGAATAGGTTTAAAATTCCCACAGATACTCATACAAAAATCATAAAAAAGTGAGTTGTTTATTTTACATATTTTACAATAATCTTTTATTTATGAATGAAATGTAATGTTGACAGTGCTTCCCGGACTGTGCCGGAATGTGGTAGGAACATGGCGTATAAGAGGCGTACCCGCAGTTATTCAACAGCTTCAGAGACGCCACTTTTCATCGGAGCCCTCCGAAAAGGTCTCCGCACATGACCAGGCATTGTTTTCGGAGTGGCGAACCATTTATAGCTTGCCATCGATCCGACTGGTAGCCGCCTTAAGTAGGCTAAAAGTCTATCAGGGAGCCGTTACAGTGGCCGGATTACCTATAGCATTTGCCCTGGGACAGACTGGCCAGTTGGGGACGGATGTGTTTGGAATTTACGCAGCGATTGGCATTAGTGGACTGGCCACTCTTAGTCTAGTGAGCTTAGCCGCCAGGAACCTCGTGGGCTTTATATACATCAATGAGCAGCAAGATTTGCTAAAGCTTGCCTATGTAGATTTTTGGGGCCGAAGAAAGGAGGCGCTGGTGGAAACAGAGGATCTCCTGCCAAGCTGGGAACAGAGCACCGCCTCTCGCCTCAGGTTTGTTGTGCCCATCGGTCTGCGCAGTGATCCTAAACAACGTTATAAATTACTGAATCGTTTTGGCCATGTCAGTGACCCAGAATTATTTGAAGGTCTTTTTGGGAGCTGAAGGTTTGAAGAACTTTTTTGTTGTTGTCTGAATTAAAGAAAATTATTTTTAAAAAATTAAATACTTACATGAATTTAACTGATGAAGACTTTTCCGAGGGATAACAATAGGAAACATTTTTAAAATGTAGATATGTGGTCTTTTCTGGATGATTAAAAGGCGGTATTTTCATTTATGTTTTTTCTTATATTAATCCTTTATTCAGTCTACTGTTAATAGTTAGTTAGATGCCTAAAATAAATGGTGTTTGTTTAATTGAGTATTTCTAGAAGTCTTCAAAGACGACCTATTAATACCATGCTTTTCACTTGTGGAGCACGTTGTGACCCAAGCGATAAGATGTATAACATAAATTTAAAATAGTCACTTGAGCATTGAATCATTTTCCCAGAGCTATCGCCTCCTCCACCTAAAAAGTAAAACTTTTTATTTGGAATGTTTAGGGGACTAACTTACCGTGTCAGGTAACTTTTTGTGAAATGTTTCAGGCAGGAGAAGTGATACGAGTCCGGCCACTAGAGAAGTCGCTCCAAATAACAACAAGGGCAGTGGCTCATAGTAAGATGCCTGTAAACAACCATATTAAATTGTTAAGATCATTGTTTAAATATTATCCTTACCAAAAGCGGAACAAAGGGGGCCAGCATAGCTCCAAAGCGCGCAAAAGTAGACATAACACCAACTCCACCGCTTCGAATAACCTGTAATAATATTTTTTAAGCTTTGTTTGTTAATTTAAAAATAGTTCACCTACCGTTGGCATCATTTCTGCTGTGTAAGTGTAAATAACAGCGAAGGAGGATGTGATGCCCAGTTTTCCGATGAGGAAAAGCGCCACCACCAACCAGTTTGCACCTGGGAACGTCGTAAGGAAAGATTATTTTTTGTAAAGAAAGAAAATCGTTATAAACCTATTATATATTTGAATTAGTCTTTGTAAAACTCACAAATCCAAGATTTTTTTAAATACCCTATCCAAATCCAATCGCTTTCAGCTTAAAGGTATGCATGTACAAATAAATAAAAACTATCAAAAATTCATCAAAAATTCTAGTTTTCTAACATGAGGTAAAGGAGGAAGATATAAAATCTTTTTACCAAGACCAAGTAATCAGAGGATTTTCTGGCTAATATATGGCTTTTTTGGGGTTTTCAAAAAGAAGCTCCTTTTTATCTAGAATAGTTAGAAATACAACATACCCATGGTTACAAATCCACTAGCCACGCAGGTTATGGAGCATAGCAGCAGCGATCCTGAAAGAGCCCAACGTCTGCCAAGTCTGCGTAGAAACACCTGTTTGAAGACGATACTTTTTTAGAATATTTATCCTACTTTTTGCACATTGAATACCTACCCAAGCTAGACTATATCCGGGTATTTCAACGAGGCACACCAGAGTAAAGTTAAGGTACTTGTTGCCACTCAAGCTAGTGGCGTTTAAGGAGAGGCCATAGTAAACAATGGCATTCACTGCCCAGACAAGCAACATAATGGCATATCGACCCATCAATATGTGGGAGCTAAGGACTTGCTTGACTGCTACCCAGATCTGATCGTCCTTATGTCCGGGTACGGTGTTATCCGTCGATATTTCCTCACCTGTGACCCCATCCGCCTCCAGTTCTTGTTGCTTAAAGCTGGCCATGAGCTCGACTGATATATCTCGCCGGTTCACCTTCGCCACCTTTCGAATAATAGTGCCCGCCTGTTCACGCCGGTCCCGGGCAAGAAGCCACCGTACTGACTCAGGCACTAGCCAAAAGTATCCCACGCAGACCAGTGGCGGAAGGGAGAGCACTAGCTGCAGATTCCGCCAGTTGGGCAGAAAAAATGCCAGCCCCAAAAGCGCCTCACCCACAGCATAGAAGTAATTGAGCACAATGGAGGACATCTCACGTTTCCGTGGACCCACCATCTCCACGCCGATGATGAAGGCCAGAGGGTAAACTCCGGAAGTGCCAACTGCATTCAAAAATGCAAAAACCAAGAAGCTGATGTAGTTCCATGCCAAGGCTTGTCCAACTCCAGTCAGTGCCATAAAAACAATGCAGAATAGGAATACATGTTTGCGTCCAAAGCTGGAAAAAAATAATATAGTAAATTAATACTTTCTCAAATCGGTTCTTAAATAAAATATTGCTTCATTTTAAAATGTTCGTAACTTGTGGCTTTTCTGAACTTCCCCTTTTTTGCCCCTTCCGATGTGCATAGCTCTGCCAATTTATATCCGATCAGAAAACCATGTACCATTTTGTAATCAGCGCTTTCAGATTCTCATTTCCTCATTCAAAATATAGTTTTATTATCATTTTTAAATTTTTCGAATTTTTGCAAGGGGTACCCCTATGAAATTGTGAGTTTTCTGAACTTCCCCATTTTTGCCCCTTCCGAAGTGCATAGCTCTGCCAATTTATATCCGATCAGAAAACAAAGTACCATTTTGTAATCAGCGCTTTCAGATTCTCATTTCCTCATTCAAAATATTGCTTTAATATCGTTTTCAAATTTTTCGAATTTTTGCAAGGGGTACCCCTATGAAATTGTGAGTTTTCTGAACTTCCCCATTTTTGCCCCTTCCGAAGTGCATAGCTCTGCCAATTTATATCCGATCAGAAAACCATGTACCATTTTGTAATCAGCGCTTCCCGATTCTCATTTCCTCATTCAAAATGTTTCTTTAATATCGTTTTCAAATTTTTCGAATTTTTGCAAGGGGTACCCTTATGAAAATTTCAGTTTTCTGAACTTCCCCATTTTTGCCCCTTCCGATGGGCATAGCTCTGCCAATTTATATACGATCAGAAAACCATGTACCATTTTGTAATCAGCGCAATCAGAATCTCATTTCCTCATTCAAAATATTGCTTTAATATCGTTTTCAAATTTTTCGAACTTTTTCAAGGGGTAACCCATGAAATTGTGGATTTCCGCTCCTTCAAGGACAACGGATCGTATAAGTAATTTTTAATGCAACTTTTGTTAATGATGAAATCAATATTTATTTTATTTTATATGTTTTTTTTTTTATTCAGAAATTCCTTCATCTGCCACTTACCGATCAGCCAGGTAGCCTGACAATGCGGTGCCCACCACCAGCCCAGCAAAGTGTGTGGTTCCCACGAAAGCCAATTTCCAGAGGTTCTCCTGGCACTGAAGTCCCCATTCCTGAACAATAGTGTGTTCGTCACTGTTGTAAACGAACTGCCAACACCGTTCCGTATAAGCTGTGAAGGTCTCAGCCGCACAGTGGTCAGATGAAGGAATGATGGAGTCGGTTTTATTCTCCACAAACTTGTTACAGGTGTCTGGCGTAAATTGGCCCTGATTATTCCATCGTCCGGGAACGGCTATCGACACCCATTCCGCACCATAGTCCGGTGCCTCTAGATTATCACAGGCGGGAACTATACAACGATATGTGGGTGCTCCCGCCGTAAACACGTATGATAGACTATTGGCCGCCGCGAACAGGACCGGCAGGCAGATGAGTAAATAATTTCGTCGCTGGAATCGCCCAAACTCGCCAATTTCGGTAAGGATGTCGTCAAAATCAAGAAGAGGTGACGATGCTGGTGATGTCGGAGTTGACATGATTATATGTATGTTTCTTTTGTGTTGTCTATCCAAACTTTTCCTATGACATCCTTAAGGTAATGTTAACAACTACAACGATTATAATATTGTATATCTTTAATATGAGTTTAATGTTATTCATGGGTTCTTTGTTTTTTATACTGCAGAGTTCTTGGGGTTGATTCCTTGGGATCAATACTTAATTGACTTGATTTTACAAGATGCGCCTCCCGGCATTTTAAAAAATGTTAGAGCATGTCAGCATGCAAACCAATCTTCTTCAATTGAGATAAATTGTTGCATGCCAATGTCTAAAAGCGCGAGTGTTGCAAATGGAACGGGTTTTGTTTAAATAAAGCTAACAATATTGTTAGCCTTAAGGGAAGTTTGCCTCTAGCTGAATTGTAAATGAAATGATTACTAAGTTGACCAAGGTCAAGGTTCAAATGGCATTTACAAAAAGTTTCAGTTGGTGGGAATTCGCACAGGTTGCCCAAATACGTTGACAGTGTCCAGATTAGCCTGCCCCCGTTATCTAATCGCGGCAATTTTTAACGATGCACTTAATGCTCTTACCACGACGCCGACTGAATTTTTTTAAATTTGCACTTAATTGTATAGCTTGTTTTCCAAACACTTGCCAGGTGTTGGGGTAATTGATGTTGACCAATCCCCTAATGTGGCGCCAAAAGCATCAGTTAACCGCGTGTGTTCGGTGTCCGGGTTAAGTATTTCGACCGGAAAGTGTCTCTTAGCAGCGTTCTATAACCGAGTCCCGCAACGTCTGGCGAAATACTGAAATAACTTGCAAGACATTGTGCAAACGTACACAGAGAGTGCTATCTTTCGTTCTCAATCTGAAATCAAAACTGCCGGCATTAAAATCAATATGAGAAATGAGAGCTAGCCGGAATAGAGAAAGTGAAAGTTGTTCCCCTCCGGATAACAATTGAGAAAATCTAATGAGAGCAGAGGAATCTCTTCCTTGGCGATCTTTATAAAAGTGATATCCATTATTTGTATCAATGCTATAATAATTTTTTTATTGTTCCAAACAAAATGCAGCGAGATTTATGTTTAAATCACTTCTTTAGCTTAATAAACTTTGATGCAAACTCATAAATTCCGACGGAGTTATTGTTTTTTTGGTCGTATTCCACCCAATCATCCTCAGATAGATCTACGTCCTCGAAGGTCTGCCCATTTTCAGAGCTGGAAACCCGCCAGCCGGCTCGAGGAGAGAACTCGACTGGTTCCACTCCTCGGCAATCAAAGATAACAATCGTCTTGAAAGATCCAGCATCATCCGCAGTGTAGGCCGCTGCCAAAAACGGAATTTGATCAAGCGTTGCATGGATTGAAGGGTAACACGCTTACCGTTGGTCTTTTCCACAATGTCAATGCTGTTTTCCCGGCTACACATCTTGCATTTCATATAAAAATTGAAGCCGGCTGCATTGCGCGTGTCCTGTTGCACCCGCTCCGCTTCTGTAATGTCGTGCCACTTGTCCGACTGCTCTCCGCAGTTGCTGCAAACTAGCTTCACGAAGAAGGGATAGTCCGGATGGCTTGTCTCAAGCCGGTCAACATTTTCCAGCGTAGCGGAAATCTGTAGGCCTACTCGCACCATTTCGGAAGATAAATTTGTAATTATATACAAAATCAGCTGTTTCTAGGTGTTGCCACTTCCCAATATTTCTCAGAAGTGGCAGCTTTGTATGTTTTATTATCCCAAAGTGGCAAGGCTGGTAAGAAAAGTCACAAATAAAGGAACAAATTAACAAAAAGGACACAGAGATGGATCTCAACATGAAACCCTCGCTTGCCGCCGACGAAATGTTCTCGGAGGGTCCCGGCTACATGGAAATGGATGAGGTAGGACTTTTTAACTCGAAAACGGCAAGCAATCTTTAGTTTTCCCGATTTGTCTATTGAATCTTTGTAGTCCGGAGGCGCCACTGGGATGATGGATCACCTACCAACCAATGACAAGCATGTTCACGCCGACTTCTACAATGATTTCGACGATCTCTTTGATGAGGACAACTGGGCCAAGACCAAGGCTGCCGGGGACAGCGTCCAGTAGTAACATGAAAGGGAAAATGCGACTGCCAAATGATAGATGATCAGAATGTAAAAACTTGGTGTAACTTTTGTTTAATTGCTATAATATATTAATTTGGTTCGTACAACTAACGTAAATTGCCGAGTGTAGAAGTGTGCAGGTGGATCTGAACTTTGGCGTAACGTAAAGTCAACAAAATGCGTAATTTTATACAGGAAAAAAAACTACTAACTAATTTATAATATCGAACATAACTGCAAGCTGGAATGGGAGAAAAGTAGTAGCGATAAATACAATTTACACAATTTGTAGGGGGATCTTAAATTTGTTGGACAAATTGTACGCGTTAAGGCCGCATTCGCTCGGGGCAGAGCTATCCATCCATGGGGGTGCCCAGGTACACCATGGATACTTCCGTGTTGCCGTAGACAGCAGATACTGTGGGATATAGTTTCTTGTCCGGCAGACCTGTTGCAGGAAAATAAATCATGAGAACAGGAAAATAAGAACCCGGCCGGATGCGACCGCCTTACCCCGAAAGGCCACGCCCAGAAACTCGTAGTTCTTCTCGAACGAGAGTGTGTTGTCATCACAGTCGAGTATGATGCGGATCCGCTCGCCCACCTGATACTTGGGCGCGTTGTTAAGCAATGGATAGCTGCCCTGCATGTCCCCATTGTGCAGCAAGTGGTTCTCCACTAGATTCCATCCCCAACTCTGATCGTCGGATCCTAATAGGGCAACATAGCCGTGGCACTGCAAAACCGCCTCCTTTGTGGATATGCCTATAACAGCAACAGTGCCTAGTGGTCCCTCCCAGATTACTTCCCAGGCATGGCGTCCATGTCGGAAGCCTATTTTACCGCGCGCCGCGTCTGTGCTCTGTGCCACAGGATTGCTGTTGAAAAAAAAGCAGATCCAGTGACTAAATAACTAATAAGAATTTGAGCTTCTCACCGATGCAGGGTGAATCCGTTGGGTTTTATGTATACATTGCGCGAACAGTCGTTGGGATTCCAGGCATGGAAGTAAGCCCGTAGCTTTGTTTTGTACGTGGATACTGAGGCCAGCAGGTCGGACTTGAGAGCCTCCTTGGGCAGTTTGTTAAGGCAGTGCCAGCGCCAGACATCGCTATTCTCGTCGTTAAGGAAATGGTACCAGCTCTTACACACCTGCGAGCAGTGGCTAAGGTCGTCCAGCTCAAGATAGGAGAATATCACCTCCAGGACGTTGTAGTTGCAGAGAGCTGCCACCGGATCGACCATAATGAGGCTGGTCCAACTCCTGCTCCGCTACAGGCACTGCGTGGGGGTGCTTGTTAAATTGCCAATCTAATTCCTCTCAACTGGTTGTTTGGGCCTTGCTTTGTCATTTTTCAACACCAAATTCCAGACGATTTGACAATGTTCACCTGGTTGGTGTAGCCAAGTTCCGGTCTCTGCCAAAATACCGACGTCCGGGCCAGTGGCAACTTTGTTTACGTTCGGTGCCAGTGCTGTAAAATATCGATAGAAATTGGTTCCTCCGATTGATGCGTAAATTGGCGCGCACTGTCTGCCATTTCATTCGCACCCGCACATAGCCTGCTTTGCCTTTCCCACATGAAAACTGAAAGCAGCGACTTGGTGGAAGTTTCGTGCCCTTCGCGTTGCGTTAAAAAGTCTGCAGAATCCGCCTTAAAATACGCCGATTGATAGATCCTAGTCCGGGGAGTCTTTTGCCACCGCATTTCCAAAAATCGAGCCACGCCAAGTCCGCGAAAAACGCCCTCGAAAAAGGCGATTTTTCGTCCGCCGCTGTGTGTGTGTGACCAGAAAAAATGCTCTTGTGCTGGAGGTGAACAAAATGCGCTCGCCATTTTGACTTGAATTACGGCCAAAAATAGACTCGAGATCCGTGTGAGGTGCATTCCGGATAGTGATACGGTTGAAAATAATCCTTTGGGCCGGGCCTTAACAGTGGATACTTCCTACGTCACTCCTGCTACCGCCCCCGCCCATCCGACTTCGATCCCGTATACACGTTGCGGCTACGTGCTTTCTGTCGGCAACGACTTCTTTTTGGCGGCCTTTGGTGGGGCTGCAGTCTTTCACCTGTCTACCTGGCTGCTCGCGGTATCAGCGGTATCAGCCTCTGTTGCCACTCCGAATATGGCGCACAACTCCGCCACGGCAAGCGGAACTGGGAAGACGGACGAGGTGAACTTCTTCTTCCGAGACGAGCACGGTAAGTGGTGGGACTAACCGCCCCCCTATTTCCGCCAGGACATGGGTTCACCTCATGTAACAAGCGGGTGTTCATTGGTGTGTACGAGCTAACCCATACACACGAAATCACCAACGCACATATGGAGGCGGGTGCGATACTACAAAGTTGCATGGGCAGCGTAACGCCATCTTTTCTTTTTCGGGTTTCTTTTGACTACAATATTTATCGTTTGATTCGCTTTGCGGGCTCGCGGGGAGGCGGGGGAGCCCGTGTCGGAAAATTAGCTAAAGAAATAATAAGAGCCGCAAACCCCTGCTAAATAACAACTAACATCGGTTTGGCCCCAAGGTCCCCTCCCACCCCGTTTCAGCCCACCCTGACTCCCCCTTCCAATCGCCCATCGCCCAGTTGGCGCGCGGGCTCACCTACACACACTTGCGCACAATTACACACAGACCCGCATACACATGTACCTTTATCGGGGAGCCAACAGCTGATGGGCAGCCGCTGCATTCGGCATGGGGCTTTGCCTGTAGCATGATGGCGAAGGGGAGGGGAGGGGGTTATTGAGCCGGGGTCTGGCAAGCGGTGGATTCAGATTGAGTTGGACCAGCGGAGCCATAAATTCCGGCCGAACTATTGGAACTGCGTGACACTTTGCAATGTGTCACCGAGTGGAGCGCGCGACACTGAGAGAAAAGGCCGGAGCAAGAACAACTATGCCACACATACACTTGTCGGCCGGAGAGCGAAGCCGAACGAACAGTCATAGCAGCAGGCGTGTATCTTGTACACGTGTGTGTTTGTTCTGCTCCAGGTTATCGCGTTTATGCGGCCCTCGGTGGCCAACAGAGCCGGACTTCTTAGCTTCAACCTTCTATGGGAGTAACAAGATTAGAGAATTAAACCAAGAGTATGTTTCAGGTTAATCCAAAGTAATTATTACCCAAATAGAGTTTAAGAGATGAAATGAAAATATCTGTTAAACTTTTTGATTTAATCGAGAAAACCCCTCCAAGTACTAGTTATAAAGATTCTAGTTATAAAACTCGTAACTCATCGACAGGTGTGTGTGCGCAAGTGTGAGATACAACCTGGCATCTATTCTAGTGTTTGGCCATTTTTGTCTCTTCGTCTTCCTGCCCATTGTTATGATTATGCAAATATCATGCGGGGGGACAGGTGAATGATTATCATAAAACGTATGAAACCGATGTAAAACTTGATCGGCTAAAAAGCCGGTTACAATGGCAGTCCCAGTCCAAACTTTTGGGGTAACCCTAAGAATTTATGTAAATATTCAAAAAGATGGTTTGGCATTTGAACTTAATACTTAAGATTTAAGGTTGAGAGTTCTTAAAAAGTAAGGAAATTACAAAGATTAAATAATTAATTTTTAAGTAAAACTAACTTAAAATTTGTATCAATTCCTATAATATATTCCTGTTCGACTGAATGGTACAAACATATTGATTGATCGATAGATATTTTGTTATTTTAAACAATTCTTTAAATTATATACCAAAAATCCGTGACGAATCACGGTGGAAGCCAAAGTATCGCCTCCTCACTAGTTGCAGAAGTTCGGTCACGTGTAGCTCATCTCTAAGGCCAGGCGATCTGGTTTCGGGTTGTTTCTGTTTCTGGTTCTGCATCTTTATCCTTGTCGCACCAACCCGTGTACACAAACACACAACACACGCACACACACTCATATAATATATATCCCTGCTGTGTGTGAGTATGTATGCACCCCTAGAGTTTAATCTGAAAGATACTCTGCCGTTTGCTTTTGATATTTTCTGTTTTAGTTGCATTCGCCTTCCAGTTGCGCGCTCTGCGCTTCGTTCGTTTCATTCGCTTCACTTTGCCTCATTCGCCGCGCGTCGAGCAGAACGCACCGCACCGTTGATAGTACTCTGCCTGTGTATCTGTGAAGTACATGCCTTTATGCGTTATCAAAGACTCCATTGAGCCTCATTTTATGTACATATAACCAAAATCTAACCATTACCATTCGTATTCGTATTCCTGCAGGACAAATTGCAAAGATGTTGAAACCGGCGCACATTAAAGCCGAACTTGAGGGCGGCAAAGTGCTCTATGCCACTAGTTCTACGGCACGTAACAGCGGAAGCGGCATCGGCAACGTGGGCCGCATGGGCGCCTTCAGCCAGATGGTAAGACCCATATACATTACACAATTTGTAAATCCAGCGTTTAATTGAACAAAATTCCTCCAGGGTTCCTCCAGCAAGCAAGGGCAGTTTATTCGGATCCAGGACAACGGCCAGTCCATTCCAAAAACAGAAAGTAAGTGGTAGCATTCCGGGCGCCTTTTAAAATAACTCGTTCAACTTTCCACAGATACCTCGTACACAACAGTGTCGTCGCAAAAGAGCGGGGGCAGCGGGGGAAATGGCATGTACGATGGGGTAAGTTGGCAGAGCCATCTCCAGTCCAGTTCAAAAGACTTAACAATTCTTATTAAAGGGCGATCGCTACGTGAAGTACACGCCAAACAATCCCATGAAGATCAAGTCAAAACTGTAAGATGCCATGAAACAAACGCCTATAAGAATTTTGTTAATTTTCTGAATCTTTCCTGGTAGCCACGACATTCAAAGCAACTCCTTGCACTCCCTATCCGGCTCCTCGTCGTCCGTGCAAAGGAAACGAAAACCCGATAAGGCTGGCAAAGGACTCAGACACTTCTCCATGAAGGTCTGCGAAAAAGTGGAGGAGAAGGGCAAGACCACGTACAATGAGGTGGCCGACGACTTAGTCAGCGAAGAAATGAAGAACAATGCGTACGACAACAACTGTGATCAAAAGAACATCCGACGTCGTGTCTACGATGCACTCAACGTGCTGATGGCAATCAATGTTATCTCCAAGGACAAGAAGGAAATTCGCTGGATAGGTTTACCCGCTAACTCAGCAGAGGTATGATCACTAATAACCCATTATCTATAGACTTTACTTATTGTATTTTTGTATGCTCATGAGCAGCAATTCTTGGCCCTGGAGGAGGAGAACATGTTGCGCCGCGAGCGCATCAAACAAAAGCACGAGATGCTGCGCGAGCTGATAATGCAGAACGTGGCTTTCAAAGGGCTGATCGAGCGGAATAAGCGAAACGAGAGCCAAGGCATGGTGCCATCTCCAAATTCCTCCATCCAGCTGCCCTTTATTATCGTAAACACGCACAAGTCTACCAAAATCAACTGTAGTGTCACCAATGACAAGTGAGTCCTTAAACATTGTGCAACTACCTTTCAGTTTTCTAACCACTGGATGTTTCTATAATCTTTGCAGGTCCGAATACATATTCAAGTTCGATAAGGCTTTCGAAATGCACGACGACATTGAGGTCCTCAAGCGAATGGGCTTGTTGCAGGGTGCGTACTGACTTCTAAAAGTATTTATAGACTAGCTTCCTAACCACTTCAAAATTGCAGGCCTAGACAAGGGAGAGTGCACGCCGGAGAATATTGAACGTGTCAAATCGTATGTGCCGCCAAATCTCGCCAAATACGTGGAAGGTAAGAAAACAATGCATACTATTATTATGTACATTTTGGGTAACACTCTATTTCGTAGCCTACGGTACGGGAAAAACTGGCGATACCATGTACGAGTCTGACGATGAGGGCCATGATTTCAATGGGTACCTGGAGTCGGCCAACGAGTCTCAGAGCTTCACCCAGCACTCGAGCCAACATACAAACGATGGCGAGTACAAGCTGGAGCTGGATGATGACGAGTTGGAGGACGACATCGATTGAGTTGACGTCGCCGCCGGCGTTGTGCCAGTGATGGCCAATGCAAAAGCGGATGCGGATGGAGATGCAAATGCTGTAGCTGAAGCTGATGCGGAGGATACATTTAGTTTTACGTTTATCAACGCTTTGCTAGGTTTGCCACGCCCCCCCGGTTAGATCATCCCCCACTCCAATCCTCACCCCTCCGACCCACCCACACAGTTGGTTTTGTTCATTTCTCGATGAGACTCTATTAAACTATACGGATTCTCGCTATACGGCGAGAATTATGAATCGGTAGTTTCATGTATGTACGTGTAGTTGGCGTACACAGATTGTACTTGTAACTTTGAAGATTTATGTTTAAGCTCAAACGTTTTTAAATTAATTTGTCTAGTTAAGCAGAAACCGTATTTTAGTGCAAATCACAACACATTTAACAGTTCAGCAATACCACCCGATAAAGGTCCCCAGCCCCGCCCCAGCAATTGTTTATTATTAGATGTTATGAGTCTCCTTTCCCACTGGCCTCTCCATTATTTGGCTGGGCAATAAGTAAGCGCGATTATGTTGTGGGTAAATGTCTCTTAAAATATAATATATATACCAAAATTGTACACATAACAACGGTGAAATGCGATTATTTTTAGAACGCCCACTGTGCAGCTTCCACTGCTGCCGCTGACAAGGACGAACATATGAAATATGTTTCATTTGCTTAGACCACCACCCCCCTTGACAAGAAGACATGTTTTGAATTTCTCCAGAAACAAACAAAAAAAAAACAAAAATATATAAAGATACAGACTTAAGTTGACAATGAAGTGCAGATATTTACAAATAATTAACCTACCTAATTAGCAATAACAACTAAAACAAGAAAAGGAAACAAACTTTCAGAATTTGTATTTATATTATCGAACCTTCTTAACAGAAAAACAAAAACATACAAATTAGTAGAGTCAAGTAGAAGGCGTTAACGATTAAGTGTCGAGCAAGTAGTTGTGTAATAAATCGAATTAATTGGAATGAAGCAAAGGATCTAACATACAAAATAGTTACAGACGAAAACGAACCGAGTGACAAGTTAATAAAATGAATTGCGTATTGTAAAATATGGTACATCAAGAATCGCAGTTTCTTTTCAATTAATCAACCTGAGCAGCAACCTTTATCCTCAAAAAGGCAACCAGACTTATTCCCCCATTAACAACATGTGGCTTATGTTTTACTTAAGTTCATTGGGATCGCTGAATCAACTTAATCAGTAACTAAATGGAAATGTACATAAAGGAGGAATCTAACTTAAAATACAAGCATCTAAAAAATACATACATCTGAACCAAACGTAACTAAACTTAAAACTATGCTCCCTGGAAACCAATCGAATTAGGCAAAGCCCTCCTCTTTGACGGCTTCTGCTGTAGAGGGTGGTCCTAAGGGCTCCTGTTGCTGGGCGGCCAAATTAAATTCATAGTTCATTTGGTGATCATTTGGTGGAGCAGGGAAGGCACCCGAGGATAAGTCCATCAACTCAGGCTGCGGCTGGGCTGGCTTTGCCTGAACCTGGAGCTCCTGCCGCATTTGCTGAGGAGACTTTACATAGGTAATTGGAATAAGGCCCGAGGTTTGTCCATTTGAGGTGGCCAGAGCCCAGCCAGTGTTGAGCAGGTTGAGTGTCTGTTGGATCTCACGTGGAGCCACTTGAAGCGTCTGGCCAGCGCGCAACGCGAGCTCGTTTTGGGAGCGAGGCAAAAAGTCGTAAATAGCCTGAGTCTTAATGGGAGCGACCCACTTGGCTGGATTACGGGCTGCGGGAGGCGAACGAGAGTAACGTTAGCTTATCTATTAATTCGCAAGCGGTTATCGGCCAGATTACAATACAGGGCCGGAGCAAAGTGCTGTTGATTAGATAAACTGGTGTGCAATGTGCACATACGTACCTTCCTCCTGGGCGGTATTTGTCACTGTTCCCAGAAGCTTCATGATCAAATATGGAGCGGTGAATATGAAGCTAAGGAAGGCCAGCACAGGCCAGGGAGAGGTTCCTTTTCGGGGTACCTTGGGCGCTCCTCCGGGCTGGGAGTTGTTTTCGTTTAGCGCCTCGGCAAAAGCTTTTTTAAAGGCCTCCGAAGAGGGGTCCAGGTTGGAGATTCTAAGCCAGTATAGAATCCTAAAAGGGGGTTGGGATTTTTATTAAAGGTCTTTAATAGCGCCTTCAGTTTACTCACTTTCTGTAAATCCAGTTCAGGCCTCGGAAAATAGCAAAAGTAGTCCAGAACTGGGCGAACACACTTCGCAGTCGTCCGAAGTTTGCTGCTACGCCGAGGATCGCACGGAACGAGCTGGTCAGGGCAAAGAATGTAGAGTCTAGCATCGAGGCAATATTGCCTATTGCCGACACCAGGGATTCTATGCTCTGAAAGGCCGGTCGTGAGCTAGCTTCCGCCATCTGTATAAAGCGCTGCTCCGGATCGTTGGCACCTAGGGCTCCATAACGGCTGTATCCGCCGCCATAACCGCCTCCATAGCCACCGCCGTAACCGTACCCGCTACCAAAGCCTCCCATGCCACCGTATCCGAATGCACCGCTGTTGTAGCCACCGAAACCTCCCAAGCCGTAGCTGTTACCTCCATATCCTCCTCCGTATCCAAACTGGGACTGTAGGAATGGCGATTGAGGGAGGGGCGGGGGCTGCGCAGGTTCAGGCAGCGCCCTCACATTTCCATAAGGCGTCCGTAAAACGGCTTCTGGCGGCGGTGCACCTCCTGACAGGCCTGCGCCAGCGATGGACGTTGGAGGCAGCAGGGGCGTATCACTGATCACGGCACTACGCAGATTGTTGTTGTCGACCATGGCAACGGATTCCTACTGACTCCGGATAAGACAAAGTTCCCTGAACTTTGCCCCACTGTATTGGTTTGCTTTGTATCTTTATCTGGGAAATGCTGCTGAGAGCAGCGGAGCCGAGTGGAGCTGAGGTGGTTTCTTACTACTGCTTCCAAATCAGTGTCCGGAACTCTGCGAAAGCTAATTTCTGCCCAAAATTTTTAGTAATTAAAGCAGGGATCGGCACCCCAATACATTGATATGATTTTACCGCATTAGTGTTAGTAACGAATAGCAGAAAGTAGGCTGTGTGCATGACGTTTCACACATTTATACTGTGTGTGTGTGGCAGAGCTCGGGCAGAGAAATTTCCTATGCCCCCGAGATAGGGCCGTGCCGACCTCTGAATTAAAGCCTAGTACTGAGTTGACGAAAATCCGCTGTCCAACGAGTGACAGCTGTCAAACTCCATATAAAAAAAACGGTGGAAAAAAGGAAAGAAGAAGAAATTTTTGCCTTCTAGATTTTGCGGGTACTGAGTTGACGAAAATTTTTGTTATCGATGTTTATCGTGTTGCCGGATCAAAAAAAATAAACAGCTGCTCTCGGGGAGGTAAAATAAATAGTTCAAATTATTTGTATAGGAGCGACATGGAGGGTCAATTGACCAAACAAAAAAATAGTCGGCCCGAAACATTTTCGACGCGCCAGGACAAATTAAAATGAATTTCTGCGGTCATGACGAAGCCCATAATATGAGATTTGACCCACAAGGGGCATTTTTTTTTTTTTTGTATTAAGTTACTTCCATCCAGGAAATTGGGGAAGATTTATTTGGCCGTCCTGAAGGGGCATTTTAATGCCATAAAATGGCATTGAAATGATTTGTGATTGATTTGGATTTTGATTTTGACCCAGTTTTCTATTTCTTAATCAGCTCCTTAGCGGCGAAATACATAAACAAAACACTAACATCCAATCGTTTTGAATTCATTTTTGCTTATTTGTTTTTTGTTTACAAACAACAGCTGTTCAGTATTACCTTATTTCTTCATTGTTTTGGTCACACTACCTCGCCAGCCGAATAAAGTGCAATTTCGCAAGCGGAATTTCAAGAGCGGATTTTCGTCAACTCAGTACTAGGCTTAAAGATAGGGCCGGAGAAAACCCAAAAACCGCAGCTCCGCCGTCGAGGAAAAGTGGAACTATCTACGAATCTGGTCACACTTAAAAATACTCCAAGTGGCCCGTTCGAGAGTTGCCAGATCTCGCAACCTGTCTATGTTTTGTTAATTGTTGATAAAAGGAAACCCCGAGGCTGTTTCGAGGAGCAGGCATCATGGCCAGCAGCAAGGAGTTGTGCTCCATCCGGGAGTGGGCACCTCTGACGGAGCTGATCGACCGCATTCCAGCAAGACTGCAGCGGGGGTTCTTTCCGGCGAATCTCAACCTGACCTGTGTGGACGCCTCCGAGGACTTCCTGGCAGTGGGCAGTGACGCGGGCATTGTTTTCTGGCACAATCGCCGTACGGGCGAGATGCAAAAGCTAAAGGCAGAGGTAGGCCGGTGACTCACAGCGTCGTGTGTATTTGCGTGTGGAAATCCCATTATGTGATGCGTGTGCTTCCCCTAACCACTACTGTTTGTAGGTTGCTACCCGAATAACGTGCGTGCGGATCGTGAACTCGGTGGAGTTTATGGTGGCAGCTGGGTGCGCCAATGGCCAGGTCAGCGTATTCCAAATACAGAAGGAGCTACCGCGGGACCTCGACCTGGTGGCCCCCTGCACTCGGAATCGTCCCATCGAACGCTACACCATCAGGGACTTGCACAAGTGCGTGGTCAGCTGCTGCGAATGGTCAAAAAATGGAATGAAGCTCTACTCCGGTGATCGCCAAGGTGTAGTGGTGCTCACGGAATTCGATTACCAGGCGGTATGTAATTCCAATGTATTTAAAAAATATTCCTAATGGTCCCAATTTTACAGCATCTTAGCAAGTCCGTGGAGATTCTCAGTGAGGCGTACGAGATCGTGCAACTCAGTATCCATCAACGACATCTACTTGTGTGCACCCTTTACCGGTGCATCGTCTGCCATCAAGATCCGTCCACGGCTCAGTGGAGCATAACTCAGGTGGGCAAGAAGGACCGCAAGCAGCTTATCGATTGTGGCGGCATATTTCTCCAGAAACCTGGGAACAACGGGCCCCAGCTCATTTGTGGTCGTCCAGGGCTCCGTTTTTGGGTTGCAGACCCGTCTGGTAACGTATCCAAAACCATACTGTTCCGGGACGCTGTAATGCGGAGTCCCTCGTGGGAGATACCAATCCTCAATCCGAAGCACCGCAGTGATTCATCAAGCAGCCATCATCCGCCAGCAGCTGCGGCTTTCGGTCCACTGGGACCATCTGGCACCGGGGACACCGCCATGGGTTATGTGGCTAGTAGCAACTTTCGGCAACTTTACTTGTACAACAGCCACGACTCGCTGCTAGTAACACACGATGATTCCACCCTATATCTTTTGAACCTGGATCGTCTTAAGGTCGAGGCCGTAGCACGTGGATTCCGAAAGATTCTCGACTTTTGCGTCTGTGGTAAGGAGATTTTTGTACTGGAGGGGGAACGCTCTCTTCTACGCTTGGCTCCACTTCCCGAGCCGCCTTGCAAGACCACGAAGGTTATTTTCAATCCTCTCATGCCGCCTCCCATTCCTGTTTTGGGAGCATCTCACTTTTCGCAGCTGGAGTCACCGCCTGAGGTGGAAGCGGAAGTCGCTCTTCAAAAAGCTGAGGAATGCTTCGAGCTACCAGCTGAAGAGCAGCTGGACCTCAATGTTCCTATTGAGCTGGCAGTGGAATCACCACTGGCCCAGCAAAATCGTCGTCTGGAAATATTCCGTCGCATTGGAGAGATGGAGTTTGATCCGTCCATCGTCCACTCCAGCAGAAAAACATCCGTCGTTAATCCGCCGGTGAACACTAGTTTGGGTATCGTAGAAATCGGTCATGAGACAAAAGAGCTTCGATTACCTCTAACTAATGCAGCCACATTAATGGATGCCAGCTACTGTCAGCTGGAAAAGTAAGCAGAATTTGTTCTGTGAGATTAAAAATATTACAATACTTTCTCATTAAAGCAATGGACTTGCCTCGCCGTTGGACATGAAGGCTGCTCTTCTACAGCATCTGCCAGAAGTCCTCAGCCCAACCGTATTGGAGGAGTCCACTGAATCCAAGACTAAACCGCTGCCCGAAGAACTGCATCTGCCAGACGTACAACTGATGGAACCTACCAAAGATCAGATGCGGTCTCCTGAAACTCCAAAGCTCAGTGAGTCACTGATCAAATGTTATCCCACGCAACTGGACGAGGCCTGTGTACAGAACGTCGTCGAAGATAGCATCGTTGATCGCGGTGAGGATTATTACGCTGGCCAGCCCGTAGATGGTATACAAGCCTTGGCACCATCAAAGCCCAAGGTGGCACCTTTAAAATTCGTAAAGACTCAACCCAAACCGGCGTTGGCTGTGGAGGATGGCGAGGACGGAGAGTACTCCAGTTTCCTTCCCGATTTTCGGCGGGCAGGAGATCCGCTGCGAAAAGAAGCACCAGCCACAAGCGACTCCAACACATCTAGCGAGTGGGAGTTTCTGGACAACTAGTTCAGTATTATCCATAAGTGCACACAATTAGTTGCCTATTATTTTATTATTTTGTGCACTTGATGTTTCCATTTAGTTGCATTATTGAAAAAAAGTGTTGTGTTTATCAAATTGTGATCACCATTATTTATACATTTTTCTATACGATTGTAAATAATTTAAGACATAAGCTTAAAGGTTTTTGCCAACTTAATCATCTCACCATGTATTAGAAACCCAAATAGTTTAGCATTGGAAAAGACACCTGTGAAATTATATAAATTATGATCTATCAGTATACCCTAAGTTGCCTAAGATATTCAAATGCTTTAAGTATATGCCACATAAGTTCAAGGTCGCTTTGCATACACAAAATATATTTATTTTATACAAATGCAACTGTCTTGGTTTAAGTAAAGGAGGAATCCCCTCCGCAGGAAATGGGTTTCGACTGATACGGAGTACTTTTTTGTTCTGGAACTACATAGTTGTCGGAATTAAGCTGGAGATAAGGTGGCATGTGAGGGAAACGAGACGCCCACTGCAGCATGTGCCTGATCTTGTGATGCCGCCCGCCCAGGGCAACTGCTTCAGCTGAAGCCCTGATCCAATGTAAAGCTTTTTAATGGAAATTTCCCGATCTTCGTCTATTATGCAACCAAGTCGGACTTCAAGTATCTGGAAAGGAGATACTGTTCCATTGATTGATCAACAAATAGAAATTCGAGCTGGCTTCTGAACTAATTGAATGCAGTGGAAAGTTTTCCCTATTAGAGTCCAGTTCTAGCTAAGCTTCAGATAAATTATGATTTGATAGATAGCCTGCCCTTCAAAGAGAAGTATTTATATTCCTTTTCCGATTCTCTTAAAATATAGAATTTAAAATCCCAATAATTACATTGGAAGCCACCTGTAGAGAGATCTCTGGGGGCATAAATTAAGAGAGCGAGCTGGACTTCGTGGTGCTGATTGAAGAATCCCACGCACGCCGGAAAATTTCCGATATCGTTCGGTTCTCTCAAGTGCGCAGCAGAGAACTCGGGACAGAGCTCCAACGGGAGCAGCCGGGAAGTATATAAAAGCGGTGCGATTCCCACTCGGGCAAGTCATTCGCCGCGGAAATTTGCTTCGACCACATCGTCGTGTTCCATCCAGAATTCGCAGAGGTTGGAAAAAAATAAGGCACGAAACAAAAAACAGCCCCAAAACGCGCTAATTGATAAACAAAAAAGTTCCAACATCAAGGAGGGGAGCTACGAAAAACAAACGGAAATCCTACACACCCTAGCCAGAATGAAGCCCACCAAGAACTCAACTTTGGAGGTTGTCTCCCCGAAGGTTCAGGTCAATGATGACTTCATTGAGACGGACTACGAGTACCAGACCTCCCATGTGAAGCGCACTGCATCCGGGCAACTGCAGGTGAGAAGTTGAAAGTGAAAGCTTTTCGTTCAGTGTAGAAATTTAGGGTAGAAGAGAGAATATTCCGCTTACTACCCCACTGACCTTCACATTGAACTTTTCTTTACTCTTGGGGGGGGTATTACACTTAGCTTTCTAGAAGAGGAAATTAAGAAAACTATTTAAATAACTATTAAAAATCTATAACTCTTTGTGTAAGATAGGGGAAAATTTCCATTTACTAGCCGAGGAAACATCTGTTCCAAGTAGGGAATCCAATCCAATATGCCGCCGCTCCCCAATTCGCTGCAGATAAAAATAGCGATAAGCGTGTTCGGAGGTGGGGGTGGGTGGGTTCCATTACACCCTACACTAGAACCTACGGTTACATGGACCTGTGGACGGTGGACTGTTACAGTTACAGTTTATTGATTACCCGCACAGTTCCGCCTAAACAGCTGATGATAAACGGCGCTCATATCGCACCATCCTGGGGTGTGGGTGGCGTGACTCTGCGCGCAGGCGCCGTTTTTGGTCAGCGGGTGCTATTGAATTTCAGTTAAGCAAATAAAATGGCAAAGTAAACCCATATTGAATCCCGATTACCCAGTCCCAACTGAATGCGGTTGCAGTACGTGGTCAATGTTCCACTCCCGTCCTCCCACCCAGCTACCCCAGCCACCCAGCCATGCAGTGCACTTATCCCTCCATCTCAGCCAGTAACCCACCCACGCTGCCTGCCTGCCTGCTGCCTGCTGCCTGGTTCAAGGTCAATGTCAGGCGATAAAACCAAAGAGAGCTGGCTCCCTTCATTGGGGAAAATCTTTTTCTCTTAGCTTTCGAAAAGAGCCACTCTGTCATACATAATAATTGGAATGATAATTTTGCCGGCCGGCAAACTTGCCTTCTTGTTTTTGTCCAACTTCTGGATGGACTTTGCACCCAGCAGGTTGTCGAATTGCTAATGCAATCATCAGTTTTTTATTTCTGATACAAATCAAAGAGCACATTGACTCGCCACAAATCGGACAAAGAATTTTAAAAATAAAAATTTCAAGATTTTGGGGGGGCTTTCGACTTAAAGATACCTCTGAGATATGGACTCTAGGGCCTTTTAAGTAGGAAGTCTAACGAATCGAGGAAGTTTAAAATGTATATATTAAGATATATTATAGATTCTATATTTTGTTCTTAGGTAATACCAAAGTTTTCGGATTAGAAATGTTGAATTGGGCATTCGTCAGACTTTATTGAAGTCGATGGTTCATTTCTATTCCAGACAGTTTAGATATTTCTTCGAAAACACCTGACTCTTAAAAGCCATCACCCTATCAACCACCTGTTGCCAAGAGCCACCCAATCACCTATACGCCTTTTATTCCTACCCTCAATGGGTATCAAAATCTGGTTCGCAGAAATCACGCGATCATAATTTATGCTGCTACCTGACCGGGGTGGTACGATATGAAATGGCCATCTGTGCGATAAGAGGGACGGGCCGGACCTATAATAAGAACAAATGGGTTGAGCTACTGGCTAATCAAACCTAATCAATGGCTAATTTTTGCAGGTGCACCCCCAGACTACGGCGCTGAAGATACGGACGGCTCGTCACGTTCCCAAGTTGGGAGTTATGCTGGTGGGTTGGGGCGGCAACAATGGATCCACCTTGACCGCCGCCCTGGAGGCCAACCGGCGCCAGCTTAAGTGGCGCAAGAGGACTGGAGTCCAGCAGGCTAACTGGTTTGGATCCATTACTCAGGCCTCCACAGTCTTTGTCGGATCGGACGAGGTTGGCGGCGATGTTTACGTGCCCATGAAGGAGCTGCTGCCCATGGTGGAGCCCGACAACATTGTGGTAGATGGCTGGGACATCAGCCGGCTGCATCTGGGCGACGCCATGCGCAGGGCCGAGGTCCTGGACGTGGCTCTGCAGGACCAGATATACGAACAGCTCTCCCAGCTCCGGCCGCGTCCGTCCATCTATGATCCGGACTTTATTGCAGCCAACCAGTCCGAGCGGGCCGACAATGTCATCCGTGGCACTCGCCAGGAGCAGTACGAGCAGATTCGCCGCGACATTCGCGACTTTAAGCAACGTAGTGGTGTTGAGTCCATTATTGTCCTGTGGACCGCCAACACAGAGCGCTTCTGCGAAGTCCAGGAGGGACTGAACACCACCAGCAAGGAGCTGTTCGCTTCCCTGGCGGCCAACAACTCGGAGGTGTCCCCGTCGACCATCTTCGCCATGGCCAGCATTGCTGAGGGGGTGAGTTACTACTACATATCTTAGATTTCATTGTTGATTGTATATCCTTTTTTCTCAGTGCACCTACATCAATGGTTCGCCTCAGAACACCTTTGTACCCGGACTCATCCAGTTGGCCGAAGAGAAAAAGGTTTTCATTGCCGGGGATGACTTCAAGTCGGGTCAGACGAAGATCAAGAGTGTCCTGGTGGACTTTTTGGTGGGTGCTGGCATCAAACCAGTGTCCATCGCTAGCTACAACCACCTGGGCAACAACGACGGCAAGAATCTATCTGCTCCCCAGCAGTTCCGCTCCAAGGAGGTAAGTAATCGGAAAGCCTCTAAGTATTAGACCCTGATCCATGCCTTTTGGTGCAGATCTCCAAGAGCAATGTGGTGGACGACATGGTGGCGTCTAACAAGATCTTATACGGCGCTGATGAGCATCCGGATCATGTGGTGGTCATCAAGTACGTGCCCTATGTTGGCGATAGCAAACGGGCCATGGACGAGTACACCTCGGAGATCATGATGGGTGGACACAACACCCTGGTTATTCACAATACGTGCGAGGACTCGCTTTTGGCCACGCCCCTGATCTTGGACCTGGTTATCCTGGGAGAACTGAGTGCCCGCATCCAGCTACGCAACGCGGAGAACGAGTCCGCCCCCTGGGTTCCCTTCAAGCCCGTTCTCTCCCTGCTGAGCTACCTGTGCAAGGCCCCACTGGTTCCCCAGGGCTCTCAGGTTGTGAACTCGCTGTTCCGCCAGCGGGCCGCCATCGAGAACATCCTTCGTGGCTGCATCGGTCTCCCGCCCATCTCCCACATGACCCTCGAGCAAAGGGTAAGCAAGATCAGCAGTGAATGTTTGATTTCAGTTTAATTATTTTTTATTTTTATTATAGTTCGATTTCGCTACTATTGCGAATGAGCCACCAGTGAAAAAGGCCAAGCTTTTGGGCCAATCTTGTGGCATTGAATCCTCCTCTAACGGCAAGAAACTTCAGGCCAATGGTCACAGCAATGGAACCACCAAGCTGGCTGCCAATGGGAAAGGTCACTGATTCGTGTCCGGGCATATGTTATTGAAAAATATATGATTTAATTGGATAAATTACAAACTAGACTTAAGATAATAATATTGAATAAATATTTTGATTGCAAAAAGCTTAAATATATTACTTCTTATTTTAATATTCGGTTTATTAAGTTGAACTTAAGGGGGTATTATCTTTTAATTATTTATTTAACCTCTGGTATAAAGTATCTGCAACCTTAAACCATATAGATAGGAATAGATAATAGCTATAGCTACAAGCTAGTTTTTACTTAAGATTTGTGCTTTTTCTTTAAAAATATTTCTAAACTCTGAAGATGTAGCTGATTTTATAATATGTATGAAATAGGAAGATACTAAGAAAATTAAATTGAAAGTTTAGAAAACTTGAAAAAAAGAAAGAAAATATGAACTTCCGGTAGACCACAAAAATATTTTGAATTTATGTTGAAATATACAAAAAATCATAGCATACTTTTTGGCATCAGAAATTTCAGACTATTCTCTACATGACAGAACAGAGTAATTTTTTGTTATTTTAACTATTTTATTCATTGCTTTTATTTATTGGATTATTTTTTATTGAATAAGACATTTATCGACATTTTTGTTGTAAAACATCGTTACTACTAGTTGTTCTACTATACTAGTAGTCGTTACCTTAGGGAAAACCTTAGGTAACGACTAAAAAAAAAAAAGTAGAAAACCTTAGGGAAACAAAAAGGAAGTGTTTTCCAGGATCCTAAAATAGAAATGTTTTATAAGGCCCACACTGTTATAAGTAGAGATATATATCCGATATGTATACACTGTAATCACTATCTCACAGTCAAGTAAACCTCATAAAGATCTTATCGTAGCCGATAAACTAACACCCCTCCAATGCTACAGAACGTTAGTATCTACAAAAGTAATATTTAGGAACCTAATCATGATTATTGGTTTTGGGCAATCGCTTTTTTTTATGATTTTCATACATAGGTTGATATACTGGGTATTTATAGAAAATCGGTCTTCTGATTTATGGTGCCTTTAAACTTCAAATGATTGAAGAGTGCCTCTCTGAACATTTCCCATTTGAAGGTATTTCAACTATGATGGGGTTTATTTCGTATTGCTCCACCGCTTGATGGTTATTGATGTCTTTGACACATTGGTGGGTAATTAGTTCCTGTTCAGTCAACATGTAGCCCTGGCCAATCAAGTTGACTCCCTTGGAGGCTAACCGATAGGATCCACCGACTATTGATACAAATATAATTAAATTTTTTTCCAGCGAACCACTTCCCCATCCCTGTGGCCTGACGGGCTTGGCCCTAGACAGGTTCCATGCCTCCAGACCCCAGACTATAGACCCACCCACAGGTGGGACTCGGGTCTCTGGCTCGGAAGTGTGAAAGTGTGCCACACAAATGCCTCATAAATTTGAAACACTGGTATTTTCGATCAACAGGAATTTTCTGGGCGTGTTCAACAAATGTGTCCAGGCTGTAATTAATGGCATTTCTCTCAGTGCAGTTGGTAAAGTTCATTTATGACGGAACTGGGTTGTGGCTTTGGGTATCCAAAGGCAGGCTGATGCCTTATAACTGCTCCATTAGGGCTTGAACTCGTAACATTAAATGTGGTTTAGTTGAACTTCCAGTTGGGTTTAAGCCACAACCACTTAATAGACACATTTGACCGAGTTAACACCCAATAGATAGACTAAAACATGTAATTTGTATAACCATAGGCTCAAATCTTAACTATTAAAGAGCTGTCTTATCTATGAGTAATCCTTGGTCTAAGCTGTTTAATTGAGTTCTTTATTATATTCGTATTATATATTCTTTATTATATGAATCATTTCCAAACAACTCCGATCGTATCCCTCCACGATGGTGACTCATCTAACCCGAGTCCTGATAACGAGAGTCTAACACGGCCAGTACAGAACCATGTATCGTTATCGAGATCTACGTCAGGATTGTTTGGTAGAATTAGAACACTCTGTGATAACGGTATTCATAATGTCTTGCAAATCGGGCGATAAGAGTTCGGTTCGGAATGTGCCGGCTGCAGAAAGCCGGCCCGGTAAGCATGAACCGACACTCTCCCAAAAGATACTAAAAACTATATGGGCATGGGATATATACATATATATATTATTTCGACCGGGAGAGCTTATCTTATCGCTTATCTTGTGGCAGGAGCTGGAAGCTAGTAACTAACAACTAGCCGCTCGCAGCTCTGCCTCGGCCAGCGCCGCCGTCGACGCTGCTGCTCGCGGGTGTGGATGTGCTGGGTGGGTGGGCGATGGTTCAGTTCAAAGTTGCGTTGCATTGCGTGCGGTCTGAGGCTCCGCTGCCCACTCGGAACTCGGTCTAGGCCAGATTTGTTTGAATAAAAGCCCGGTGCGTCTGCGATTAATAAGTAATCCCCCAAAGGTGACTTGATTATGCAAATTGCTGGAAGAGGATACCATCCTTCTAGAAAGTCGTTCCACAGTGAAATAACTATCCAAGCCCCTTACAGAAAAAGAACCTGTCTTTGGTCTTAAGTTAATATAATATATGGAAGTGTACTAGTGTATACTATCTTTGTAGGCAATTATTCAATATTTTGTCAACAGCGGTTGATAAGATACCGGCTAGTAATATTCGACACGCCTTGACCAGGCATGTCAGCATCTAGGGCACTGCTAACCCGGATAGATAATAAACGGATAGTTGTAACCTTTTTCCGAACAAAACCCATTAACCGAGTGTGTAAACACAAGTGGATTTGATGGCTTCGTTTGATGGAACCGTCGCATATATGGAAATCTATGTAGGAACAGCCAGTCCAGGAGGGGGAAGTACATATGACAACTAGGCAGATAATGCCCAGCCTATCCGATTGTCAGATAGGGAAACCAACTATTAATCAATGTGACGCAGTGCGTCGGGGTCTGAGTCAGAGCACCTGCTCCTCCCCGATTCGGGACTTAGAACTTGCGACTTTGACAAACGACCCGACCAACTCCCACTCGTCAGCCCCAAATCCCACCGCTTACAGGCTTCCATATCAGCGAAATGATAACTGAAAACTATATAGAAATGGAAGCATATATGGGGATGTACTAGAAGGCGGAATGGCGACGCTCCACTTGGCGCGTAGACAGCCCAGGCCCAAAAGAATGGGAATGTTTGTACGGATCTCCCGTACGCGCCACACTCATCTGAGGAAAGAAACATCTGGCGGCCGGGTTGAGCAAGGTTGCAAATGCCAAGTTCACATTATTGCATGGAACACCCACCCACTGGAGAGAAATGCGCATTCTGTTCGATTTCTTTGCATTTTTCTATCTATAGCAATTATAGTTTGAAAGCGATGTGCCCTAAACGGTGCAATTATATTGATTACCCTAACAATTAAAGAAAAAATAAAAGACTTGTCTTCAAAAGACCAAGCTGTAGTGGAAAGTTTTAAATCTGACTCCATTAGTAGTGCCAATCCTTTTCGTGGTAATATTCATCAGATAGTATTCCAAAAAAATATTAAATTCTTATCTTTTGTAGGTGGCTTGCTCAATTTTGGTAATTATTTATATTTCATGTATGTACTTCAGCCTAGAGTCTAGACTTCTAGTTCTAATCAGCCTAGGTAAACGATATCTGAATATTTGGCAAAACTTCCGGTATTTTGCAAGAAATCCCATTTGATTTAAGGCCCATTTTTATTATATTCATGATGTATTTAAAGTGGCTTAGAACCTAAGCTTTTTTATCAATTCCCACTTGAGGGAAATATGTAGGTTATGCGATAAAAGTTTCATAGCTTTGAAATTGTTTCGTTTTTTATTGCACAGATTAATGTAGGACCCTAATTCTGTCAGAGTGACTATTTAAATTTAATTGACCGTAACTGATACAGGATGATAAGAGGATCAACAATATAGTAACGTGTTAGAAGTAAACACGCAAAGTTATTAGTTTGGCAGATAACCAGCGGCTATAATGAGTTTGTTCAAAGAACACTATCTTATCCGACCGTGTTTTGCATTGCAGTTGCCCCATCGAAGCCCACCATAATGGATGCTCATCCCAAAGAAGCCGAGGCTAATGACAAGTTCATCGTCAAATACCGACAGCAGTATTACGACCTGTCCAAGTTTATGCACAAACATCCGGGGGGCATCAACACCCTCAAAGGACTCAGCCAATCGGATATGACAGCTCGCTTCCTAAAGGCTCCCCCCCATTCGGACGCCGCCATGTATCTGATGCAGGAATACAAAATCGACTCGCAGGACACTCGAAAGAGAAGGCCAAGCACATCAGGTGGCGAGCAGAAGGAGAGAAATCAAACCAGCACACAAACTGAAGACAAAAATAATAATCAATTGGATGACAGCATGGAGGTAAGTACGGTTGACGGCATTTAATATGTAACTGCTTTGGCTGGCTGCTGGGAACACTCGGTTTTAAAGAGGCAGTGACTAGCTAGGTAGCCCGTGTTCCCAAGCTCAGCTAAAAAATATATATAACTAACGCAAGTCAAGTCTCTTAAGGCACGCTCGTTTTTCGAAAATCGTAGCATCTAAGTCAGTCAAATGTATCAATATTTTAAGAATTTTAAAGCTGGCGGGACCTATTTGGCATTACGTAGACCTTTGCCTTGGAGTAAATGCGAATCTCTTCCTCCACGGTGGCCAGTTCCTTGTCGATCTCCGCCTTGCGACTGCGGACACGCAAAGTCTGAGCAGTCATAGGCATGTGATTTAGTTCGTTGACGAGGTGTTCATAGCCTTTATATAAAACAAACAGGGATTTTAGGAAACAGTTTTTAAAATTATTAGTTTGACTTACGTTTTTGAGCACCCGTGAGATAGCTCAAGCGTTCCTGGTCAGTGAGCAAAATATGTCCACGGGGACAATCAGGATCACGGGACTCTGCGCGTTGCTTAGCCTCTGCCCGTTCGCGTTTTTCTTTCTCCAAGTACTTTGGCAAACGTAATTCATCACGAGCTAGGGATAACAAACATGTAATAGAACCTAAAATGTAGTATACCAGTTATGTACTTACATCCCAATTTGTGTTCGCGGCGCTTGGACTTTGTAGTTGTGGTAGTGACGTTTGAGGCCATAGTTACGCGACTGCGAGCGCTAAGTGGGGCCTCCTCGTCCGAGCCACCTTCCTCCCTTGGGTCAACCTGGCGCATTGGCATGGTTTCCAGGGCCTCTGACATTTGAAATCGGTTATCCTTCGAGCCGTTTGAGCGACCTGACAGTGGTAATTGCTCCAGCTGCTGCTCGTTATCATAGCCATAGCCTTCATAGCCAAAGTTCCCATCATCTTCCCCGTATTTTTGAGAAGAGTCCTCAAAAACAGATCTTCCATCAAAATTGCATCTATAAATAAGAAGCACCGGTGAGATACGAGTATATACGAATAAAGGATAATAACCTACCTTTTGAGAGCATTAGTTAAGTATTGTTCATCTCTGATGTCCTCGGTTTGAATGCCAATACTGGTAGAGCTGCGATGAGTGCCGCATGACTGACAGCGCTCTGACGAACGCTCAGATCCAGAGTCCAGGAGGTTTTCTGCCTCCACCGGCTCCGAGGGAGCATAGAAAAGCGGATCCCTATCCTCTAGCCCATCAAAGCGCTCGCCTTCTGTTGGAATCGCGATAGCCAGATGGTTATTGGACCGGGAGCTTTTGCTAGTATGCTGAACTGTCCCCGGAACCGACTTTTTCGTTGCCTGAGCTCTGTTTCCTTTTGGATCCCGCACCTCAGAAGCTGTCCTTCGGAGCGGTGGCATCCATTTGGGACGCACTGGCTCCTTAGCTGCCAACTTTTGGCTGGTGGTCTTCTCCAGCGAACGGAGACTAACCTTGTTTTCCTTGAGGAAGTTTCGCGACTGTGTGACGCCTGAGGATTAAAAAATAGCCAAAACATATTACCCACCGGTTGCCATGGTCGTAGCTAATTACAAAATGTAACTTACGCGGCACCGCAAACATGCCCTTCAGCGTGGGAATTGGGCGAACCGATGTGTTCGACATGATCCGTCTGCTCCCGGACTATCAGCAGGACGGATATATTTCAGTAAATCTGTTCACGTTTACGGAAAGCGGATACTGCGTCGTATGTGTTGGGGCAAGTTAGTTTGAATGACGATTTTGAACCAGCTACCTCGTTTGTTGATAGGACCGTTTGACAGGTGCAGAAAAGGTGTGCCCACATAGGGTTAGGAAATAAAAGACAATTCGATTTTAAAAATACATAGCGCGAAGGTTTAAAAAAGGATATAAAAGATTAATAAATTAAATACATTAAAAATAATAGTTTAATGTTAATTTTCTAGCACCTGGTGGATTGGTCAAAGGCTATGCTTCCCCAGATTGCAAACATCACCCAAAACTATGATGAGTGGGTCCACAAACCTGTGGACAGGCCACTCCGGCTCTTTGGTCCCTGGTACCTTGAGATGTTAACCAAAACACCTTGGTGGCTTGTGCCATCTTTCTGGATTCCTGTGATCTTGAAGTTTGCTTCGGAGGAGTTCACCTCGAGTTGGCAAAACAAAAGTCAGGTAAGTTACCCAAAAAGACACACCTTTTATCAAAATCTAACACATTCTTTCATTTTAGCTTGTGGAGGTAGTTGCTTACTTTTTGTTTGGGGTTCTACTGTGGACATTCCTGGAGTACACCCTTCATCGCTGGGTATTCCATGTTAAGCTAAAAAGCAATAGTGGACCTTGGATTTGCACGTTCCACTTCATGATCCATGGACTTCACCATAAAGTTCCCTTTGATCCAATGCGCCTAGTGTTCCCGCCGCTGCCGGGAGCCGTGCTGGCCACCATCATCTATACGCCCCTCAGCTTCATGCTCCTTCATCCGCGTATAGTTCTGTCCGGAGCTCTGACGGGGTATTTGTGCTACGATTTGATGCACTATTACCTCCACTATGGAAACCCAATCACCAGCGCCTTTGTGCACATGAAGCGGTATCACTACCATCATCACTTTTCACACCAATCCCTGGGATATGGCATCAGCAGTCCCTTGTGGGATGTGGTTTTTCAAACTCGCATTCACCTTCGAAAGCTAAGATATCAACTGCGGTGGTCTTAGCCACAATTAGGAGAAACCATATCTTTTTGCTTAAGAACAAATAATTTAAGAGCACAGAGTTTCTACTCTTTTACGAGTTTTAAGAAAAGATTTTGCAGCATTTGTATATTGGAAATGCTAGGAATTAGATGTAAGAACAAATGTATTTCTTTAATGGCACATTATATGACAGGAATAAACTTCCAATGATACCAAAGAAGTTGGGAAAAATAAAAGTAAGAAATTTCTTTAGTTATAAAAACTGAATGGTGTTGGGATCCTCACGGAATATTAATTCAGACATTTGGGGGATCTTTCTTTCCATTTAAATTTTAAAAATTGAAAACAAAACTTTGAATTGCGCGGGCAGTTCTTTTTAATTCCGACAGATCCACAGTTAGAACAACTATTTGTCATTTGGCCACAATCCACATTTGGCCACACTGGCAGAGGAAGCCAGGGAAAGTTTTGTTTATTTATTTTTGTCCCTGATTTCGTTTTGCTGCAATAATGCTGAATGCCAAGATTGGTAAAGTCGGGAAAGTTCTCGTTTGCGGGATGAAGGGTGTGGGTAAAACGGCGCTTATAGAGCAGCTCGTTTACGGCCACGTCAACCCTGAGACGGTGAGTGGGCGGAATCGTTAGAACTGAATGTTTACACAGGTCGAATTGTATTTTAGGAACTGCATCCCACCATCGAGGACATCTATGTGGCCAGTGTGGACACGGGGCGGGGTGGAGCCCGCGAGACACTGCGCATCTACGACTCTGCTGGGCTGCAAGGCGAGCAGCAACAGCTTCCCCGCCACTACCTTCAGTTTCCGGATGCCTTCGTGCTGGTCTACGACCCGACGGATCCACGCAGCCTGGATATGTTGGCCGACATAAAGGCGGACATTGACAAGCACAAGGAAAAGAAGGAAATCCCAGTAGTTGTGCTGGCAAATGTTCGGGCCAGGGCAGCAGCCAATCCCGTGGAGAAGGTCATGGACCGAGCCAATCTTTGGTGTCAGCGAGAACGTATCAAACACTATACCGTGAATGCTATGGAGCGTCCGTCTCTATATGAGCCCTTCACCTCGCTGTGTGCTCGTCTTCATCCGGCACCGACGAAGAGCACCTTTCCCCAGCTGCGTCAGGTTATGCAGAACCGACAAAAGAGCGAGGCGTAGCTCGCAGAGGATTGAAGTATCATATTTTATTGTGTAATTCCGTTTAGTGTATTACTTGCCTGTATTAACTAATGTGCTTTAATGTGGACTTGGGTCCGCCAGTTTTGTACTTATACCTATCTGTATGTGAGCGTCTAATTGTATCTAGTATTTATTATAACAAAATGTGTTGTCTCATTGGGAGAGGCGATCATCTGGTAGCCCATTAGGCGCAATCAGTATTCGCTGCTCATTCTTATTCGGCATTTTAATCGTCTCAACTAATTTCGAATGTGCGAAGATCCCCTTTGATCAGTCGTCTGCCAGACCCGCCTTCGTAGACAATGCTTTCTCGAGCTTTATTATTAGCTACTTTTCTGACGGTGGCCTGCGTTTCCCAAGTTATGGGAATGGGTGTTATAGTCCCAGGAACCAAGTGGTGTGGTCCTGGCAACGTGGCCGACAACTATGATGACCTCGGCAGTGAAAGGGAGCTGGACATGTGTTGTCGCGCTCATGACAATTGCAAAGAGAAGATATCACCTTACGAGGAGGCTTTTGGTCTTCTAAATGACGGTGTATTTCCCATGTAAGAAATCCTTTGTAAAAAGTATACATTTTCCCTAAAATACCTTTCATTTTTTATAGTTTCTCCTGTGAATGTGAAGCTGCGTTCCGCGGATGTCTCACTGGTCTAAAAAACTACCAATCCCTGGCACTTGGACGCATATACTTTAGCAGCAAGGAGGTGTGCTTCGGCTTCGGATATCCTACTGTTTCCTGCGTGGAGCACCAAAGGCATCTGTTCGAGAAGCGCTGCTTGAGCTACCGCGTGGACGAGGGAAAGCCCAAGACCTGGCAGTTCTACGACTTGGCTCTCTACACACACGTCACCGGTAGCGAGGAGGATTCGGATGCTTGAACCCAGGATTGACCTACGTTGATAAGCTTTAATTTATTGTACAACTTGAATTGTAGCCAAAACAAAACAGAAAATGATTACTTAGCTTTTTGATTATGCGATGTATGTAGTTATTTTGTAAACAAAAATAAAAAATAGGCTCAATTTTAATTACCTTAAGATGGGTATATTTGAAAAAACATCTAGAAAGACTTATGTATTTCTATGATAACGAATTGTTTAACGAATTTTATTCCATTATATGTACATATTTAATTAAAAAAGTTCGAAGGTAGATAAGAATCTCCAGACAGCTACAAATCTTCACTTTCTGGTCACGCCTTTGTCTTGTGGATTGAATAGAAGGGCATGTCGTAGAACTGCCAGATTTTGGGCTTTGACTTTTCCACATGGTACAGAATGCAGCGGCTGCGGAGCGTTCCTGTCTGATACTGCTTGCATCCGTTGGTGGGGTAGCCCATAGCGAAGCACTTGCTCCTGGTGCCATAGTAGATGCGGCCCAAAGTATTGGAGGTCATGGTGTTAACCGCCTGCAGGCAGTTTATGAACTCCTGCTCACACGTACACTTGAGGCTGAAAAGGAAGCAAAGTTCACAAGCCTTGAAAAATCAATAGAGGACTTCAAATAACTTACATCGGAAACCAATCTGTATTTGTTGGCAATCCATGGAGCGCATTATGAGATTCTATAATCTCGTCGCAATGATCGTGGGCTCGACAGCACTTATCCGTTTCCCGTTCCCGGCCCAGATCCTCGAAATTGGAGGCAGTGTTTCCTGGACCACACCACTTGGTTCCGGGCACTGTGATTCCCGTATGCGGCACCGGTGGCAGTGCCTGGTTGTAAATGTCCTCTTCCTCGAAGATGGCTTCATCCGCAAAGGCCCAAACGGTAGCCAGCAGGCTTAAGAGAAGAGCTCCGTGTAAGTAGCTCATCTTCAATGAATGTTTCAGCTTTGGTTGATGCCAAGCAACTGAGCTTGAACGATTGAAAGTTGAATCTCGCAGCCAGACAGATAAGAGCAATGGGATTAGGTCAAGATTAATACTTGAAGCTTGAGCTTATACACTCTTACTCTTAATTAAATTACACGTTTTATAACATTTTAAAATTTTCAAAATGTGACCCACCGCGAAAGCCATATTTTTGTCAATTTTCATCCGATTCTTGAGCGGAACACCTTAAACGAAAAGTAGATCGATTCTCCATCGATCTTCATCAAAATCTACCAACAAAATCTTTTTTCAATTTTTTGTCAATTTTCCAAGGGGGTCCCCTTCAAAATTTTGAAGAGGCATAAGATGCAAAATGTGACCCACCGCCAAAGCCATATTTCTGGATATATTCATCCGATTTTTGAGCGGAGCACCTAAAACGAAAAGTATATCGATTCTCCATCAATCTGCATCAAAATCTACCAACAAAATATTTTTTCAATTTTTTGTCAATTTTTCTAGGGGGTCTCCTGCAAAATTTTGAAAAGGCATGGGATGGAAAATGTGACCCACCGCGATGGCCATATTTTTGTCAATTTTCATCCGATTCTTGAGCGGAACACCTTCAACGAAAAGTAGATCGATTCTACATCGATCTGCATCAAAATCTACCAACAAAATATTTTTTCAATTTTTTGTCAATTTTTCTAGGGGGTCTCCTGCAAAATTTTGAAAAGGCATGGGATGGAAAATGTGACCCACCGCGATGGCCATATTTTTGTCAATATTCATCCGATTCTTAAGCGGAACACCTTAAACGAAAAGTATATCGATTCTCCATCGATCTGCATCAAAATCTACCAACAAAATATTTTTTCAATTTTTTGTCAATTTTTCTAGGGGGTCCCCTTCAAAATTTTGAAAAGGCATAGGATGCAAAATGTGACCCACCGCGAAGGCCATATTTTTGTCAATTTTCATCCGATTCTTGAGCGGAACACCTTAAACGAAAAGTAGATCGATTCTCCATCAATCTGCATCAAAATCTACCAACAAAATATTTTTTCAATTTTTTGTCAATTTTTCTAGGGGGTCTCCTGCAAAATTTTGAAAAGGCATGGGATGGAAAATGTGACCCACCGCGATGGCCATATTTTTGTCAATATTCATCCGATTCTTAAGCGGAACACCTTAAACGAAAAGTATATCGATTCTCCATCGATCTGCATCAAAATCTACCAACAAAATATTTTTTCAATTTTTTGTCAATTTTTCTAGGGGGTCCCCTTCAAAATTTTGAAAAGGCATAGGATGCAAAATGTGACCCACCGCGAAGGCCATATTTTTGTCAATTTTCATCCGATTCTTGAGCGAAACACCTTAAACGAAAAGTAGATCGATTCTCCATCGATCTGCATCAAAATCTACCAACAAAATATTTTTTCAATTTTTTGTCAATTTTTCTAGGGGGTTCCCTGCAAAATTTTGAAAAGGCATGGGATGGAAAATGTGACCCACCGCGAAGGCCATATTTTTGTCAATATTCATCCGATTCTTGAGCGGAACACCTTAAACGAAAAGTATATCGATTCTCCATCGATCTGCATCAAAATCTACCAACAAAATATTTTTTCAATTTTTTGTCAATTTTTCTAGGGGGTCCCCTTCAAAATTTGGAAAAAGCATAGGATGCAAAATGTGACCCACCGCGAAGGCCATATTTTTGTCAATTTTCATCCGATTCTTGAGCGGAACACCTTAAACGAAAAGTATATCGATTCTCCATCGATCTGCATCAAAATCTACCAACAAAATATTTTTTCAATTTTTTGTCAATTTTCCGAGGGGGTCCCCTTCAAAATTTGGAAAAGGCATAGGATGCAAAATGTGACCCACCGCGAAGGCCATATTTTTGTCAATTTTCATCCGATTCTTGAGCGGAACACCTTAAACGAAAAGTAAATCGATTCTCCGTCGATCTGCATCAAAATCTACCAACAAAATATTTTTCAAATTTTTTGTCAATTTTTCTAGGGGGCCCCCTCAAAATTTGGAAAAGTCATGGGATGGACAATATGACCCACCGCGAAGGCCATATTTTTGTCAATTTTCATCCGATTCTTGAGCGGAACACCTTCAACGAAAAGTAGATCGATTCTACATCGATCTGCATCAAAATCTACCAACAAAATATTTTTTCAATTTTTTGTCAATTTTCCAAGGGGGTCCCCTTCAAAATTTGGAAAAGGCATAGGATGGAAAATGTGACCCACCGCGAAGGCCATATTTTTCTCAATATTTATCCGATTCTTGAGCGGAACACCTTAAACGAAAAGTATATCGATTCTCCATCGATCTGCATCAAAATCTACCAACAAAATATTTTTTCAATTTTTCTAGGGGGTCCCCTGCAAAATTTGGAAGAGCCATGGGATGGACAATATGACCCACCGCGAAGGCCATACTTTTGTCAATATTCATCCGATTCTTGAGCGGAACACCTTAAACGAAAAGTATATCGATTCTCTATCGATCTGCATCAAAATCTACCAACAAAATATTTTTTCAATTTTTTGTCAATTTTTCTAGGGGGTCTGCAAAATTTTGAAAAGGCATAGGATGCAAAATGCGACCCACCGCGAAGGCCATATTTTTGTCAATTTTCATCCGATTCTTGAGCGGAACACCTTAAATGAAAAGTAGATCGATTCTTCGTCGATCTGCATCAAAATCTACCAACAAAATATTTTTTAAATTTTTTGTCAATTTTTCTAGGGGGTCTGCAAAATTTTGAAAAGGCATAGGATGCAAAATGCGACCCACCGCGAAGGCCATATTTTTGTCAATTTTCATCCGATTCTTGAGCGGAACATCTTAAACGAAAATTAGATCGATTCTCCGTCGATCTGCATCAAAATCTACCAACAAAATATTTTTTCAATTTTTTGTCAATTTTTCTAGGGGGTCCCCTGCAAAATTTTGAAAAGGCATGGGATGCAAAATGTGACCCACCGCGAATGCCATATTTTTGTCAATATTCATCCGATTCTTGAGCGGAACACCTTAAACGAAAAGTATATCGATTCTCCATCGATCTGCATCTAAATGTACCAACAAAATATTTTTTCAACTTTTTGTCAATTTTCCGTGATTGGATCCCATTTTCCATCTCTCTGAAAAAATTATAAAACTACAATCATTAAACACATTTTTCACTTAATTAGAAAAATTTAATCGGTGTTAAAGGTATATATTAGCTTAAAATATCCTTAAACGCTTCCACAGCCGTCTTCTTGGCCGATTTTCGCTTCCCTTCCTTTGGTTGCTCGGATCCCAGTTGCTTCGATAGACTCTCCTGCCACTGGCTAGGTGAAAGTTTGTACGTATCTAGGCGGTACTTTGTGTAAATTATTCGCCCGTAAGGAGAACCGTTGAGCATATTCGCCTTGGAGAATAGCTCCTTGGCTATTCGCGCCTTCTGGGCCTCTTGGGAGGCCTTGAAGCATTCATCGAGGACGCGGGATCCATGTCTAGTGATGGCCAGGTCTACATAAAAGCCGTCCAACTGGCGAATTAATCTTTCACGTGACTTTTCGCCAATAAACTTGCTCTGCATGAAGGCATCCACGATGTGAGAACCGTTGGGGGTGTTAAAAACCTGAGCCAGCTGCGAGGCTGGCAGATCTAGAATGCAATTGACCAGGAAGATTGGTTTGTTGAATTGCAGAAGGTGCTGGGCGATCAAGGAGCCGTGAAGATGGACAGCACTGGACTCGTCGGTGCCGATTATCTCGAACGGCTTCAGCTTGATCAGACAGGTGAAGAACATCTTGGATTTCTCTTTATCGCCTGTGACGTGGAGGGCGCTCTGCATAGCAGCTATCATTTGGGACTGCTTGCTACTCAGACGAAGACAGGCAGCACTCAAAGCTGAGACAACACCAGTATACCCCATCCTTAGGAGTTGCTCCACTTGGGGCTGCAGTTCTGTGAAAACAGCCTCAAAGTCGCTCACCTCCTTGATGTGTTGGAGAAGCCGTTGGACAGAGAAGTTCGTGTCATGTTGCTGGGCAAGGTAGGCCACCTTACCACAAAAGAGCATCGCATATAGTTGCGTCAATAACTTGGCCCCCGCCACACCTAAGAGAGTTTCGAGCAGGATCACCGAACTTTGATGATGAAAAACTTTTGGCAGAACGGGGGCATCTTCTTTCTTCTCTTCGTTGTTCTCAGCATTTTCATTGGAATTCGTTTCTTCTTCCTTATCCTCCTCGTCATCATCCTTGATTTCTATTTTGACATCTCCATCCTTCTTTTCATCATCATCGTTTTCTTCATCGTTCGGCAGCAGCAGACTTAGTGTGAGAATCTTTTTTCCAAAGTGCTTTAGAAGATTCTTATCCGTCACACTTAGTGCCAAACAAATTATTCCCAGAAGCGCTGATGAGTGCTCCTGATAGGGCAGTTCCGGAAACTGTGGCCACATCTCCAGGCGCTGGGGAAATTCCTTCATCACCTCCTGCCACTCTTCCGGTACCGTGTACATCTTTCGGTGCTTGGCGATTTCGGCGCCACCCTTTTCGAAAGCTATCTTTGGAACATGCATGCCCACCAGACACAGAATACCCGTCCTCATGATGTGGCTGGCACAAGTATCCCACACAAAGTCCTCCAGATTGTTAAGCATGAACTTGGAGATACGCAGCACAAACTGTCGGCACGCCTCCCGGTGTTCCTCGCTGAAGTCTGCACTCAGGTTGTACTCCTCTTCGACCTGCGCCGCGTCTGGCTTAGCCTTCTTGGTGGCGCTCACATCCTCGTTGGCTTCTGACACTGCTGACTGGCCCACTCCTCGCAGAAAGGCTATCTCGACCATTTTTTGCAGGACGTGGGAGGCAAAACGGTCCGAGCAAATGGGACGGAGAGTGCCACCGAACTTCTCAAAAAACCGCTCCAACTGTGTGTTGTCCACGAACCCCACCAAGGACTCCAGTGCCTTGGAGACAATCTGATTGGATGCCAGATGTACTTCTTGGTCTTTAGTTTGATCGAAAACGTTATTGGCCATGTTGACTGAAAGGATGGCGTATTAATAAAATAATCGGTCTAATAAGGTAGATACTTACCCCGTTCCTCAGTATCCTCAAAGCCAGCCTTCATGGCGTCCAGAATGTTGATGAAATAGCTGTACTGCTCATCATCGATGTGAGTGCCACGACCAAATATTCCCTGCTTGGCGAAGCCTTTGGCGTTTTGTATGAAGCGATTACCCTTCTTCTTTGGGCGTTTCCGCTTGAACTTTCCTTCCGTTTGCATTCTGCGCGGGGATTTCAAAATTAAAATCAAAAATAATAAGGAAAACGTGCAGTTCAAGCACGTTATACAAATCAGCTGTGCGTATGCTCTTCTTCTTTTCGCGGTGAAGAAAATCAGTATGACCTTATAGCTGTGGTGAAAAAGGAACAGCTGATGAGGTGGAAACACATTTAAAAATTAAATTTTTGAAAAATATAACGAATTTATGGGTAATTGAATATTTTTAAACCATAAAAAAACATCCTATTATTAAATGTTTAATAATTATTGGTAATATAATGCAGTTGCCTAATTTTTTTAACTTTTTTTTTCGGTAAACATGTTAAAAAATTTAAAAATTGGTTAAAGTCAAATTGAATTATAAATTTTACAGAAATAATGTTTTAAATAAATATCTTATAAAAAGGATATATTATCTGATAAAAGATGATTACAATTTTAAATTGTATTATTCTGATTAAGTATTTCGGTTGGCTTTATAAATTTTCGGCGTCAAGATTTGCAAAATATTTGAAAAGGTTCTGACAGCTCTTGAAGGGCGAGAAATAATAAGAATTTAAGAGACACACATGTACGTCCCATTTGCAGCTACCATTGTGTCCTTTAAAGCCTTTGTAAGGTCTTCTGCAGATTTCCTATTTTTTGGGTGAAGAATTGGAATCCATTTAAACAGGATTCCGCCCTAATCCCCATTGAATTTTGAGATTCTGAGAAGAAGAAAGGATCCATATGTTCCCTGTCGAGCAGTCCATGACGGAAGGTGGTTAACCTCAGAACTAAGACCATTTTCGACACAAAATAACAAACACTTTAAGGTCGTTAATTAAATTATCGTCGAAAAGCCGCCGCAAGATAAAAGTCAAAATATTTTGTAACCAGATACGTAGCATCAATCTCAATCAGAGTCGGACCAGACACGTGTGTGCTTCTTCGCCCTTCCTTCGCCCGGGCAACGGTGGCAGCCCGTGGCCGTGATGGGGACGGAGGCGTCTGCAATATGTAACTACAGTATCAGTAAACAAATCAACGAACAGCCGCCAACCGCCAGCCAGTCAGACAGCATCCACCCTCCAGAATTCGTCCTGCACCCCCTAGCAACCTTGCGCACTCTCCGCGGTCGTCAAGCGCCGCCCCGTTGCCAAGTGGTGCACAAGCCCAGGTCCTGGCACCACCTTGCTCATTACACGGCGAGACTAGCCAGGACTCTGCATCCAAAATCGGGTTTAGGGACGCGTGCAAGAAAAGAGCACGCGCCGTCGTCGTCGTCGTCGCCGTCCATTAGACAAAGTCATTAGCATTACCTGTCATCGCGGATTAGTGCATTACGGGCCCGTGGGCATTGTTGTGGTCAGGGTTTCGGGCTTAATGGTGCCAGGCAGGCGTTATCATTATCGACAATTTCACAGGTAAACAAGAGATCTTGTCTAGGGCGTGGGAAGTAGGTCTGGCTTAGATGATCCATTATCCAACAAACTCCAGCACTCCCACTACCCTTTTAACGCAAAACACCGACTAGATTTTGAAAATAATTTAATAGAATTTATTTTTAACAAAAAATATAATTTCTAGAGGCTATATTTAAGAGTGTATAATTTATGCAAGAAGAAGAAAGTATACATTTATATAATTTTTGCACATTTCGATTTGATTTGCATTTCGACTGGACATCCCATCCAGTCGTTATCTAAAAACTAAAGCCTAGCTATTTACACAGATCGATAAAGATTTGTTGTTCTTATATGTGTGTGTGTGTGTGGTGTCCTTTGTTGCCAAAGGATTGTGCTGCAGCTTGGTGCTATCCAGCAGGTGTGGTGTGAAGAATCTTAAGAATTCTACGCAGTTTAGCCTGTGATTTAATCCTTCGAGTCCTCAGACTCAGAAGTAAAAGCTTTCCGCCTGTTGATCCTGCTGCCGCTGGCGTTGCTGCCACTCGTGGGCGATGTTGCTGTTGCCGGCATTGGCACTGCTGCCGCCGACACCCGTGATCCCGGCCAGACCGCTGACCCCGCCACTGCCACTGGAGGCAGCGGCCGCCTCCAACTAGAATCATAAGTGCTGATACTCCCCCATGTCGTACATCGCGGACATGGGCATCGCCCCCATTACGCTGTGCAGGTGCGAATAGGCCACGGCGGCGGACAGGGGCGGCATTTGCATTTGGGCAGCGGTTGCCGCCGCAGTCACGCCCCCTCCGCTGCCACCCCCACTGCTGCCCTTGCTGGCGGCATTCCCAGTGCCTGGATGTTGCTGGTGGGGATGATGTTGCAGGCTCTGGTCGGCTGATAGATGTTGCAATTGCTGCTGGTGCAAGCCGTTGTTGTTGTTGTTGGGGCCGCTACTGCTGCCGGGTGAGTGCTGTTGCTGTTGTTGTTGTTGCTGGGAACTCTGGCCAGGAAGGAGGCTGCCCTCCATTTCCGAATCGCTGGAGGAGTCGAGATGTTGCTTATCCGTAGAGCCACTGAAAGAAAAGGGATAAGTAGGGATAAGTTGGGGGTAATAACTCAATAAAAGTTGAGCTTAAAGATATAAGGATCATGAAACCGGAAGTTAAAAAAAACGTTGCCTACTTCTAGGCCTTCATCTCTCATAATAACCTAAACTGTTTGACCTTCTCCTTTATGGACCTGGAATTTAACGTTAAACCTATAAATTTGAAACCTCAAATACTTAAGACCGAAACCCAAAAATAACAATCTATTTTAATGAATTACTAGTACAACTGCTGTTTAGCCCGCTCGTGTTAGAATTATGACCCGAGGCATATGCTTTTGGATGTCAGCATCGTTTGTATTAAAATGTGTCAATTGCTGCAGCTAATTTACTGCTGTCAACACACCCACAGCACACACAGCACACACAACCCTCACACTATCTGGCAGAGTGCATAATTTATTTATAAACAAATGACAAACGACAGTTGTACAGCAATTGCAATTGAAATGAATTCCGGAAGGAAATTGTCTGCTTCTCTCATTTCTATAAATGGTATCATGTTCGTATTTCTTTTCGAGGTGTTACCAAAAGGACAGAAAGAGTGTCAAAGAAAGAGGAGGGAGGCGACTCCCCAGAGCATTCCGGTGTCTCGAGTCTGGAGTCTGATTTCAGTCTCGGAGTTATTCGAGAACTCAGGGGGTGATGTCCCAAAAGTTAAGTAGCTTGACTTTTATTATTTGTGGCTGATTCCATATTATAGCCCCTGGGGGGTCTCGGTCATAACCAATTGCCCGAAATTCAAATCACCCGTTAATGGCTAATAGATCGGGCTATAAACAGGGCCTGAAACTCGAGCAATTGCCGCACCACAACCTGGTAATCCGGCAATCCGGCAATCCGACAATCATCGGCAAAGTGTTAATCTTGTCGCCAATTGCATGGCCAAGCACAATCAGCAATCGGTAATCAGCAGAGCGGCATCGCAGAACCAGTTTTTCTTTTTTTTTTTTTGCAAAAAGAATTGATGACAGCAACCAGCAACAGCCACAAACACGGGTCGACATGGGGCCCAGGGAGAGGCGATGGATGGAAGCCCTAACAAAGACTAAATACTCTGATTCTCGGGGATTGGAAGATCTAGAGATTAAAGTGTTTTAATTCTTCAGATTTAGAATCTTTCAGATATGCCTTCCTATAGTACTTTCAAATAGGAAGTATTCCTTATTTCAGAGATCTTCCTCATTCATCAGCTTATATCATTGCCCTTAAAACCTCTAAGTCAGCTAACTAACCCTTAAGAAGTGTATCAAAACAGGCACAAGTCTCGTCCGTGGCAATGCAAAACATTTAAGCGCACACTCGACAAATTTGCGATCAGCATCTGAGGCACAATGGAGCACAGCCAGGGGGACAGGACAATCTTTTAGCAGGAAGGCTAAGTCGGACGGAGCGACAGATCCCTCCTACCCGGTCTACAACAAGCTGGAGTTATTTGCTGACTCCACACAGGCCATGCTGCTCCGAGGGCCACATACGGCGATGAAGGGCCAACTAAGGCCCAGCTGTATGATATCGGCAATCATGTAATTGTAGATTATATCCAGCGAGTGGCAGCCACCAACGGCGATGCCTGAACTTGAACTTGCCGCTAGGAAGCAGCGGACAGCGTTTGATGAACGACGAGTGATTGTGATTTTGTGAAACGAGTCCCCGGAACGGGGATCTGTGGACATTAAAGTGACACTCTCTAGTTCTAAGCGAAAAATCGATGGCCTAAGCACACCAAACATGAGAAAAGACCCAGGCCTGGGCCCATCCCTGAGACCGAAAAGTGGGGAGCAAACAAAAGGCAGCCGGAGCAGCAGCAGCCGGAGCAGTAGAACCAGGAGGAGGAGGAGCAGCAGCAGCATGTAAACAATGATATCGAATTACCGGCATTTCATAGTTTCTGCCAACACATATATATATATATTTAGAGACAGAGAGACAGCGCCATGCCCTCTTCATCGTACCCATTCCGGTGATTGCACTATAAACACAAATGCTTCAGTGTTCGGTTTGGTTTCCCAATAGAGTCCGTCCGGATGGCCGATTGCACGCATCACCGCACGGGAGCAGAGTGTCTCAAGGACAAAGCCGCTCCACCATCACCAGAAGTGAATGTCGCATAAACTTTATGACAAAAATTCAACAGCAACCGCAGAAGAAACATCAGGTTTTGGGTCTTCTGGGTCTGGGTCTGGGTCTCACTGTGTGTGGTCTCGAGAGGTTCTTTGGGCTTTTCTTCCCATTTTCTCGATTTTTTTTTGTTTTATTTTTGGGTCTGTGCCCAGTGAGGGGGAATTAATTTTTTACTTGTTTGCTCAATTGATTTTTTTGGGGCGAGTCTCAAGCGAGTCTTAAGCAGATTCATTAGCTTGGTAATAATGCATGATCGGATTATGTTTAACTGGAAGGGGCACTGCCTGGGCAGTGGCTGGGATTTCGAAGGAGCTCCGAACAAGTTTGTCACGTGATTTGGTTCGATTTTGAAACAGAAGACTCTAAAAAATATCTCAGGATATAACTCTAGAATTTTCACACGAATTTTTTACTTAAATAGGGGTTCCCTCTATTGGCTTCCAAGGAATTCCACTGCTAATAAAAATTATAAGCCAATAAATCCTAAAAGAAACAACTAAACACACAAAAGATAGCCCAGCTGAGGAGGATACTAAATGAAACCAGCCAGACCCCTGGCTCTGGCTCTGGAGATGGGCAGATTGGAGATTGGGTCGATCCGGTGATCAAGAGATCAGGAGATCGGGTGTTCGGGATGATCGGGGTGATCTGCCCTGTGCGGTGGTGAGGCCGAACCCAACAGGTTGAGTTATCGCATTGCGCGATCGGTACACAAATCTCGGGACGTGTGCTCAGCAGGACACCCAACTAAACGGGCAACGACGATACGTAAGTGGAATCTGAAAAGGTGTTGATCATAAATTATCATTTAATTTACGCATGTGTGTGGCTGTGTTGTTAATGTTCGTGGCGACCCTCTGACACTCCAAAAAACGATGCAACCTGGTCGGGGGGACTGGATCCCCTCCATCCTGGGCTTTTTCTGGGTTTACGTTTTTCGTCTAGCCAGTGTCTGCTTGGGGCTTTTGTCTCATTGTCTACAACTATGTAAGATTCCCGAAGATTAACCCGAAAGTCACAAAATCTTCCCCCTCCAGCCTCCAGCCTCCATGCCCTGTCATCGTTTTACGATATTTTATTATCCATCCCGTGGAAGGTTCGTGCTGGACGATGGTGTGGCGTGTGGCGCATAAAATGCTGGCTGGGATCTGGGATTGTTTTGACAGTTTTTCTTTTTTTTTTTTCATAATTTTGTAGCCTTTTAATTGCCCTGACCAATGGTCATCAGATACGGAGTCTATTCAAGAAGTGGAGGCACCGATTTTCCTGCTGTGCCTAGCCAAACTTTTATGTAATCCCCTTTGGAAATCTTTTCAGCAGCTTAGGGGTCTTCAGTGGACACCTAACTGAAGCCCCATTTAAGACTTATAATTCTTAAAATAATCTCCATTTTTTGAACTTTAAAGACTAAGGCAAGTCCTATTATTTTCAGTGCACTTGCCTCCGGAAAAGCTTCTTCTAGACGAGATCTAATTATTGTCAAGAGAGAGTGTACACTTGACACCCACTCCATGAACATGCGGATGTCAGTGCTGGATGCCAAGATGGGGAGGTGATGCGGATGGTAAGCGCCTGGCTGCTACCACCAACCGGTCCATCATCACTAACTACATCATTATCAACGCCATCGCGAGGATTGAGGGCATCGGAGCGGAGGGAATGGGACTGGAACTGGGACTACAGACTGGGGACTGGGTACCGGGAATGGGAATGGGAAACAATACACAAAAGCAGCAGCGGAGCAGACGAGGGCTAAGGACGGGCAAAAGCGCAAAATACATAATAATAAAAACAGAATGTACAATAAAACGAATAAAAATGAATAACGTGCCGGAGAAAGAAAGAGAGAGAGAGTATGGAGGGACGGGGTGGGGGGAGGCGGGAAGGTCGGGGCTATGGCGGGGCGAACGAATAAAGAACACACGCACATTTTGTGGTAACCCGATACCCTGGCCAGCTACCCTCCAGCCAACCGTGGCATTCGCCGAACGCAAAATGATGAAGACGGCGGAGGGAGACGCACACACACACACACACACACACCCAGAGACACACACAAGGCCAGGCGATGGGCCAGGGGAGTGGGTTGGTCTTGGGACTGGAACTGGAACTCGCTTTGGCACTGGCACTGGAAGTGGGACTGTAACTGCGACTGGGTCTGAGTCTGAGTCTGGCTGGGACTCGGACTGGGTCGCCTCGGTATAGCCGGTATAATGAAGTATGATGGTGGCTGATGATGGGTTCTCCTTATCAAGAAGAGGAAGAAAAAAGGACGAAGGTCCTGGTGATGGAATTCGGTGAGGGAAGAGTACATAAAAATATGGTTTTTAGAAACCAGGTGAGAGGTATATAGAGTAGGAGATCTTAAAACTGTTATATTCGAGATACAGATCTTAGAAACTTATAAAGTATCTTATAAAGTTCGTTAAAAAGATACATTATAACCTCAAAATCTGCTATGAATTCTACATGATATAGGATGCCTTTTTAACCAAATAACTTTATTTTAATAGACTAACTTTGAAAGATGTCAGTGACTTGAAGTCACCTCAGTAGGCAGGATCTTCATATTTAGTTTCTTTCTTTTTTCTTTTCTGAAAATTTAACAAAATTCTAAAAGAAAATTTTTAGAAATGCGCAAGACCTGGCATAAGCCGTTCCACAAGCGCAAAGCGGTAATTACTCTAACCTTCACGATATATATATCTTATTAATTCTATATATCTACTCCTCCGATCAGTGGAATACAGTTTCCAGGCGGGGCAAGTTGGTTTACTATATGCAACCGCTAGTCGACCACTTCTTCGAGGTCTGGATGCAGGCCCTGCCCTTTCCGACGCTCCTCAAGTTCGTCTATACCGGCTGCCTGGTCTTCTTCATTCTACTACCGATCCTGTATCCGATGTTCGTCCTTCTGCTGTACTACGGTATCTTTCAGTATGTGGCCGAGCGGCATACTGGGGCGGTCATGCCGGACAACTGGGACCTGTTGGGAGCGGTCGCTAATCTGTGGCACTTCGAGATCACCAACAAGAAGTACCAGCTGTTTGTGACCATGTACATTGATCGGTACCGAGTGATTATAACCGCTATATCTTCGACAGTGGACTACATTCGAATGGCACTCGGTTGTGTGTTCTAAGCTTGGGGCACGACATCCACGATATCTACTTGCCACTGCAGGTCAACGGGTGGTAGGTGGTAGGTGGTGGGTGGTGGAGTTTTTTGTTTTTAATTAAAAATTTGTTAAAATACACCATAAATTCAGCCATAAAATAAATATTTTTAAACTCTTAAAAAAGGGTTTGAGTCTGGAACTATAGAGTGTGGGGAGGGATGTGCTTAAGATACTTCAGTTAGCTATAGATGTCAACTATGGAACTCTTGAACTAAAGAACTTTGAAACGATAGAGATTAAGGATATATGTATGTAGACTCTATAGATATAGGATCTCCAGATATAGGCTTTATAGGTATATTTAAGTACTGTAGATAGCACAAAACCTTCCCTATAAAGGAAGCTATCATTGGCCATCCATAGAATACAATTCTTAGCCAAGCTCGGCACTTAATGCCCCTATAGTCATAAGCCCCTATAACTATGTATGTAGTTTATAATATTAATTGAAATATAGTAAAAGTAAAGATTAAACTATATACATTTTTGATTTCTGAGCCTCCAAGTATAGAGTTTAAGGGTAAATGTCCCATATCCATATACATATACCTGGAACCTAGCAAGGTAGTAGCACCTATTCAAACAATAACCACTTTGGCAGTTGCTGGGCTGTTCAAAGTGCCGCTTTAGATTCGGATTTGGCGCCGTTGTGGTTTGCTGACTGCCACAAAGCTGCCTGTAACATAGATACTCACAAACACTACTAAACACTCAAACACACACAGACAAAAGACTGCACATGCAAAAGGAAAAAAAATTAAAAGAGAGGAGAGGAGGAAAAAAACAATATGAAAAAGTTAAAGTAGCAGCAAACTGAGTTGCTCATCGAGGCAACAGCCATAAACATATATCAAGTTACCTGCAACAACAACAACAACAACAACATTAACAACAACAACAACAAAAGAAGGAAGAGGGAGAGGGAGGCCTACGCAGTGTAATTGTATGTATCTGTGAGATACGACTTTCGGTATGAGTGCGCCTTGCGGTTGCCACGGCATCCAATTTATAATATTTTTTGCCATTTTTTATTTGCATTTTTATTATGACAATTTCTTGCTGCCCGGACCGATGTGGGGGAGCTGGCCGTAAGTGATATACCATTTAGTATAATGGTACTAACCTGGCGAAAGTTGGCAATAGTCGGGCCCCAAAATAATGATTGTTATCAGGGAAATCGGGGAACTCCAAAGGCTTGAACTCAAAGGCCTACTTCAAATACCTATCTTGCAGTCTCAAATGTTTGCACTTCACATGACTTCTAACAGCAACCGAAGGACAAACAAAAGGATGTTTAATATTTAAGAAAAGACAAGAAAAAAAAGAACCATCCATATCTGCGATTGAGGATCTCCTTTTCCTTTCAGAAGAGGAAATGTCCAAATGCTTGAAACTATTTGCTTTAGCGGAAATGCAGATGTTCAGGAAAAAAAGGGTCCTCCTCGGTTATTCGGGGGTTTTTAATTAGTGTCGTCGTGGCGAGGCCTGAAAGACATATGCCGGGAATATGCATATATAGTATATACCCAAAAGTAAACATCAACAAATCATATATAGAAATAAAATAATAATATGTTACTATAAATAAGAGAGAAGAAATTTTGGAATTTGGAATTTGGGACAACATGTTAATGACTTTGTCAGCGCGAATCTTTCTTTCAATCATTTCACTCTCCACCAGAGCTCTGCGTGTGCCAGTTTTGGATTGTCCTTGGCACTAATTAGCCACCCCCTCCTCAACACCCACTTGACAACGACCTTGAAAGTAAATGTCGTCAGCTTTTGTAATTGAAAATTTAAATGCAAATTAATATAGTATTTTTTTTTTGTCCATTCTAGAGTATATATACTCTGTAGATCTCTATAGAAAGATATATTAATTTTGGAATATAAAATTCTACTCACTCTTTGTGTTCGGCAGCTCGATCCCTTTGCCGGCGATTCTTGAACCAATTAGAAACCTGTAATATCACAAAAATAAACTTAAAAACATTCAAAACATACATAGTTTTTGCAACATATTCGCTCCTCTGCCATGATTAATGAGTTGCAATTAACATGTGGAAGATGTGGCATTTGTGAGGAATTGCATTTGAAATTTGTCAAAAGATGCGTTTGACATTTTCGGTTTTGGGGATTGTTGTTTTTGGCAATCGGACAGAACAAAAATTTCGACTCACCTGCGTGGTGGTCAGTCCTGTGGCCTCGGCCAGATCGCGTTTCTCTCGGGGGGATGGATATGGATTGTGCGAGTACCAGTCTCTCAATACCGAGCGGGATTTCTCCTATAAGTGGGGGATATATATTAAATAATGGGTTAGGAAGTTAGAGATATGATTTTATCAGAAAAATTTAGAAATTTTAGAGGTACTTTGCTACTACTATAAAGATTATAAAGACTACTATATATTTTAATATAGAACCTATTTAATATACATAGGTTCCTTAATATCAGCTTTATAAGCTCTGATTTAGATATCTATCTATATCTTAGATATCTATCCAATCTTTCCCATCTTGGCAACTCATGGAACATGTCTATAAAGTTCCAGCAACAATAAGAACCTCTTAGCCATATCTCTTAACCTTTTAACTGTCTGAAAAACTAGTTTAGAATAAAATTAGACTAAAAACGGCATTATTTTTCCTTAACAGACACTATATATTCTAAGAAAACAAATTTTACCCTTCACAACTTAAGAAATCTTAAAATAGAACCCTAAAAACTAGAATAAGAACCTCTCTAAAACTATCTAATTTTATCATAGTTGGTTAATATTTGACTGATAACAATACCATTCTAAAAACGTCTTTATATTCACCATACAAGCACTATCTCTTCTTATAAATCCTTTGCAAAGTACCCTTTATAGAACAGTTCCCTAAAAACCAAAACCACAACCCCTTAACTACTACCAAACTGTCTGAAAAACTAGCTACTAATAATATTTGCCTAAAAAAAGCTTCATATTTACTTTCCAGCCACTATTTACTCAGTTTAGACAACCTGAATTCGTTAAGTAACCAATGGATTTCCTGAGGCGTTACCCCTGTCTCTGAATCAGGCAGCCACCGCTCAAGTAATCAGACAGGCGAACCGGACAGTTGTACGATTTCCCGCTTGCCACAATTAAAAGTGGAAAAGTGCGGCCCAGGACGAGCCGATGCACTCACCTTAAAACAGTAGCTCGTCTCCTCGCCATCCCAGATGGTGCGGGGCAATGGAAATTTACGGCGAACACGATATTTGCCAACAGCACCCAAGGGTCTTCCGCGCAGTTTTTCGGCTTCCACGTAATGCGCTACAACCAGGACAGAACAAAAATTCAATTTTTTTTTTGTTTTTTTGGGGTTAGGACTTTGGAGGAGTTGGAGTTGGGAGAAGGAGGAGGAGGAGTCTCACCTTTCAACCACAGGGCCTGGAGCTTGGCGTGATTTTGGGCCGAGAAGTGATGGTGCTCGAGGAGGCGGTAGAGCTCCTTGTACTGGCCCCGATGGAATGCAACGACCGCCTTGGCCTTCAGCACTGACTCGTTCAGTTGCAACTTATCACATTGTGGCAGCGACCAGAGGAAGCGGCCCAGTCTTTCAATATTCCCGGCTTGCTGGAGAACCTGTCGAGGATTCGGGAGGATATATTGGAAGATCTAGAAGCTCTGAATCAGAGAACCACTTACCTCGCAGACACAAGCCACCTGCTCCTGGGTGAATCCAAAACTGGGCAGATTCTCCCTGCCACCGGTACCACCTCCGCCGGCCACTCCACCACCCCCGCTGCCATTGCTGCCACTGTTCAGGTGGAGCCCGCCCCCGACTCCTCCTCCGTTGTGCGTCATGATGTCCAGGGTGCTGCTGTTGTTGTTGTTGCTGGTGGCGCTGTTGTTGTTGTTGTTGTGCAGCGCCACCGATCCACTGAGTCCCGTCGGACTGTAGGGGGGCGTGTGGCGGGCGGTGAGGACAGCGGCGGCATTGGCGGCCGCCAAGTCGTAGAAGTCAGTGGCGGGATGCTGTAACATTTTTTGTGCGGGAGACGAAGTATCTAGTGGAGCACTAACTAGGGGAGGGCGTCTCTAATTCCTAAAACTAAATTAAGATTTTGTTTGGGTTCTTTGGTAATTTGAGCTCTGGAAAGAAAAAATAATAAAGAAATTAGCTTAGAAGATGATGAAGAATGCTAAATAGTAGTCTTAGTTTAGGTTGAGTTTAGTTTAGGCTTAGATTTATGATAACTACCTTAAAAAACAAAAGATTTGCATAAAAATAAATTAAGACTTAACACTTTGTCAGCCATTTATGGAAAATATGGTTATACTTTAGCAATAAATAGCCCAGTTTGGAGAGAGAATTAATTGAATAATTTATCTTTTAAGAACTGGAATAAGAACCTCTTAAACACTATCGGAGTGGCTGAAATTTTGGCTAAAGATAATACTAGGCTAACAAATTCAATTTATTAACTTTAACCAGATACTATCTAAGGAAATTTTAAGGAAATTGAAGAAAATGTATAGTCTATTCCAAGGACTTAATGTCTTTAATATTCCTATGACTTTTCCTATGAATATTTGTAAGAAACTTGGTGTATAATTGAATCCCCTTTTATTTGTTGAAATACTAACTAACCACCTCTTAAGAAACCCCCTGATTGTAGCACCTAATTATGTACCCCCCCAAAAATATAATTATCAATCGCCTCCATTATCAATCTAATTAGAGCCAAGATTTCTCATCTTTTTATTGCCCATTTGTAGCAACACTAATTGACACTCATAAAGCTGTGGCAACAACCCATGGAATATGAAATCATATTCTCTGATCCGATCATTTGCACAAATGTTAAACAAAACAAGCGTTTCTGCTTTGATTTCTCATACTTATGGGCCTGTTTTTGGAAATCACAGAAATTAGAAATCCAAAATTCAAAATCGAAATCAAAACAAAACCTCGAAGCGACCCCATGTTGTCAAATATGATTAGCTCGGGCCGAGAGAGAGCATACAATTATGAATGCAAGATGTTCGATTATCGGAAATATTATTTGGCTAACGCTATAGGGTATCCTCCCCGCTAACCTGTCCGCTTCCCATAACCCGACAGATCTCTTACAAAAATAAACTCTTTACACAATATACTACGAGTGTATGGTGCGCGTGGTGTTTCGGTTTTTTCTCTGATTTCAAATTTCTGTATTCTGTATTCGGGTTCTAGGAATATTTCTAAAATTACCGTAGCGTCGGGGCGACAAGACCCCTATTGAGTGAGTGAGACGGGGGCCAGCGAGGAAGTGAGTGAGCAAGTGTATATCCCCCAGATAGAATATCTCCAATGCATTTTATAGATACGTATACTTTTTTTTTTTTTTGATATTTGCAATCGATCTCGTCCAGATAAACTGAGATATAGATACACAGAGAGACCCCCGGCACCCCCGAGACCCCCTCGGAACACTCACATATCGAGTCAAGATATTCTTGGATCTGTTTTCGGTTTCAGTTGGCGTGTATACGCGATGGGGCAGATTATATATACAAAACAAGAAAATAGAGATTTCGTTTTGGCTGCTGTAACGAAAATACCAACGCCAAGTTGGCTGCTCTTGAGTCATCGGCCTAGGCCATAGTCCCCCCCTCGGTGCTCTGTTCTCCCCCGCATCTGATTCTTCTGTAGATTTCTTTTCATTTCTTCATTTCTTTGGTTATGGGATTCGTTTTCTTTCTTGTCGGCTTGTAGTATGTTTTTTGGCCCGTTTCATGTTTGACGCAAGTAAACAAGCAAATTGCGAACGTGAAACGAAATACGCTATATATTTTCAATTTGTTTTGTCTATAGAGCTTGCTTATAAGTGGGACTGCACTCGATATATACAAGACTAGCCCCCTGGAATAGTAGTAGCCTCTAGATAGCCGATACCAGCATTTATGACCCTGTACCGTTGCCCTAAACTATCTACCTATTCTTTTTAAAACCAGCAGCTACGGCAGCCAACTCCAAGATACTGTATCTGATTCTCCATCTCTTGGCTGCTTCTTCTCAATTTATTCCCCCACAGACGGACCATTTCTTATCGCTTCTGAGTGTTGGCCTCGAATAAAATTAATTTAATTTATTTTACAAATTTTGTAATTTATTTCCAGTGCTTTCTTATCTATCGGGTTCTGTTTCTCTTTTGACTTTTATAAGATTTTAATTTGAGTGTTATTGTCCGGCGGACGGATGGATTTGAAAGCGGACACCTCGGCGAGTATCTGGAAGATGCGCGCACCCATCAGATGACACGAGAGTCTATTGGGTTGTTAATCAAACTGAATTGTTGCTGCCGACCGTTTCCTAATTAGTTTGTAATCAAAATCGACTCACAATAAAGTGTTTCTCGACGACACTATTAAACAGAGACATCATGCCAAGATCATCGAACGAACTTACATGTCCAACCGGATTCCAGAGACAAACTGTAAACTCTGTAGGTACTTAGTCCCAGTTTTTGGGTGAAACATTAAGAACCAGAGCCTACGACTGTTTTCCACGGCCCGTATCGGAAATCATCTGCTCCGGGGTCTGTGTTTATGCAATGTAATCGACTGGGGGAGCATTGTGCCAAGCAACCTGTTGGGGCCCAGCCCCCGTTCCGGGTAAAAAATCCAACAGAGCGGGATTAGTAAGCAATAGGTCTGTATGGTATGGGCCAAGACAATTGCTAGTATCTGCGAGATGGCCGGCAGCTTATGAGCTGGCCAAGTTTCTTATTTTTAACATTTTCTGTTTAATTGCCGAGCAAAGGCAGGGGACGCACAAAGAAGTCGAATAGAACGCGCCGCGTAATGAATGAAATTTGTCAATTTAATGGGTTGCACACATGTATCTTTGTATCTAAGTATCGCAGCTGTATCTGAGGGATCTGGGGAGCAGATCTACTTGTCGCATTTCTGCGCTACATTTGCCAAACTTCTGAATGAAACTTAAATAATTTTTATCCTCCGACGAATTACGGCGTAAAATGATCAAAGCTTGTGCTGCCATAACACCGTAACTGCATCTGTTTTTGCATCCCAACCATTGCCAATGGAATGCGTAGACTGGCTATTACTATAATTTTTGCAGGATATAAGGCATAATCCGATCAAGATTTCCCAAAAAAAAATATTCCCACAAATAGCTGGCAACATCTGTTCCATCTCGGCACTCAATTAATCATAAGATCTCTGACGACAAACACGCGCTGGCCAAATCATTAAAGACTTTTCGATCCCCAATGCGAATCTGAATCTGATATTTATATCAAATATTTTCTTTTGGGTCCAGCACCCACGTCAAAAAGTATCCCCCTCGGCGATAAGTTCATAATTTTTCTTTTTAGAAATCCGCTTGATAAAGCAAAATGCTTTTAAAAATAAACATTCGACTACCAAACTTGAGCTGCGCGTGAACATTTCGGTAATGAATGAATGACAACTGGAAATTGCTCTTCTTTCAGTTCGTATATCCCATAGGAGACTATGTGCATCTGAATAATAATTCGATAGTGATGATAACAGGGGACCCTAACCTGAAGATGTGGAAAATGTATTTCATTTTGTAAACAATCATTACACAAAGATACAAGTGTTTTGTAGTCAGAACTTTGGAGCGACCTTCTCCAAACGTGTAGTATTTCTTAGTGGCACTTTGACATTGCACTTCGGCATTTAATAAAATTCCCATAAATATTGCCAAAAAGGTGGATATTTATTGGAAACTTGGACAATAATGATTTAAATAAGTAACTACATATAGAGCTTGGCAGCTGAATTCTTCTTGAATTCTTGTGGATATCATTGAAGTTTAAGAAGATAGATAGGTATAGATAGGTAGAAGAAGATAGATAGATAGATTTCTATGGATAAGGTAAGCCCATATTATATCTTGACCAATTTTAAAGCTTATTAAAACCTTAAATAAGTAATATTCAGGTAAACAATTTAATTCTTCTTCAATTCTTGTAGATATAATAGAAGTTTAAGAAGAGTTTCTATAGAGGGGCATTACTTTATGACATCTTGACCAATTTTTAAAGCTTATTATAACCAACTCCAACCGCCATTTAGCCGTCGGCAACCTGAGACCCCCAGAGAAACCCAATCTAGGGCTCACCTGTATTTTGATTATTTATTGATGATACGTATCCGTGTTTGTTCTCCGTGTTTGTTATTCTTTTGTCCGGTTTTGTGCATTTGTTTTTATTAAATTGTATAAATATATATCCACAATTGTTAGAACTGGCAGAGCAGATTATAGAATATTTTGCCGTGGGGCTTTTCCCCGGTTCGTATTTGTATTATTTTTGAAAACTTTTCGAAATCGAAGCCATGTGCCGCCTCGCGATCACCCACTCACTCACTCACACATCCGTAGACCCTCGCTGGGCACTCCTGGGCACACATTCTTCATACGCACTGTGTTAACACGTGTTGCAAATTATATTTTTGTGAAAACTTTTCGCTATTCAGCCGCGACTCGAACAAATTGCCCCCAACACAGATGCAATTATAATAAATGCGGGCCAGAGGCTGCGACGAGTACGCTGAAACAGTGCCAACGAAAAAAATGGCCGCCAAGGATTTATTAAATAAACTTTTTTCTATTTTATTTTTGTTTTATTTTTTTTAATGCCTATTTTCCGGTGTGCGTTGTGTGCGTTTGGTTTTCATTCATCGGAAATTGAATTTAAAACTTTGTGCGCGAGTCGTCGGAAGGCCGCCGGATCGGATCCGGATCGCAAAGAGCTAACAGTATCGAACCGCACGCGACGGTATCTCAAAAACAAATGAGAACTGTCCGGTTCTCTGGTTGCCTTCAACCCGAAACGGAGCTCACAGCCAGGCAACGCACACCACGGAACTCCGCCAGAACGGAAAATGGTTGGTCGTCGCCGGTGTGCGGACGCCAGAGCGGGATGGCCAAAGGTGGCTATGTGTGCGCTATGTGTGTTTGTGTAAGAGAGAGTCTACCGAGGGTGGATATGCCAACAAAGAGCAGGCTACAGTGAAGGCACACTCTAAAGGTATGGTTCTTACAAGATCAGTGCTTAAAGTCATATTTCACGAACTTATTGTTTATTAAATTTACTATTTTAGGTATTTTGTGTTTAAAGTTCTTAATTATATCTTAATAATTTATAAATCTAAGATTTTTAGTAAGAGAAATTCATTAAAAAACATTTCCTCTCTAGAAAGTTAGGCCACGGGTCGTATGAGTAATGTTATTTGAAACTCTAAAAGCATCTAGAATTCTTAGATTGTAAAATATGTTTTATTTAATTTCCCACAATAGTTTCATATTTAATTTTATGAAAATTCAACCTAAGTTTTCTCTTTTTTAAATATGTTTTAAATCATAAATGAAGCCCTGTAAGCCTGGTAATTTATTCCTACCTTCACTGTGCCTGCTCTCTTTCCTCGAAAGTCTTCTCTTTAATTTCGCCTGTGGCAGTGATCGTTTTGAAGCACTGTTCGAGAGCCACTGAAAACAGGTTGGCTGGGAAAACGCCTCCCCCGTGTTACCTGTTTTTCAATACACTCGCACCCACACACAAACACACCGACACTCACGCACACACGCTGCCCTGGAGATACAGCTAGCCGCTGATTGGTCAGTTGGAAATCGCTAGCCAGCGAACCGGCATGCGCACTGGCCGCCATATTTAAAGGCGGACATCGGCGGTAACAGTAATTGCATCGCAGCTCCACCACCCCAAACCCTTCCCTCCTCCTACCAGAAAGGATGCTTCGTTAGTTATGAGTCCATACCTGTAAGTCCTGCAATCCCATTTTAATAATTGAATGCATTCCCGTATATCTTGTATCTGCAGTATAATTGCAATTACTGCATTTGCTTCATTGAAATTCCAGAGATTTTCGTAGCCACTGCTTCTAGAATTACTTACAATCTGATTTGGCTTTTTGGAAAGGTTAATGCGGAATTAATGGTTATTATGGTTAAGGGATGAGGATAAAGGGATTAAATGTGTTTCTTTGGAAGAAAATGATTCCAAAGCATCAGCGCCAATAGCTCATACGACCTGTGGTGCAAGCTTTATTAAATATTTATATTGTAAATAATTACATAAAATCTTAAATATTTTAATTTATTGCCATATCTTTACTGAAAATAAATACCACTTATCGATAGCATCATCTTAGCGCGTGGCTAAGATATATGTATAGTACTTACCTGTTATAGAAACCATACCTCAAGGACCACCCAAAAATGAGAATTTTGAAAAATAAAACGAGACATTTGATCGAAAACCCTGTAAAGTTGATGGACTGATGGGGCGCCAGGCTGATAGGCCTAATCAAGATCAGCCACTGCCCACACAAATCCCGATCTGCTAAAGATTTCCGTATCGGTTACAGTGTCAGATGCATTTTTTTGGCGCCAGGCCACAACGAATAACCGAAAAGAAGAAAATATAAGTGTTAAAAAATTAGGAAATCGTAAAATTTACATAATAACAGATCATATTTCAGTGGAATTAGGAAGACAGACGGGAACGACAACAGTTGGGAATGTCAGAGGAACCAGGCACCACATAAAGACGATCATAAAACAAAGTTCGAGGGAGACAACGGAAAGATACAAGATCCCACCAAAATGTTAATGAAAAAGTGCGATAAAAATCTTGTCGAACATGAATGAGAAAAACGAGGGAATGGAGGCACCAACAATACGACGATCAACACCAAATATTGTGGTCCAAGATGACCCAAACAGACCTTAAAAGATCTGGCTTAGAAAGTCCCCTCATCGTCATCTGTTTGATGGGGGGCCCCGTTACCACATAACCCTATTGCCCTGATACCCTCTTCTCCAGCCCTTCTTTGGGATTTTGGTGTTAAGAATAAAGACAATAACGAGGCTGGCACACGCGCGCGCCTCTAAACTCTCCGGCGGACACCTGCTGCGAGGCTCATGACGGGGTCTCTGGACCCCTCCGTCTCCATCTCCATATCCATCTCCGACCAGGCGCCTGAGGTGAGTGAGGCTGTGAAGTTGGGAGGCATGCTGCAGCTTATTAGAAATGGTAAACAAACAGTCAAGTCGTCTTGAATTTTATGGTCCTCCATTTCGAAACGTGCGCACATTGTTAATCATCTGGAACTGGCCATAAAGCAGACTTCATTGGCCATTATTAATTCAGTTGAAATTATTATTAATTTTGCACCATAAATCTCATCGCAACGTGAGTCCAGCCCCTTTTGTAGTACGTGTGGGTAATTAGCTTTGAGTGTTTTGGGATTAGGCGATCATTTGTTTGGTCAATCATAAATTACCAGAAACCCATTTTCCATTTAATTTGGTTTTCCTTGATGCCATTTAACAAGGAATTGATTTTTTTATAGCTTGACTAACAAATCTGAAATATATTGTCCAAGGTGTAGTCATCACTTCCCTGTTATTCCTTCAAGTCCATAACTTCTATCCAGTTTCTAGGCCAGTTTCCATCGAATCCTTAAGCGGGATACCTTGATCGATTTGTAGTTCCATTCTCTTTCAATCTGCATCAAAACATTGACACCAAAATTTTGAACCCGATTTTTCAAATTTTTCTGATGGAACCCCTTGTGAAATCCAGGATTTCCATTTCAGCCCCAAACCAAGTCCATATCTTGGCCAATTTCTATCGGATCCTTAAGAGGGATACCTTGATCGATTTGTAGTTCCATTCTCTTTCAATCTGCATCAAAACATTGACACCAAAATTTTGAACCCGATTTTTCAAATTTTTCTGATGGAACCCCTTGTGAAATCCAGGATTTCCATTTCAGCCCCAAACAAAGTCCATATATTGGCCAATTCTTATCCGATCCTTGAGACGGATACCTTGATCGATTTGTAGTTACATTCTCTTTCAACCTGCATCAAAACATTGACACCAAAATTTTGACCCCGATTTTTCAAATTTTTCTGATGGAACCCCTTGTGAAATCCAGGATTTCCATTTCAGCCCCAAACCAAGTCCATATCTCGGCCAATTCTTATCCTTTCCTTGAGAGGGATACCTTGATCGATTTGTAGTTCCATTCTCTTCCAATCTGCATCAAAACATTGACACCAAAATTTTGAACCCGATTTTTCAAATTTTTCTGATGGAACCCCTTGTGAAATCCAGGATTTCGAGTTTTGCCCCAAGCCAAGTCCATATCTTGGCCAATTTCTATCGGATCCTTAAGGGGGATACCTTGATCGATTTGTAGTTCCATTCTCTTTCAATCTGCAACAAAACATTGACACCAAAATTTTGACCCCGATTTTTCAAATTTTTCTGATGGAACCCCTTGTGAAATCCAGGATTTCCATTTCAGCCCCAAACCAAGTCCATATCTCGGCCAATTCTTATCCGATCCTTGAGAGGGATACCTTGATCGATTTGTAGTTCCATTCTCTTTCAATCTGCATCAAAACATTGACACCAAAATTTTGAACCCGATTTTTCAAATTTTTCTGATGGAACCCCTTGTGAAATCCAGGATTTCCATTTCAGCCCCAAACCAAGTCCATATCTCGGCCAATTCTTATCCTTTCCTTGAGAGGGATACCTTGATCGATTTGTAGTTCCATTCCCATTCAATCTGCATCAAAACATTGACACCAAAATTTTGAACCCGATTTTTCAAATTTTTCTGATGGAACCCCTTGTGAAATCCAGGATTTCCATTTCAGCCCCAAACCAAGTCCATATCTCGGCCAATTCTTATCCTTTCCTTGAGAGGGATACCTTGATCGATTTGTAGTTCCATTCCCATTCAATCTGCATCAAAACATTGACACCAAAATTTTGAACCCAATTTTTCAAATTTTTCTGATGGAACCCCTTGTGAAATCCAGGATTTCGAGTTTTGCCCCAAACCAAGTCCATATCTTGGCCAATTTCTATCGGATCCTTAAGCGGGATACCTTGATCGATTTGTAGTTCCATTCTCTTTCAATCTGCATCAAAACATTGACACCAAAATTTTGACCCCGATTTTTCAAATTTTTCTGATGGAACCCCTTGTGAAATCCAGGATTTCCATTTCAGCCCCAAACAAAGTCCATATATTGGCCAATTCTTATCCGATCCTTGAGACGGATACCTTGATCGATTTGTAGTTACATTCTCTTTCAACCTGCATCAAAACATTGACACCAAAATTTTGACCCCGATTTTTCAAATTTTTCTGATGGAACCCCTTGTGAAATCCAGGATTTCGAGTTTTGCCCCAAGCCAAGTCCATATCTTGGCCAATTTCTATCGGATCCTTAAGGGGGATACCTTGATCGATTTGTAGTTCCATTCTCTTTCAATCTGCAACAAAACATTGACACCAAAATTTTGACCCCGATTTTTCAAATTTTTCTGATGGAACCCCTTGTGAAATCCAGGATTTCCATTTCAGCCCCAAACCAAGTCCATATCTCGGCCAATTCTTATCCGATCCTTGAGAGGGATACCTTGATCGATTTGTAGTTCCATTCTCTTTCAATCTGCATCAAAACATTGACACCAAAATTTTGAACCCGATTTTTCAAATTTTTCTGATGGAACCCCTTGTGAAATCCAGGATTTCGAGTTTTGCCCCAAGCCAAGTCCATATCTTGGCCAATTTCTATCGGATCCTTAAGGGGGATACCTTGATCGATTTGTAGTTCCATTCTCTTTCAATCTGCAACAAAACATTGACACCAAAATTTTGACCCCGATTTTTCAAATTTTTCTGATGGAACCCCTTGTGAAATCCAGGATTTCCATTTCAGCCCCAAACCAAGTCCATATCTCGGCCAATTCTTATCCGATCCTTGAGAGGGATACCTTGATCGATTTGTAGTTCCATTCTCTTTCAATCTGC